TCGATTCTAAATGTTTAAATGAACTGAATACAGATATTTGCGGTCTATATTCGAATTTCTCGAAAACAAAAAACGATTTTAGATTATATAGAGTAAACTTATTTCTGTTATTCAGATTGTTAATTATTGTTAATTGTGCTTTAATATAGAAAAACTACTATATCTTAAGATTTATTTTTTATTAAATTTTTTTTTTTAAATAATGTCGAAATTACAAATTTTAATTTTTAACATTTTTAAAAATGAAATGCAATTTATTTAATTTTTAACATATTTAAAAATGTAATACAATATTTATTTAATTTTTAAAAATGATGTAAATTCTAATTTCAGTAAAAAAACAAAAAAAAAAGTTTCGTGAAGTAAAAATTACCATCAATGACGAAAAATAATTTATTACTCGGGCCGTTTTACTTGGTCAATGATTACGAATCTGTTGTCAGATTTTAAAAATTCAAAATGGCCGATCCAATATGGCGGACGAGTTATTTAAAAAATTAATTGAATTCGCACTAAATTTGTTACTCGGGGGTTTTTGGGGTCGCTGATTACGAATCTGAAGTCGGATTTTAAAAATTCAAAATGGCCGATCTAATATGACGACCAAAATAATTTAATAAGTGTTTTTTGCCTTAATTCATTGATTTTAGCGTGAAATGTGGATAGAATTGTGTAAATAAGTGTATGATTAATTATATGTGTCATTTATAGATGTAATTAATTATGCACCCGAGAATTTATACATAGTTTTCACATTCTCCTAAAAGAGCTGCTTTAACACCGAAGGATTATTACACTCACGAGAATAAAATAATCCAGAGGACGAAATTATTTTTCACTTTTGACAGAGTTTCAAAGTGTTCTAAAATTAAAAATTACAGTCTTAATATGTAATAATTAATAACTTCATAATGTAATTAATAACAATAATAATAATTATAATTATAATAATTATTATATAATAATAATTATTATTATTTATAAAGGATGTTCAGAAGCATTTCATTTCAAGTCCATTTATTATTAATATTATTAAGATTATAATTATAATTATAATAATAATTATTATTATAACATTTTTTATTTGTAAAAACAGATAAATTTGATTTCTTATTGTTAAATATTTTTTTATTATTTTTAGAAATGGTGAAAATCGTATTTTAAATTCTAATAAAAATACAAAAAATCCTGTTTTATATTCTTACAATGGTTCAGAATTAGAATTTAAAAAGGAAACCACATAAATGTCATGATAATTTATATAATATAAGTTCTTTAAATATATTATGATTTTTTTTAATACATATAAAACGCAAGCAACAATTTCATTTTACTAATTAAAATCGAAATTAAAATTGAAACATTTTTGAATTTCAATTATTTTTAAAATTTCCTAAAAGCATCTCTTATAAAATTCAATTATTTTGAAAATATTTAAAAATTCTTTTCTAGATGAATTATTTTTTAAAATTATTTTTCAGAAAATTCATTCAAATTATTTCAATTATTTAAACAAACAAAAAAAAGAAAGTTCACTAAAATAATTCTAAAATCCATTTGTTTACAATTCAATAAATTTGACTATAAATTTCAATTATTTGAAATTTTTTTAATTAAATTAAATGTGTATTAAAAAATTTGAATAAATTTCAAAATAATGTAAATAAAATTTTGTTAAATTTTATTGAAATATTACATTTTAAAGAATAATTAATAATTACTACCGATCTTAAAAAATAAAAAAAAAGTCTTTGAAGGAAAAATATTGAAAATTCGAAACATTTTTTTAAATTGAGGCCTTGGATCCAATAACTCGCCCGACGCTCGAAGGCACGCGCCAATACCAGTCGGGTAGCAGTGAGTGGCCCAGAGGCGCTCACTGCTCACTGACTGGCAGTTGCGCGTTCCTCCAAGCGTCAGGCGAGTTATTGGATCCAAGGCCTCAATTTAATTAAATTTTATTTAACTTTTAAAATCAGAGAAAATTCTAAAGCAGAGAATATTTATTCAAGTCTTTTTGGAATAATTTTATTTAAAAAAAAATAAGTACGTTATTCTCTTTCTCTATATTTTAAATGTTTTTGATTTATGTAAGTAGCAAAATGAAATGAAGTGACTAGATTTTTTTTCATAATGTATTTAAAATATTTAATATATTCTCTTTCTATATATTTCGTAAAAGAGAAAAAAAGTTCACTTTCTGTATAAAACAGAAAAAATTAATGAATGCTTAATTTTTAATAAATAGATGGTAGAGTGCAATGGCGAAAAATTCTTTTAAATTTTCTCTTTGTACTTTTCAAGGAATATTTAATTATAGAATTAACTTTTTGGAATATTATTAAAAATTCATATATGTAATGTCTGAAATATTCAAATTATTTTTAAACAATAAAAATAGTTTGGAATTTAAATACAGAATTTTTAATTTTTATCTTAAAAACCAGTCAATCGGGCTTAAATTTAAAAAAATCTTTAGTTTTAAATTTACATTTTAAAATCCTTGTGTCTGATTTTAGATATTATGATGACTGCAATAAATCCATAGAAGATTTCAGAAAAATATGTCAAAAGTATTTCTCACAGAAGTTGTCAAAAGAAAATATGGTTTTCTTATATATTTATAGATAAAAATAATATTTTGCTTTTTTATATTAGATCAACATTATCAACAGTAGAAAAAATTAAACAGAAAAATATTTTTTTACTTTATTTTCATTTAAAATTTAAAATTTAATTTTTTTATTTTAAATTTAAATTCTTAAATTTTATTTATTTATTTATTTATTTATTTCAATATTAACAAAACAGGCCCCTAAGTACAATTTGTACTCCTAAAATCTAAAATTTACTAATGTATTTTTAATTATAAATTTAAAATAGCTTTAATTTTTAATATAAAATTTTAAACTTTTAATATTTTCAATTTTTAATTTGCAACTATTTTAATAAAAAAAAAATGTTAAAATATTACATTTTCGTAAAAAAAAACTTTTTTTGTTTAACAATTAAAATAAATAAAGTTAAAAACAAGTTAAACAAAAAAGAAGTTTTTTTATGAAAATGTAATATTTTAATATTTTTTTTAAAATTAAAATAGTTGCAAATTAAAAATTTAAGAATTTAAAAGTTAAAATATATAAAATTCTTCAAATGTAAAATGTACATAAAATAACAAAGAGAAAAGTATATTTTTTATAAGAACCAGTCAGTTTGTTTTATAAAGCAAAAGAAATATAATTTTTGATAAAAATATAAAAATTTTCAATAAGCAAAAAATTGTAGCCAGAAACAAGAATTAATTTTTTTAAAAATAAACAAAAGTTTTAAAAATCTCTAAATTTAGGTAAAATATGAAAATTTTATTTGCCAATCACTTCCATTTAATGATAACTACACGATTTTTTATTATTTTTCAGTAAAATATAAAGTTATATAAATTAAAAGCACAAAAAATGTTTCATTAAAAAATGTATTTTTTCCAGATTTTTTTAAATGGTTACAAAAAAAAATGAGAAAAATTATACGAAATTCAGAATCTGAATATTTATGAATAGCCATTAACATTTAATTTACATACATCTTTGTAATTATTCTAACAAAAAAATAAAAAAATTTTGAAAGTAAAATTTGATTGAAATTATCTAAGAATAAATTACAAAGAAGAACATGTTTCTAAATGATTTACATTTAAAATTTAATTCTATTTATCTCTTTTGTTATGTAATTTTGATTAATCATATATTAACTTTAGAACTTGAAAATTTTAAATTATACAAAAATTTCTTAATAGAGGTTACTGAACTTAATTTTTAATACACAATTACCCCGGAATTGGGGTAGTTTTTACACAGTCACTAAAATATTTTTTACTAATCAGAAAATTAATTTTTAAAAAAATATATTTTTATTTATTTTCTTAAACGTTTTTTTTAATAATTGTTATTGGTTTTAAAATTTTTTGTTTTTAAAATTTTCCTTCCTTTTTTTAAGGTATTTTCGTTGAGGACATTTTTTTGTCAGAATTTAAATAAACAGGAGAAATAACTTAAAAAAGTGTAAAAAAAACCTAAAATGTTATAAATAAAAATAAGAATTAGGAATTTAAAATTAAAAATTGTAAAGAATAAAAATTTTTACAAATTTATTAAAAATTTTTGAATTTCGAAGAAAATTTTTCCTAAATGAGAATTTGCCAAAACATTTTTACTTTTTGAGATAAATTGTTGACAAAGAAACGGCGCGACATACAAATAAAAACACATACAGGTAAACAATTAATCCTTAGATTCGGCGCATTTAGAACTTTCTCATAACAATTTTGTAAATTAAACAATAATTCACATTTTTTATAAATATATTCCACAAACATCAATTTTTTTTTTTTGAATTTCTAAAAATTTTTTTGAAAATTTGTAAATAAGTTTGAAAAATTCAATACTAAAATTTAAAAAGAATCCAGTGACGAATTAACAAATCAAATAATTCACATTTTTTAGAAATATTTTATAAAAATAGAAAACTATTGTTGAAATTTTTAGAAATTTTTTTTTTTTTTTGAAATTGTAGGAAACAAAAAATAAAATTTGTACGTTTACAAGATTTAATAAGTAGAAAAAAAACGTAGAAATAGGCGAGAAATTCACGTGTTTTTCATGCGGCGCAATAGAATTGAATGATTTTAAAATTAATTTTATGTCTTATTTAATAGAATTCAAAATTTCGTAATTAATTTATGCGTTAACACAACTGCTTAAATAGTTAAACACGTAGAGAAATTAGTCAACAATTCTCTTTTCTTTAAATATTTCTAAAAAATATTTAAAAAATATTTTAAAAAAATTTTTTTTAAATTTTTTTAAAAAAATTTATAGAAATTTTTTTTAAAAAACATTTATAAAATTTGTTTTTAAAAAATATTTGAAAAAAATATTTTTAATAAATATTTTTAAAAAGTAATAATTTGCCAATTCATTTAGTGTAAAAAAACATTTACTTACCTAGTAAAATATTGTAATGGCGGGAAAAATGTCCACTCACTTACAATTATTATTTTCAAAGAAAAATAAGAATTTTATTTATATTTAAACAAAACAAAAAAAATACAGTCGCAAAGACTAAAATCACTTCTGAAATAAGACTGAAATTTAATTAACATTACAATATCATTCCACCAACGGGAAGAAACGCTAATGGATCTTATCGCCTTCTAATATTTACTGAATCAACAAAAGCGTCGAAACTCTGCTGGCAAGAACCAAGAAGCTGATTTTATAAAACGCCACTTCTCTAGCCAACACAACTCTTTACATTAGAGAGAAAATGTGTATAGTTTGAAAATAACTTTGACTTTACGAGATAAATTAAATGCTACCTCATTTTTCTATTTATTTAATTAATTCTATATAAATGTGACGAAACTGATTTTTTATGATATTATTATTACTGAAATCTGAATTACTTAAGCGGAAGTGTCTTAATGTCAAACAAATTAGGTCATTCACTCTTGATAAAATTTTTTTTTTTTAAATTGTTTTTAAAATTGAAAAAAAAATTTTTTTTTTAAATTTTTAAAAAATTAAAATTAAAAAATAAAATGATCTGTTATTATTCATTTATTATTTTTTTCTTTTTCCTTTTCGGCGAATTTGAATTTTCGCGCCAAATTTTTTATATTAGGGTGAAAGACCAATCAAAGACAAGTTTGAAATTATTGGTACTATTTTCTGTCGATAGGGGGCGAAAGATTCCTCTCCCAAATGAGAGTCGACCCACGAGGTATATATAAAGGCTGCAGTGTGCCACAATCGTCACTCTGGTTTCCCTTCAAAATACGAATAAATCTTTCGCCTTTTACTAAAGATTTCCGTGGAGGGGAACAAATGATGAGTCTAACAGACTAATTTTTTTTCGTGCCCGACGAAAGTTGGGCCATAAACTATTTCAAAAATAAAATATCTTTTTGTAAATTTTTAGAGAAACTATTCTATGAATTTTAAATTTACAAACAATTTTTTAAGTTATTTTAAAATAAATTTTAATTTATTATTATATTCAAAAATTTTTTATCTTATTATTTATGAGAATTGAAATTATATAATAATCAAAATTTTCCATTTTTAAATTCAAATAATTTTCATAATTTTTTTTTCATTTATGAGAATTGAAGTTATTTTTAAAATTTTCAATCACAATTTTCCATAGGAATTCAATTATTTTCAATGCAATTTTCTTCGAAAGAATTCAATTATTATTTTCAAAAGTTTCCATCAAATTTTTTTATTAGATTTCAATTCTTTTCAATTTTAATATAAAATTTCTCGAAAAATGAAGTTTTATTCGAATTTAAAAAAAAAAAATTCCTTGGAATAATTCAATTATTTTCAAAACGATTTTAATAAAATTTTTTAATAATATTTTTGAAAAGAACACTTATTAATTTTCCAATAAAATTTTAATGAAATTCCTCGAAAGAATTGAATTGTTTAAAAAATTGTAATTGAAAAAAATATTAATTTACAATTATAACTTTTTATTTTTAAACTTTATCCATGTAATTAATTTTATAATGTAAACAAATAATGTAATACTATTAATAAATAAAATAATAAAACAAACTAAATTAAAGAATCTGCGTAGTCACAACAATCAAAAAATAAAATAAAAAAAAAATTAATAAAATAAAAAAATACAATAACTAAAATAGAAAATAAAAGAAATTAAAAATAATTATAATACAAATAATTTTGTTTTTTAAATATAAAATATTAAATCAATATCCAAAATATAATAATAATTAAGAGCAATGAGAAAAATATTTTGATAATAATAATAATAATAATGAATAATAATAAGAATAATAATAGTTTCTAACTTTATGTTTAAATTAAACGATTCACAAAAAACGAAAGTATGCCTAGTTTAAAGTAAAAATAAATTTGTTTGCGATAAGCTAATCATAGGTGATATCAAATAGTAAACATGAAACTCAAATACATGTATTATTTTTTTTTTAAATTTAAATATTTCAGTTTGAAATAGAGTCGAAATAATCATGCACTACTTGAAGAACTAACTTTACATTGGTTCCGTGGTGTAGCGGTTATCACGTCTGCTTTACACGCAGAAGGTCGCCAGTTCGATCCCGGCCGGAACCATTTTTTACCATCTTTTTTGTTCAAAGATAATTTAAATATTTTTATTAACCTGATGAATAACATTTCGCATTTTATTTTTAAATAAAAATTAACAAACAAAAATAAATATTTATTCCATAATAGTCAATGAATTGAATTAAATAATTTTTTTTTCATTGTATGGGTTAGATAAAAAAATAACAATTTTTCATTTTTTTTACAAAAACATCTGTATATTTTTCATAATTTTTTTGAAAAGCTAAATTTGCTATAAAAATTCAAGCGTACACGATTAACATTAATATTATTTAAAAAATTTTTTTTTTATTTTAATTTTTAAAGAAACACAAGTCTATAATTTTCAGTCTACATTTTTATTTTCTAAAATAAAGATCATAGCTTGACGTTTTTTTAAATAATTTAAAATCATTAATATTCCACAGTCTTTCTCTTTTAATTATTATTTAAATTTGTATAATAATATTATTGCTAGAAATCACCATTCCCAATAAACAACGCTACCAACATTCTGTCACTATATAAAAATATTATGCTCTTAAAACTGTACAATATGCTGTACAAAAAATATATATAATTGTATTTTTTTTTATAAATACTTTTAAAGGTATACATATAATTTAATTGTTTTATCGTAAAAGAGAATATATGAAATTATTTCGTTCATATTAATTTCTTTTTAATTTCAACTAACTTATTTTTTTTTTATTTTAAAAATTTCATTTACTATGAGCAAAAAAATTTTTTAACTCATAGCTAAATAAATATTTCCTAGTTTTAATCTTCTGTTGATGCTAACTTATCCTTACTCTGTCGCCATAAAACATAACTCCAATTTTTTTTTTTTTTTTTTTTTTTTTTTTTTTTTTTTTTTTTTTTTTTAGAAAATGACGATTTTTGATTAAAGCGGTCATTAGCATCAGCGGAGAGTTAAAAAAGCTTCAATAATAAATAAATATTTGTCTCAAACGAATTTCTAACAATAAATATTTATTTTAAACGAATAATAAATAAATGTTTATTTGTGCCTTATATGAAACAAATAAATACGTTACGAATCTTTTGAGATAAATATATTTTTACTTACTTTGAATAAATTATTATTAAAAATTAATTTTTTATTTTAATGAATATTTGAATTTTTTTTTTAATAATAATTTCTTTCTTTTTTCTTTTCTGAGTATAAAAAGGAAAATAATCATATATTCTCCTTCGATTCACTAATTCAATTAATTACATTACGAATTGAAATTTGACGAAAAATAAATTCGCCACTCATTCAATTCAATTGACCACACATCGAAACATTTGCAAAAATTAAATAAAAACTATTTTCGTTACTAATGAAATAAATGACGAATAAATTATTATCAAATTTCTGAATAAGTAGATTTTTGTATCTAAATTTTCCCATTTATAATTATAAATTTGCTTTTTTTCTCAATAATATATAATAAGTAAACTGGTGTCGTTATTTTATAAAGCCAAATATTCACAGCCACTAATTAGGATTTTTTTTTATCTACGAGAAAAATTTTAATTTCTTTTCATAATTTTAAGAAAACATTTGCGAGGAATTTTACTATGAAAAAAAATTTGTATGAAAAGAAAAGATTTAATTTTTTTTTACGAAATAGGAAAAAAAATCCAAAACTGTTTACTAAATGGCCTTTGAGAGTTTGCATAAGTGAGAGTGTAAAATAAAATTAGAAATCAAGTTGGTAAAGTCATTTCGATACTAATCTAAGTTTTGCTAATCATAATCAATCGGGTTCGACCAGAGGATTTTGAGCTCGATTTTCACCCTCCTCCTCGAGGATAAATGACGTTTCTGAGTCACTTTCATCTGAAACATTTGGAACAGAACCAATTGTCAAAAAAGAGGATAAAAATAAACATATGTACATGTCATAGAGGAAAAAGGAAATGATGGAAGACCTAAAGAGCAAATTTTTTTTTTAAAGGTTCATGAAGGAGAGAAAATATAAAAGGGAAATTATAAATTTTGCAATTACATCTCGAATATTTAAATTAAGTAAAATTGCATTTAACATTTGAAGTTTACTGGCAACAATACAAATTTTCCTTTTTTTATAATTTTTATTTTTTCAAATTAAATGCGAACATTTTTTCTTATTTAAATTTTTTTATATTTTATTTTATAAATTTTATTTTATAAGTTTATATTTTATCAAAATTAAAAATTAAATTAAAAACAATCATTAAATGTTTCAAAAGAAAACTATTTAAACAAATAAATAGAAATTATAATTCTGAAACATATTTTTATTATTATTCAAATTTCCTTATAATTATTAAAATGTATTTAAATTTATATATTACTTCTTTAAATTTATTGACCTCAATTTATTTGTTCATTTAAAATGATTTATTTATTTATTAACAATAAAATAAATCGTATTCAATCGAAAGAAAACTATAAAATGTAGCATTAGCATAATTTTTTTTTTTTTATTTGCAACTACATTATAAAGATAATTTTTTTTTGAAGAAAAAGAAATTTTACTTATTTAAATATATCTAAGAGAGTATAAAATTTAATCAGGTGTTATTATTTTTCTTTTTTTTCTATTTTTTCTTCTTCTTTTACTTTTCTTCTAATACAATAAAAATTTTTTTTCAAGGACATGATGACAGAAACATTTTTCTTATTTCTATATATACACATTACTTACTTAAATGTAGTACATTTAACTGGAAATAAAATGGTTATACACTTATTTGATTAAAACTTTTTTTTTAAATACAACATTTATGCATTGAGTTTATAATGAAAAAAATAAATTTCGTTTTTTTTTCATCAAGAGCATAAATGACTCATTTTGTAAATTTTATTCAAGATAATCAAGATAATGAAAAAATTTGTGTGGCACAATTATCTCTTGGTGTATGTATTTTTTTATTTCTATTTATTTATTATTTATTTTTCATTTCTTTTATTTTTTTTATTTTTTTATATTTTTATTTTATTATTATTTATTTTTTTTTATTAATTTTCATAATAAAGATGAAAAAAATTTTTTTTTAAATAAGTAATAAAATAATAAAAAATACATACTTAACATTGACCATTTTCAGTTTACCAAATTTCGAAAAAAAATTTTAAATCTTTCACATTTAAAAAAAAAACTTTTTTTTTACGTCATTGTAACATATTTTCAATAAACAATAATAATATATATAATTAGTAAAAATAATAATAATGAGAATAGTTACAATAACAATGTAAAAACAAATAAAAACAAATAAAATAAAACAAATAACAATGTCAATAATAAGAATATATGTAAAATAATAATTAATAATAATGGTATTAATAATAATAAAATTAACAACAAATAATTGTTATTAACATATTATTAATTCTAATAGTTTAATCATATAATAAAATGCAATTATTAATAACAAATTATAATAACAGGCAATAACAAACAATTATTAATAACCGAATTGTAAATAACAAAATAATAATAAATTGTAACAAATAATAACCGAATTATAATAACAAGTTAATGATAAATTGTAATATGTAACTATAAATAATTAATAAATAACATAACGATAAATAAAAAATTAAAAAACGATAATAATAAATAATTAAATAAATTGGTTAAAATTAAAAAATAAAATGATCTGTTATTATTCATTTATTATTTTTTTCTTTTTCCTTTTCGGCGAATTTGAATTTTCGCGCCACATTTTTTATATTAGGGTGAAAGACCAATCAGAGGCAAGTTTGAAATTATTAGTAAAATTTTCTGTCGCTAGGTGGCGAAAGATTCCTCTCCCAAATGAGAGTCGACCCACGAGGTATATATAAAGGCTGCAGTGTGCCACAATCGTCACTCTGGTTTCCCTTCAAAATACGAATAAATCTTTCGCCTTTTACTAAAGATTTCCGTGGAGGGGAACAAATGATGAGTCTAATAGACTAATTTTTTTTCGTGCCCGACGAAAGTTGGGCCATAAACTATTTCAAAAATAAATAACTCTCGTCTTCTTTTTAGATATAATAACTAACGAATTTTTCTTATATTGATAATTTTTTTTTTTTTTTTTGATTTATTATTTCGGATATTAAATGAAAATTCGAGAATGAGAAATTTTGTTGCTTTGGTGAAAAAAATCGGCAAAATAGATTAAAAATATTCTTATTTGTTTTTTGTGTACAAGTTTAGAATGAAATTCGATAAACTGAAGAGATTTGGGGGAAAATATAGAAAATTATGCGCGGAAATATTATTCTGACAATAAGGGAAAATTTATTTCTAGTGGTAAAAAAATTTACCTGTAAAAAAAACTTTATTTTTTTGGAAAAATTTATATACATAATATATAACATTATTATTATATTATATTATTATATATATTTATATTTATTTAAATATTTTTAAAAATTTTATTATATAAAAAATTGTTTTTCTATTTTTTTTATTTATTTTTTTTTTGTTTTTCTATTGTTTTTCTATTGTTTTTCTATTTTTAAAAAAATTTTTTATGTATTAGAGAAAATTACAAAGATTTAGAAAAAGAATAGAACAAATATTAAATTTGAGGAAACATCTTAAAATTAGAAGAAAGCACATGTAATTTATTTGTAGGCTGAAAATTAATAATGTAGAAAAAATTGTCTCAAAAATATTTTTGAATCATGCAAAAACCAAAAATTAGTATTAAATGTTGTGTCTGTAGTTTATACCTTTTTTTTAGCAGAAAGCAAATGTGAAATTCAATTAGTTAATTACACAGAAAGTTTCAAAACAAACCCTAAGGATACGACATGCAAAGCTGTGCTTAAAACTTACAATTAGTTGGTGCAATTTTATGTACTTTCACTCCAAATACCGAATAATTAAATTATCATATTTTTTTTCATTTAACGATTAATGTGGATCGTTTCTTAATATACCTTAAAATCTAAATAAAATGAACGAACAATGAAATGCATTTTTCAAACATTAAAAAAAATACCTTCTCCGCAACCCAGAAAATTTTATAACCATACCGGAAAGAAATAATAAAAAACAAGAACAATAAAAACGAAAATAAAACAAAAAAAAAGAATTGCTAATATGGAACGAATAAAAAACTCAATGTGAGGAAATTCCAATTAATTCAAAAATTGGAAATTTCGGGAAAGAGAGGATATCATGAAAATAAAGTAGGTACCAGATTTTACGGTTGAGTCCAAAACTGATGATCTTACAAACGCGTTGATTCCGCTTTTCCATTATGCTTAGTTTCAAGATATTGGTCTGTAAGAAACACGTTTTATTACAAAAAAATTTTCATTTTTTCTTGAAACAAAACAGAAAAAAAAATATCCGGAAATAAAATTCCCAAAAATCGTACCACCGTTGAATACACCATTTATTTAATTTTTGAACAGTATAGTCGTTAAAAATAATACACTATCTAATATTGGAACACAGTGAGAGTGCTGTTTGACAATATTTTTTTTTTAAATGCAATTATTCTGAAAAAACGAAGACAGAGGATATTTTTTTTTAAAGATTTAAAATTCAGTTGTGTTTAAAAAAAATTAGAGAGGCGCATGAATATTCCCTTAAATTTGTCAGGTTATAATTTTTATAACTGAATTTTTATGATGCAATGAAGAATAAAGAAGACGATGATAAAAAAAAAAAAAAAAAAAAAAAAAAAAAAAAAAAAAAGTTTCAAAAATAATAAAAAACGATTTTTTTATTCGACAATTTTTTCGGGGGATGTAAAAACAGTTTTTAAAAAGTTTAGCATGAATTTCGAAACATTTTAACATTTTCAATTTCAACTATTTTAACAAAAAATTAATTTTTAAATATTAAAATAAATACAATTTCTTTTAATAAAACAGAAACTCTGTAATTTAAAAATTTTACAGTGGAAAAAATATTTACTTAATTCAAAGAAAGATAAAATAATTTATTTAATAATTTTATTCTTATAAATTTAGTATTTTTAATAAAAAATGTTAAGTAATTAAATGAAGTTAGATAAATTTAAAAAAGTAACCATTATACAATAAAAAACGAAAATTAATTAAATTTAACAGTTTTTTATAAAGAATAGAATAGATTAAATAATTTAATTCGTGGAAAATTTAAATGACTTAAATTAGAGACTGAATTAAATTTTTCATCGATAAATGTTTTTAATGAACTAAATTAAAATATTTTATTTCAATATTAATTAATTCCAATTTTTTAAATGTCAAAATTTAAAGATTTGGTAACGAAATTTCATTTTTTTATAAATAAACATTAAATTTAATATTTTTAATTTTTAAATGTTGGTTAATAGAAAATTTTCGTAAACAAAAAATACATCGTAATTTAAAATTCAGTAAGTTTGATTTGAAATTTATAGATTTTAGCCTCAGGGAATATTAACACGCATCCTAAAATAAATTACTGTCAAAATTCAGTTAAATTGAACCGAGAATTGAACTAAAAATTTAACAGTTAAACTTAACTAGCAAATTATTTTGTTTTTTTATTTATTCGCAATAGATTTTATATTAAACATAACTAGTGTATTAATTTAACATAAAAAAATGTCTGTGAATCCCAAAAATTTATTTTTCCCAAAAATTATTTAAATATCGATGTAAAAATTTATTATTAAAATTTTAAAAAAATAGTTAAAATAGTAATTTCTATGCATGCATTAAATAACGATATTTCCACCGCAAATAAAAATGATTGACAACTGTATATATATATATATAATTTAAAAAAAAAGATACAAAAAATCACCGAAAAAAAAATTTTACAGCACATTTAATATTTAAATGTATTTTTAAAATTCGGCTAAAAACGGAAATCGGGCCAAGTAATGACTTAATTATTCATTAAAAATGTTATTTCTGCTACTTCGATGAATATTATCATAAAATTTTAATAAAAAAATAATATTAAATTCTATAGTCGACGTAAAATGATAAATGTATGACTGAAATGGCGTGCAAACATGAATAATTATTTATTTCTATTAGTAAATGGTTATAAAAAAAAGAACGCATTTAGGAAAAATTGTAGTGTAATTTTTATCAGAATATTTCGTATTGATTGTGTATTATTTATTACAGAATCTTTACCATTTTTATTTAAAATACGAATCTGTTTTTTTTTTTTTTTTTTTTTTTAAATTAAAGCTAATCAAAGTACTTGACGAAATATAATAAATAATAACGATCAACCGAAAATTATGACAAGTACCTACGCAATTGGAGGGAAAACACGCATGCACCACTAAAAATTACCCATCTCAATAAATTATATTTCGACGGTTGATAAACAGACGAGGTAAAAATTATTCTGTGTAGGTTGCGTTTGTCATTCATTGACATTCATGACATTATTGACTACCACTTTAAGGCTTAATGAAAATAAATTCAATCTTCCCCATATTAAATAATTCTGTAAATTAATAATAATCCATCAACTGCACAAGGAGAAAAAAATGGAAAAACTAAGACAATAGTTGTTAAAAAATAAGAAAAAAAACAAAAAAATGAAAAAAAAATTTTTAAATAAAAAAAAAATTTCTTTAATAAAAAAAATGTTAAACAATGTTAAACAAAAAACAAAAAGGGAAATACAAGAACGAAATTTAAAAAACTTTCAAAAACAAAATTTTTAGAAATTAAAAAAAAATAAAATAAAAAAATGTTAAAAATGTTAAACAAAAAAGGAAATACAATAACGAAATTTCAAAAAAACTATTATCAAAAATATAAAAAAGACAAACAAAAAATAAAAAATAACAAAAATTAAAAATAATAAAACATAAAAAGTATATTATTACTAAAATTATTTTAAACATTCGAATAATTTTTTTACTCGGATCTCATATTTTTTTCCAATTTCTTTTTATTCTTATAATACAATAATTAACGTTTTTTGTTCAATTCACCCAATTTTTTTGAATACTTCACAGAGTTTTCCAATTTTTGTGACTTTAACTGCAAACTTGAAAACATCAATTGAACTACATGAAAAAAAAATAAAAGAAAAATGAACAAAAACGAAATTACAAAAACTAATATCAAAAAAGAAATTAACAAAAAAGAACAACAGTTGAAAATAAATAAGAAATTTCAATAACTACCTATTATGAAAAAAGAAATTAATAAAAAAAGAACAAATAGAGTTGAAAATAAAAAAAAAAAAAAAAAAAAAAAAAAAAAAAAAAAAAAAAATTAAACTAGTATAAGGAAAAATTAACAAAAAAGAACAAATGGAGTTTAAAATAAAAAAGAAAAATAAAAACGAAATTTCAAAAACTAATATTCAAAAAGAAATTAACAAAAAAAACAAATAAATGGAGTTAAAAATAAAAAAGAAATAAAAAAAGAAATAAAAAAAAGAAATTAAAAAAACTGAAAAGAAATAAAATAAATATTTATAAAATAAAAAATTAAATTAATCCTAAACACATCAAAATTAAAAATTAGTTATTCGAAAATAATTCTCTAAATTATAAAAATTAGTTGCAGCAAAATAAAAAAAACTAAACTATTCGCAAACAAATGTACAAAAAAAATACTACAAAAGGCAAAAATGAAAATATTTTAAATTTAAAAAAAAGGTAAATTAATCTGGCATTCGAATTAAACGATCCATAAAATAGATAAGAGTGAAAGAATCCCAAAAAATTGCAAAAAAGGGAAAATTGTTATTTTTTTTTTCACTCACCAGCAATGGTGAGATCAACGACTGCCTTGTCCTTTTGGATGTACAAAGCTGTAAGGAAAAAGAAGAGACTCCCAATGACTTCGACGAAAATTGTCAAGAAGAGAGAATACTGAAGACTTCTGTACTCAATTAAATCACTGTTATTCACACTGAAGTCGGAAACTCCATTTGGCATCATATTTGACTTCATTACTTCCGATATCTGTTAATTTAAATAATCATTTTTCTTTATATTGAGCATTTTTAAAATAATTTTCAATACGTGGGCGTGTTTATAAATTTTTTAAAAAAAACTTTTCAAATTCAAATATTTTAAAATTTATTATTTAAAAAATTAAAATAATTAATTCTTAATTGCAATCTTACTTAATATTAAGTATTAATATTAATACATTAAACTTTTTTTCATCTTTTACTTTAAATCATCAAAAAATATATTTCAATAAAAATTTTTTTTTTTTTTTAATTAATAAAATTTTTTGAAACTTACTATTCCAATGAGGTAGGGACTGCCCGCATCGCCCAGGGCATGTGCTATGAGAATTTGCAGAGCCTCTGCTGATGATCTTCTTGTAGGAATCACGACATACTGAAAAAAAATTATTTAAATATTCATTTAACAATAAAAACTTATCAATTTATTTAATTTATTTAATTTATTTAATTATATAATTAAAATAAATAAATTAGAATAAAATAAATTTTTAATTTATTTAATTTATATAATTAAAATAAAAAAAAAGAATAAAATAAATTTTTAATTTATTTAACAATATATAAACTTGATTTATTTTAAAACTAAACGTTTAAAATAATATTTGACTGCAAATTGCGTAAGAAAATAGATTCTGCATTTTTTAATTATTATGCTTTTCAATTTTTTCTTTTATCATTCAAAAGATTGTTTTCGTAATTTTATAAAATATTCATTATAACAAAATTTTATGATTTAAAGCAAAAGTTTGGAAAGCGAGATTAAAAAAACAACTTAAAATTACAAAGTAAATTCGAAAAAGAATTTTTTTGGTCTAGATTTGTTAAAAGAAAAACTTTTGTTCTTAATTAAATTGAAGAGAAATAAAAGAAAACATAAAAGAAGATTGAATTAAAAAAATATGCCTTTTCTATTATTTTAAAAATTAATTCATTGTTAGTTTACATTACAATAGAGTAGGTATTTATTCTTAATTTAATTTATTTTTAATTATTGGGGATTAACTTCAATAAACGAACTTTAATTTTATCTAACATCTATATTAACGTATATTCATAACTTAATGAGTCCATATTGTTTTATTATCTCAATTAAGTGTTCTAGTAGAGAAAATTATTCTTTATTACATTTTAATAATGAATAAATTTTAATAATTATCATTTATGATAAGTTTTTAATTATCGATTTTGGCCAATTTTTATTCTTTATATAAAAATCGATCGTCTCATCGGTTTATTAAAAATAATAAGGATTCATAAACCAAACTTTATTTAAATTTCTATTTTATTTTATGACATTTTGCTTAAAAAAAAGTGCGCCCAAGGTGATCACCATTCAAAAATTCACTGAAAAATAAAAAAAAAATAGTTGCTTTGTAAGAAGCCATTCTAAAATATTATTAATTATTTATCCTATTTCATATACAATAAAAAATAAATTATTTTATTATTTCATTATAAAATTTTCCAAATCGATAAAATTTACATTTTCTATAATAAATTTTGATAAACATTACATCGTAAAAAAATTCAAAAGTGATTTTACATAAAAACGCATGGTGGGAAACTTAGGGCCCTGGGCACCTTGGGGCCCTCTACTATATATTTATTTATTTTTTTAGAGTAAAAGATTAAAAAAAAAATTTTTTTCAAATAAGTAAATAATAATTTAACACTTACCAGAAGCATATCGGCCACAATGGACCAATTGATATTAATGGCAACTTGTCCGAAGAATATTAATATATAGCAAACTGTAGAATTTATACCGGCCATAACAATGCCAAAAAATACTAGCGGCGTACTGATAAGAAGTCCAAATGCACAAATCAATGGATCTGTTTGTGTATAATAAACACGCAATTTTTGCGCCAGCATTGATCCTAATGGTACGCCGATCAATCCAGCGATCATTGCCGTCAGTCCAAATTTATATGCGACACTGGAAATTCAAAAATCAATTATAATAATTAATTTTTGCAACGAAATAATTTTGGGATACCTTTTTACCCCAATTATACTCTTATTTTATATTCTTTTATTTTTTAACTTTATACAAACATATTTTTGTAAAATTGTACAAAATTACCGCCAAATGGAGTAATAAGTAACAGGAGTTAAAATTTTGATTAAAAAATATTTATTATCTTGAGTTAAAATTTAGGCCCTGTACTTATTACCTCACATGTTAGTAATTACCCCCATTTGACAGTATTTACCAAATAAAAAACACGATACTTACTCATTTTCATCGACATTGTCATCGTTTAATTGCAATTTTAATCCTAATTTAAGAAAAGTGGGCCCCCACCAGGCTAATGCACCAGTTACGAATGAGACGCAAGTGAAGCCAGCAGTGGACAACATAAAACTATGACTGTTGAGAAGAAAAATAATAAATACACAAAAATTACTTTTCAGATAAAAGTATTTTAAATTTTAAGAATTTATTCTAATCAAAATATATAAAATTTTAATAATTTTTCTGATATAAAAATATATTAAAAAATTTTTAATAATTTTAAAAATTTTAAAGAAAGAAAAGTATTCTTTACTTCTTCACTAGAGATTTCATATCATCAAGCCAGGAAGTATTGACAATATTTGTGCCTCCCTCTTTTTCGCCTCTGATTGGATCTCGTACCAAAAGTAGAATCAGAATGATCGCTACAATTCCCAAGATGGGAGTTATTCGTAAACCCCATTGCCAGGAACCTGTCGCTTTTGCAGTTTCTCCCCCGATAATGTACCCTAAACCACTGAAGAAAACTTTCTCTTACTTAACGACATTTGAATAAACAAAAAAAGCCTTGAGGGTTAAAATGACTACCGAAAAATAAAATCGATTCACACTTTTTCTATATATATATATATACATGTGAAAAAAATACTAAAACTGAAAATTGAACGAAAAATCAATTCAATCTTTCTTCAATTATAATGATTTTCAATTATGAATTATGAATATATTCTTAAACATTGTATTTTGTAATGCTAAGATAAAAATTAGAATTTATAATTTTTGTTCCAGTTTTTTTATTGTCACATAAATTAGAATTTAAAATGAAATTAAAAGAGTTTTTATTTTAACTCACCTTCCGACTGGAATGGCAAAATAGAAAAGAGCGAGCATTTTTGAGCGAACATCTTTTATAAATAAGTCACTAATTATAGTTGGAGCAATAGTCGAATAACTCGCTTCGCCAACTCCAACCATAGTTCTAAATACGAGAAACCATCCGTAGGTCTAAACACAAAATTCAATTTTCAATTTATTAATTTTCCGAAAAGTTTTTATAACTAAGTTCCAAAAGTTTTTATAACTTTTAATTTTTGTTAAATTTATTATAATTAGAATATTATTAGATTTAAATCTGCCCTATTGAAAATTGGAACCTATGGGGGTTCGAATTTAAATTATATACTTGAAGAATAAAAAACAAAACCGTATAGGTTTCTTATGGGTCCCCATGTGTTCCTATTAATGAATTTTAAATATGAATACAAAAACATTTTTTAAATGGGTTCCTATGTGGGTTTATATGGGTTCCTAGTCAGTGTATAAAAAATATAAATAAATAATATAAACCCCTCTGGGTTCCCAAATTGGAACCTAAATAGAGACTTATAAGGTCCCATATGGTAAATTCGATGGGTTGACATATAAATTTCCATATAGGTTCTAAAGGACCCCATATGGCAATTTTCAATAGGGTATTTTTTTTAAATAATTATAGTGATGTCTTGATAATTAATTTGATTGTCTTATGCGTTTCAAAATTCTAAAATTATAAGAAATTTTAAATTATAATTATAACTATTACCTTCATATAGGAACCTATAAATGTCGTCAGGCACCAAAGAAATACACCCAGACCCATGATGATTTTTCGATTATATCGATCACCCAAGTATCCGAATACAGGTGCACAAAACATGTAACTTATAATAAAGGCAGTCTGCAAGAGACCCGCTTTCCCATAACCAATGTCAAACTCTTTTTTCACATCATCCAGGATTCCTGAAAAACAAAATTTAAAAACCCCATTAAAATTGATGGATGAAAAATATTTCCATGAAGATAATTTAAATTCAAATTTAAATTTAATTATAAATATAAATTTGAATTTAATTTAAAAATTAAATTTAAAAATAAACTTTAAGGGGTCAGGGCACCATAGAATTTTTAAAAATTCGGAAATTTTTTTTATTGGCTTCAAAAATTTTTTAATTGCGCAGTAGAATAGGATTGGGGCCATCCATATAAACAGATGGATGGATTAAGAAATAGGATTTGGTATTTAGGAATAATAAATAAGAATTGATATTTAAATTTGTTTCTTTTATAAATTTCTTTCATTTTTAATTTATTTAATGAAATAAGAAATATTAAAGGAGAAAACAATTTTCAGTTTACATCTGATAATAATATCAACGGCATAAAGCACCTATGGCAAATGGATATGGCGATGAGAGTTTGTGTATTATAACCCTATATCAAAGTTGGTATAGTTTGATGTGAATGCAGTTTGGCTCTAAGGTCATTGCAACTAAGTGTCCTAATCAATTTGTCTCGATGAGACAAATTGCTTCTACGATCGACTATAACCCCCTTCATGACGACAAAGACAATTTTCAAAAAGCAATCATGTTATATATACTCAAATCTTATTTGCAACTATCTATACATATATATGGTAACCATCGTCAACAAGCTTTCAGTATTTTTCTTTACGGACCAATAATAAAAAATTAGGGACCATTTCCGAACCAAAAAAAAAATATAACCAGTTCGAGTCAAATAAGAAAATATTTTACTTAAAACTTGAAATTAAATTTGTCAACAATAAAACATGAAGATATCGATAATGTTTTTATCAATTTTTTTGTTTTTTGAGTTCATTGAATTGTTAGTTAAAAATATGAAAAATTCAAATTTTTTAAGATTTTAATTTGAAACCTTTTGAAAATTCAATTATTTCTAAAAATTTACCCTCTAATGCTTTTAAAGTTCAATTATCCAAAATTTTAACTGAAATACATTTTTAAATCAATGTTTATGAAAAAATTTTATTAGAATTCAATTATTTAAATACAAAAATAACAATTTATTGAATAATTGCATGTTTCTTAAAATTAAATTCTCATAAAGAATTTTATCTATAAATTTTTAAACTTTAGAGGGCTGGTGGGGCCACTATAGTGGCTACCATTTATTTTGACAAATCTTTTTATTAAATTGACTTTTTATTTATAAATTTTTTTTTTAATAAAAAACTACTAAAAATTGTGCAAATTTACCGGTCCTCTAAAGGTTAAATAACTGAATTCTTGTGACGAATTTTAATAAAATTTTAAAGAATTTTTTCGATGAATTCGATTAAAATTGTATTATAAAAATAATTGAAATTCTGCAATGAGTTTTATTATTTATAATATTGAATTCCTAAAAAGAATTTTATTATTTACGAAAATAATTGAATCCCCGTAAAAATTTTATTATTTTATGAAAATAATTGAATGATTGCGAAAAAATTTGTATGTAATGAAATTCCTGTGGAATTTTTATTATTTTTTAAAAATAATTAAAAGTATGTGATAGAATTTTATTAAATTTAAAATTTATTTTTTTAAATAATTGAATTACCTATTTTGGAAAATTTTATGAAAAATAGATATTGAAAATCATTGAATTCCGGAATTTTTTTGAAAATAATTTAATTTCGAAGAAGAATTTAATTATTTCTAAAGATAATTGAAATTTTAATGAGAATTTTTAAAAATTTTTGAACATAATTGAATTTCTGCGAAGAATTTTATTAATTTTGAAAATAATTGAATTTCTGCAATCGTTTCTAACTTTTTCAAAATTTCCAAAATTATATCGTACAATTTACGAACTTTTCATCCTTTTTGAATTAAATTACGATGTAGCGCATTCTTTTGCCTCTTTTGCAAAGTTTTGGAAAAAATAAACTATTGTATCGACGCATTGAATGTCATAAAACAGTTTGAAAGTAGTTTAATCATCCGTTGGACACAAAAAAATATTATAGGGTAGATCTCTCATCCTGAGGGAGGATTTGAGTGATAAAGTAATTCAACTAACTGTAGGTAAAGTAGAACTCTAGAATGTCAAAAAAGGAATAAAGCTTTGACCCACATAATCTAATAATAAAAAAAAAAAAAAAAAAAAAAAAAAAATTGTAGCAAATCGTAAAAAAGTAGTAAAATGTAGGTTTTAAGTAAATGAGTACGAAGCCTGAAATTTTTAAATATTCTCCCTGATTCTTCGATGCGGTTTACCTCACATTACCCGCAGGTGTCTATCTAGTGTTTCAAGTCGAGTGAGAGCCTCGATGAAAAATATTTTTTAAAAATCAGAATCTTGTAAGAAAAAGAAATTTCAATTTACTATATGTATAAAAAATTACTTTATGAATATTTATTGTTAATTTACTTCTTAAGAGACATGTGTCTTGTTTAAAAAACTTTTCAAACTATGAGAATTTTGTAAAGAACATTTTTTTCCACTCTATAATTATTATTTATTAATTTTCAATCTATAATTAAATCTATTTTTTCTATCTATATGAATATATTCACTTACACTTAAAATTATTTAAAATTAAAAAATTAATTTAAATTTTAACGTTAATATTAATTAAACTTATTGAAGTTTACAAAATAATATAAATTATAATTATTATTTATAATTATAATTCTTTAATTTATATAGAAAAAAAAGTTCTTCATTAAACTATTTTTTATTTTAAATCAAAGGTGCTATTATTTTTAAAAAATTAAAATTTTTAATCTAATAAGTACTTTTGAATAAATAAATATAACAATACTTTACCAAAGCCACGTTAAATATTCTAATGAAATAAACATTTACCTTTTAAATAATAAAAAGAAAAGATAATGAATAATTTGAATTGAAAATTCTTAATAATAGATAATAGTAGAAACATTTTCTTACAAGATAAAAAATATTTTTTTAAAGTAGTATAAATATTTTAAAAAGTATATAAATATTTTAAAGAGTTTATAAATTTTCTAAAAAGTATATAAATATTTTAAAAAGTATATAAATATTTTAAAAAGTATATAACAAATATTTTCTGAATTAAATAAAAAAAATTTGTTTACATTTTTATAACTTCTTATTATTTGTTCTGGAATATTATTCAGCAAAATATTTTGCAAATAGACTTGCATTATTTTTATAAACAAAATGATTTAGTTATTTCATAATATTTATTAATTTAATGACGTAATATTTAATAAGTCTTTCGAATGTTTTTAAAAAGACAGAATTGCAGAATTAATTCAAAATATAAAATAAAATGAACTTGATTGATAAGAAAATTAGAGGAAATAAAAATCCGACAAGACATTTACGAGACGTCGTAATGAGATATATGGACAAAAAAAGGAATATTCTTCATATGGACTTAAACGTCTGATTGTGAGGTAAGGTATAGTCAAAAAACTGTTACAAGGATGACAAGATTTATACCATTTTTTTTTTATCATTTTTCAGTTCATTTATCTTCCGATGACTTGGTGAATAAACAATTTGTTTATTAAAATAAAAAGAACTACAAAGAATTAAAGAAGTTTTCTATACAATACAAACTAAAAGCAAATTTATTGCTTTTAGTTTCTATATTATAATCTACTTTTTAAAGTCGCGCATTGTCTTCTCTGAATTAATCGGGAGGATTAATTATATCTCCTACAAATGGCAAAGAACTTTGATATATCAACAAAATTTAGTCGTATTTGCAAAAAGTACTGTTTACTAAAGAAATTTGATTGATTTTAAAATTTATGATGAAAATCTATTTTATAATCAAAATATTTATATCAAGTTTAAATTAAAACAAATATTTTTACTATAAAATTTTTAAAAGAATTCTACAAATTTTGTTCTTTTTTACTGTTTGACGCGTTAAATATTAATTATAATCTTTATCAGTTGCAGTCAAAATAGAAAATATTTTTCTCTCAATGTCTCAGTAAATAAAAAAATTAAAAGAGATCATGGGTCATATCAATATTTACAATAATGTCTGTCAGTCAATTGAGAAAAATGTTCAGATTTTTCCATAATATTAAAAAAATAAATAATAATAAAAATAATAAAAAATAATAATAAAAATTTTTTAATTTACACTAAAATTTTAATATTGCTAATAAGAAAAATGTTTGTAAACTAAAATGTACAATAATTTTTAGATAATACACATTTATTGTTAGATTTAATTTAAGTTAACGTTTATTAATTAAAAAACTTTAATTACTAAAATTATAAATTAGTATATAATAATAATAGAAAAAGGCACAGAAAATGATTTGTAAAACAGTATTTAGTATATATTAGTAAAGTTAAAATTGATGACATGAAACAGAAATACAATTAATTTTCCATTGACAATGATGATGCGTTTTTAAAGTGTTTTTTTTTTGTTACGTGAATTTACATTAAGAGATTTAGAATAAATTTATTTTATTTTTTACGAATTTATAAAAATGAACAAAACTGTATGTTTATCTATTTTTAGTTTCTAATTATAAAAAAGTTTAATAAGTTTAAAAACAAATTAATAAATTATACGTTTTTAAGAAAGTTTAATATATACATGTTTCAAAAGATTGACATTTAGATGATTTTATAGACCAACTATATATTTTATAATTTTCTTCCTATATAACTATATATGAACTTTAAATAAAAATTTTTCAGAAATACATTTTAAAAAGACATTTAGACGTTTATTTATAGATAAAATTCTTTATGAGAATTTAATTTTAAGAAATATGCAATTATTCAATATATTGTTATTTTTGTATTTAAATAATTGAATTCTAGTAGAATTTTTTCATAAAACATTGATTTAAAAATGGATTTCAGTTAAAATTTTGGATAATTGAATTTTAAAAGCATTAGAGGGTAATTTTTTTTAGAAATAATTGAATTTTGAAAAGGTTTCAGATTAAAATCTTTGAAAATTTGAATTTTTCATATTTTTAACTATAACAATTCTGTGGAATTAATTTTTTTTGAGAAACTTTAATTGCGGGTTTTTTTGAAATTATTTAGTTTTTATTTTCTAATATTTATTTAATTGAAGAATTTACGAATAATTGAAATTTCGTTAAATTGAATATATTGTAAAGAAATGGATTTGAAAATTGTCAAAGAACTTTTTCGAAAATTATTAAAAATAATCGATTTAAAGAAGAATAAATTTCTGATAGATGCTCAATATCTTTTCTTTCGTTAATAGAGTTAGAAGTCACAATGCGTGTCATTTCTAAAACCAATTTTTTTCTATATTTTTCAGTTTTGTTTAAAATTGTTGTATTATCGAAGTCAAATGTATAGTTATATTTATCAATATGTTTTGTTAGTGCTGTTTGTTTATCATGTGGATGTAAATAATGTCTTTTCTGTTCATATAGAATCGGTTTTTTTAAAAATCTTCTTTCTTGTTTGTCCAATTATAATTGCCTGAATATTACTGCAAGGAATAAATGTTTTTAACTTATCTTTAAAATTTAATAATGAAAATAAACGAGAACATATATTGTATAGTTTTAATTAATGATCAATTGTAATGCTAGTTATTAAATTAAAAAACGTAGTGATTATTTTTAAAAAAACTGTTTAAAAATAAAAATGTTTAGAAGTACAATTTTTCAAGTTGGAAATTTTAAATTGAAATTAAAATAAAAGTTGGAAATTTTAAATTAAAATTAAAATAAAAAATAAAAGTTGAAAATTTTAAATTAAAATTAAAAAAAATAAAAAGTAATATTTTAGAATTCAATTTTGCGAATAATTTTTAATGCTCACATGTAGCTAATTCTTAGTTTGTTATTTTATATTCGTTCTCTTATTGTATTCATTTTATTAATTTTATTATTGATTATATCGATAGTCTTGTGCGTAACCTCCTCTTGTAAAATACAGTTTTGTAATAAACAAGTGTAATAAATATAAAAAATAAATAAATACTAATATTAAATATAACTAAATACTTTAAATAGAAAATATAACTGAGTGTTAAGAAATAATTTTTTAGTTATAGAATTGCCAAGCGGAATTTTAATGATGATGCAAGAACTTTTCGAAAAAAGACAACTTTTGAATATGTAGCCATTTTTTTATATATACAAACATAATACTAAGCCAGTAGTAATTATACTTTTTTAAATAAGCAAATTTCTTATCACTATTATTATTGAAGTACGTCAAAGATTAAAAAAGTAATTACTTTTAATAACCATATGTATATATAACACTTAAAATTTTGAGGTTATGTTACAATAAGCCAAAGGGTATATTTAAATTATATAATTGAATCAAAAAGAAAAATTAAAATACAGTTAAAAAAAAAGCTTACCAGCAATAGTAAGTCTGTCCATGTAATTGATTAAATTGACGAAGCATAATACAAGAACGGTAATCCATTCCGAAGCAGTAATTGTTCTACCCTCAGTTGTATTTGTCGAATTTTTTATTTCCCTCGACGATGAGGAGATTTCCTGTTCTGAGTTAATCATTAGATGCTGATTTGAAACTGTCGGACGTATTCTAACTTCGTCCATAATATATAAATATTATTTTTTTTTCACTCACAGAAAAAAACACTATAACCTTAAAAATTAGACACAAATCAGAAAAGGGATTTTTTTGAATGAAACTTAAAGATACCGATTTATCACTTTACCGACGACTCCATAAGGGAAAAATTTTGTTTGTCATATTATTTTAAAAGTAGAAGAAACAGTGATCACAATTAACCGCATCTATGATGCATTGACGACATGCATCACTGCCGGGGACCTGATGTTAATCACACCACTTTATTTCGACGAACCAAATGCAAGTCTCGATCAAACACATGCGCACACATCTCAATACAAATACAAAGTTAGGTTACATATGTGTATGTGTGTGTGTGTGTCTTGTTGTTGTGTATAAAAAGAAAGGTATTTAGCTATAGTTCAATTCCGTTTAAATATACAAGGGACACACCGGCATATTTCCGAAAAGCATGGAAACGCCTAATATTTGTATTTCTCAGAACCGTTATAACGAAATTTTCACATTAAAAATTCTCTGCCATTCAAGTTTTAGAAACAATTTTCTTAAAAAAGCGAATTGGAATTATTTTGACACAAACGATTTTTTAAAGATTAATATAAAGGATGTTTAGAAACATTTCATTTTGAGTTCATTCATTTTTTTAATATTTAGAAACGACAGGGTTTGAAAAAAGATTGTTAGTGAGATTATTTAAGAAAAGTCGAAAAAAATGTTGTTCTATAGAACTTTTTTTTTATTGAAATTAATTATGACATTGAAAGTTTTATTGAAATAAAATTAATAAACATATAATATAAGTGTTTTGGTTACAAATAAAATGTAAAGTACTTCGATCCTTGATAATATTAAAAGTAACAATATAGATAATAGTATACAATAGTAACAATAGATTGAAAAAAAACTATTATTATATACTGTTAGTAGTACTAACTCTTAGTAACAATTTTGGAAATTTCCATACCACTGACAATTTAGATGCCTTGGTAAAGCATACTGAGGATATGTTTGAACATTCTGTCCTTGATAAGGTTGAACACCATATCCTTGTCTATAAGGGTTATATGCTGGAATATTCTGTCCTTGAGAAAATGGAACAACTCCTTGTCTCTGAGGATAATTAGTTAATACAACTGGACTTTGAGTAGGTTGAGCTCCAACACCTTGTTCTTGAAGATAGTATGTTGGTCGGTTATAAGGATAAACATAATTTGTCGCTTGAGTTGAGGATCCCTGATTTGTTAAACTTCCAACATTCATTACTTGATTTTGATTTGGTTGAGTTGAAGTACCTTGATATTGTCTCAATTGGGTTCCTGCTACTTGATTTTGAAATTGTAGAGAGCCAAGTCCTGGATATTGTGTTGCTTGTGATCCAAACCCAACAAATTGTGATGATTGCCTTCCAGGTATTTGATTTTGCACATTTTGAGTTCCAAATCCTTGAAATTGAGTTGGTTGACTTCCAAGTCCTTGGAATTGAGGTGGTTGACTTACAAATCCTTGGGTTTGAGTTGGATAAGGTCTGTTGGTTGGTTGCGTTGCAAGTCCTTGGAATTGAGTTGGTTGATATCCGAATCCTTGGGTTTGAATTGGTTGCGATGCAAGTCCTTGGGTTTGATATGGTTGACTTACAAATCCTTGGGTTTGAGTTGGATAAGGTCCTTGAAATTGAGTAAATTGAGTTCCAAACCTTTGGGTTTGAGTTGGTTGTGCTGCAAGTCCTTGCATTTGAGTTAAATAAGGTACAAATCCTTGGAATTGAGTAGGTTGACCTCCTACTCCATAATGTGTGCCAAGTTGACCTCCAACGACTGGTTGAACTCCAAGTTGTCCTCCAACTACTGGTTGAACACCAAGTTGACCTCCAACGACTGGTTGAGTGCCAGGTTGGCCTCCAAGTCCTGGTTGACCTCCATATCGTGGTTGAATACCAACTTGACCACTAAGTCCTGATTGAGCTCTAAGACCTAGTTGATTTCCATATGCTGGTTGAGTAACAAGTTGACCTCCAAATTCTGGTTGAGTGACAGGTTCACCTCCAGCTCCTGGTTGAGTATTAAGTTGTCCTCCAAAACCTGGTTGAGCGCCAGGTTGGCCACCAAAATCTTGTTGAACTCCAGGTTGTCCTCCAGCTCCTAGTTGAGTACCAAGTTGGCCTTTAACTCCTGGTTGAGCTCCAGGTTGTCCTCCAAAACCTGGTTGAGCACCAGGATATCCTCCAACACCTAGTTGAACTCCAGGTTGTCCTCCAACATCTGGTTGAGCACCAGGTTGTCCTCCAGCTCCCAGTTGAGTACCAAGTTGGCCTTCAACTCCTGGTTGAGCTCCAGGTTGTCCTCCAAAACCTGGTTGAGCACCAGGATATCCTCCAACACCTGGTTGAGCTCCAGATTGTCCTCCAGCTCCTATTTGAGTACCAAGTTGGCCTCCACCTCCTGGTTGAGCTCCAGGTTGTTCTCTAACACCTGGTTGAGCTCCAGGTTGTCCTTCAGCTCCTATTTGAGTACCAAGTTGGCCTCCACCTCCTGGTTGAGCTTCAGGTTGTCCTCCAAGACCTGGTTGAGCTCCAGGTTGTCCTTCAGCTCCTATTTGAGTACCAAGTTGGCCTTCAACACCTGGTTGAGCTCCAGGTTGTCCTGCAGCTACTAGTTGAGTACCAAGTTGTCCTCCAACACCTGGTTGAGTACCAAGTTGGCCTCCAACTCCTGGTTGTCCTCCAGCTTCTAGTTGAGTACTAAGTTGTCCTCCAGCTCCTAGTTGAGAACTATGTTGTCCTCCAACATCTGGTTGAGCTCCAAGTAGGCCTGCAACTGCAGATTGAGCTACAGGTTGTCCTCCAGCTTCTAGTTGAGTATCAAGTTGTCCTCGAACACCTAGTTGAGCTCCATGTTGTTCTCCATCTCCTAGATGAGTATCTGGTTGTCCTCCAACACCTGGTTTAGCTCCAGGTTGTCCTCCAGCTCCTATTTGAGTACCAAGTTGGCCTCCACCTCCTGGTTGAGCTCCAGGTTGTTCTCTAACACCTGGTTGAGCTCCAGGTTGTCCTTCAGCTCCTATTTGAGTACCAAGTTGGCCTCCACCTCCTGGTTGAGCTCCAGGTTGTTCTCTAACACCTGGTTGAGCTCCAGGTTGTCCTTCAGCTCCTATTTGAGTACCAAGTTGGCCTCCACCTCCTGGTTGAGCTTCAGGTTGTCCTCCAAGACCTGGTTGAGCTCCAGGTTGTCCTTCAGCTCCTATTTGAGTACCAAGTTGGCCTTCAACACCTGGTTGAGCTCCAGGTTGTCCTCCAAAACCTGGTTGAGCACCAGGATATCCTCCAACACCTAGTTGAACTCCAGGTTGTCCTCCAACATCTGGTTGAGCACCAGGTTGTCCTCCAGCTCCCAGTTGAGTACCAAGTTGGCCTTCAACTCCTGGTTGAGCTCCAGGTTGTCCTCCAAAACCTGGTTGAGCACCAGGATATCCTCCAACACCTGGTTGAGCTCCAGATTGTCCTCCAGCTCCTATTTGAGTACCAAGTTGGCCTCCACCTCCTGGTTGAGCTCCAGGTTGTTCTCTAACACCTGGTTGAGCTCCAGGTTGTCCTTCAGCTCCTATTTGAGTACCAAGTTGGCCTCCACCTCCTGGTTGAGCTTCAGGTTGTCCTCCAAGACCTGGTTGAGCTCCAGGTTGTCCTTCAGCTCCTATTTGAGTACCAAGTTGGCCTTCAACACCTGGTTGAGCTCCAGGTTGTCCTGCAGCTACTAGTTGAGTACCAAGTTGTCCTCCAACACCTGGTTGAGTACCAAGTTGGCCTCCAACTCCTGGTTGTCCTCCAGCTTCTAGTTGAGTACTAAGTTGTCCTCCAGCTCCTAGTTGAGAACTATGTTGTCCTCCAACATCTGGTTGAGCTCCAAGTAGGCCTGCAACTGCAGATTGAGCTACAGGTTGTCCTCCAGCTCCTAGTTGAGTATCAAGTTGTCCTCGAACACCTAGTTGAGCTCCATGTTGTTCTCCATCTCCTAGATGAGTATCTGGTTGTCCTCCAACACCTGGTTTAGCTCCAGGTTGTCCTCCAGCTCCTATTTGAGTACCAAGTTGGCCTCCACCTCCTGGTTGAGCTCCATGTTGTTCTCCATCTCCTAGATGAGTATCTGGTTGTCCTCCAACACCTGGTTGAGCTCCAGGTTGTTCTCTAGCTCCTAAGTGAGTATCAGGTTGTCCTCCAGCTGTTGGTTGAGCTCCAGGTTGTCCTCTAACACCTGTTTGAGCTCCAGGTTGTCCTTCTGCTCCTATTTGAGTACCAAGTTGGCCTTCAACTCCTGGTTGAGCTCCAGGTTGTCCTTCAGCTCCCAGTTGAGTACCAAGTTGGCCTCCAACACCTGGTTGAGCTCCAGGTTGTCCTTCAGCTCCCAGTTCATTACCAAGTTGGCCTCCAATTCCTGGTTGAGCTCCAGGTTGTGGGATTTGTTCTTGTTGAATAGTATTCTGTGCTTTAACATCTATTGCAATATTGAACAGTAATACAACCCCTATTAATTTAACATTTAAATGAAAATTTTTCATTTCTTTTATTTTATCTTTAATTTCGTAAAAAAAGTATTTCACATATTTAAAAAAAATAATAAAATAGATTCAAAAATGTTCCTTTATATAGACGGTGGTTATTTATTGTTATTATTCTGTTTTTTAGAAAATACGCATTATTCAGAAAAGCAAACATTAACACTACATTTGCTCATGAAATTTATTAAAAATTTTTAATTTACATACATGTGTCTAGTTTGTTTGCTATAAATGTATTTTTATTCATATGTATTTTTTAGTACTTCACGTTATATCGAATTTAACAAATTTAAATAATTGTTTTTTACTTTTACTATTTATAATTACTGTTTTCTTAAATTTGTATTACGTCCAGTATGATGTAGTAAAAGCTTAGAATAACTTACAATGTTTTTTTTTTGCTTTTATTATTTGAAGACAAAATGAAATAATAAATTTATCTATATTATACAGAATCAAAATTGCATCTAAGGCTTTTTTTTAAAGTTTTGAAAACAATTTTTTAGATGAACAAATTATATTCATACATATATATTATTTCATTTTTATTGCAATATTTTAATTTTATAATTGTATATATTTTTGAAGCTACTATATATTTACTTCTTATATTATTCTTCTTTCAATATTTCCACATCTGTGTAATTATTGAAATCCTTATTGACATTAAATTGGTTTCGAAATGTGTTTTACATTTTTCGTGAATGTCAAATATTTATTACAAAATAGGTAATTCTATTTTAAGGTACACTGAATTACTAAAGAAGTTCATTAACTAAACAGAAAGCCCTTGTTTATATTAATTATCTGTTTATTTTATTAATACAATCTATAAAAATGTTTTCAAGTTTTCTAGAAATTATTATTTATTACATAATAATGTGTGCTATTGGTTGTTGTTCATGTTTTTTTTTACTAGAATATTTCAAATTTTAAATTGTGGAATTAACATTAATGCAGAAAACTTGGCAAATTTTGGCCCCTTTATCCTTCTCTGTGACTAACATAGAATTCAACTTGAATTTTATGTGAGAACGAAATTGAGAATAAATCTAATGAAGTTTTTCTCTTTTTATCCGTATCATATAAATATTATATATTTATTCTACCAAGGCCTTTATATATTACGTTGTACAAAAAAAATTGTTTTTTTTGTGTATTTATTCATAATCCTAATTTCATATTCATATTTAATTTTGTCTTTCAAACTGCTGTGTAATTTATTTTTATTTCAAGTTTGATGAATTTAATAATAATCATCAGATAATTCACTGTAATTATTTTCCTGCAAGCCTATTTTCATATTAAGCTTTGGCATGATCATAAGGAATATAATACAAAACATAATGAGCAATACTGAAGAATTGTAATATGTAAAGCTTGTTATACTCTGCATTAAAATTAACATAAGAACCAACATTATTAAAAGATACATTGACCATTTGATTTCGTGGCACATATTTCAGCTTTTTTAATATTATTAGTTTTTTTCAATAAAACTTCTTAATTTATATACTGTTTTTTTCTTATATTATAAGTTGTGGAAAATAAATATTGTTTCACATATAGTGAAATAACAAACTCCATTTAAATAATAATAATTATTCAAATAAAAAAAATAAAAATGTTAATAAATTAAAATAAGATCTAATGTAAATTCTATCAAATGAAATTTCGATTATGTTTAAAAGTTTTGTATTACGAAAATTCGTTTAAATAAAAATTAACATAAACGAACTTTCGCTTCAAAAAAAAATCACAAATAAAATTCTATTTTTCGAAAATTTTAATACAGAAAATATTCTGGTCGTAGCGGATACAAACATTTACGAATTTTAATCCTTTGAAAAATATATTTTTATTTACACAGCTTGACATAGTAAATAGCGATTAAAATTATTTTCGAAAAATTTACTCTATAATTTTTTTTCAAGTTTTGCTTATAACTTTTGAACCCATATTAAAAATAGAAAATTTATAATAAAAAATAATATTAATAAATAAATACTATTATTTACGTTAATTTGCAATTTTCTTTTTAATTGAGGGGAGTAAATATTTTAAATAAAAATAAATGTTTTCTTAATATTCTATAACTAAGTCTTTCAAAGGGGTGATAAAATTAATTTTCATTATAATTTTTATTGTTGTATAAACAATTTCGATAATATTTTAGTTTTGAGGTTATGTATGGAGTCACCATCCTCCTTAATTAATTATAATAATATAATAGTATAACTGTTTGGTTCGCCTAGTAGATTTTTTTTGCGTATTTTTGATTGCAAAATTTAATAATTTTTGTGTTTTTGTCTTCAATGCTTTATTGCTTTTAAAATATTTCCATACTACACTCTTTGGTTTTGTCCTTTTTTTAATCTTTAAATATATAGCCACTGTAATAAATAAATAACTACTAAATAAAAAAACAACGCCGGACAATCGCAGTTAAAAGTGTAATGACAAAAGTAAGGCTATGTTACATTCTTTTAAATTCTGAGAATTTAATTGTCGGTTACATTCGTTACATTCTTGGTATTTCGGCTAATTTAACAATCAACAAATTAACATTTGAATGCTGCGTTTTACGTTGAATAATAAAAAGAGAGAAAAACAGAAATATACTTCTATCCTTGTCGCACTCATTGCTCAACGTAAAACGCATCGTTCGATAAAAATGCAGGACTGTAAACACAGCCTTATTGATTCTTTTAGTTACCCATCCCTTCCAATTGACAAAACTATGAATTGCCCTTAAAGGCAATAAAATTTATTTCAAGTTTACTCTCTTTTAAATTTACATAGTTTATTCCCTTACAAATGGATCCCATTCTAAAATCGTCTGATATCATCTGTCAAATTTTCTTTCATTCTTGGATGTTGTGACGTATTTTATTTTAGACCATTTAAATTTTTTAATGTTAAAAAATTCATTTCCCCAATAATGGTGAATGTAGAAAAAATTCGAAAAGCTTATCCACTCCACTGGCTCGTTTGGAATAACGATTATGTTCAACTTGATAAGGAGTTGTCCACAAATTTGGTAACTAGAATTAAAGAAAAAACAACAAAACAATATTATTTTTTCAATGTCCTATTTGTTTATGTTTTTATTATAAATTATATAACAAAATAAACAATTGACAAAATCGTGAAAAGTAATAAATTTATATATCATTCTTGTTAAATAATTTTTTTCCAACAAGTTTTTTTTTTCAATTCTGAAAATATAATAATGAATTTAAATGTACAGTTTGTAACAATAAAAAACTAGTATTGTCAATAATAAATTTCTTTATTCCCGATAAGCGATGATAAGATCGGGTAAAAAATTCTGCTAATACATTCAATGCGGAAAAAAGTCAAGTTAATATTTCTTATAATCTTTCAAAATTTTTTATTTCAGAAGATTTGATCTTTGTGATAAAAAAGAATCGTTTCATATTTTTCGAATTTCATTAATTTAATTTACAAAATTTAATTATTTTATAAAATTAATTTGTCGAATTTCTCTCAATTATTTATAACGAAGAAATTGATTAATATTTTGTAATAAAAAAAAATAAATGGTTATTTTTAATAACATTACAAATAATATGCAAAATTTTTTGAATAAAAATATTGAACCATTCCAAAGAAAATAAATAAAGAAAAAGCGCCTTTTTTTGACCTCATGACTGTATATGCCCCCTTAATAAAAGTTCAAACAATTTTAATTATTTATTTAAAAAAAAAAAATTCAATTACTTTAAGAAACGAAAATTGAAATATTTCTAAAAATTAATCGGTCTTCCCACGATTATTTTGAATAAAAATTCATTTAAAACATTTAATTATTTTTAATAGAATTTTTTAAAATAATTTTAATTGAAAATTTGTAAAATAATTGAAATTTATTTAAATTATTTCCAATAATTGTAATAAAATTCATTGCAAAAAATTCATTTATAAATATAATAAAAAATCTTATAAAAAATTCAATTATTTTTATATAAACAATAAAATTCTTATCAGAATTTCATTGATTTTCAATATAAAATTGATTTCTTCGAAAATTTCAGTTATTTAAAAATTCTCCGAAAAATCCAATTATTTTAAAAAAAATAATTTAATTTTTCACACGAGTTCAATTATTTTCATAAAACATAAAATTTTCTGCTGTAATTTAATTATTTTCAAATTTTAATTTAATTCTAGGAAAAAATTAAATTATTTTTAAACTTTTCTCAAAAATTAAAATTATTTTTTTTTTAATTTTGCAAAAAATACAATTATTTGCAGAAATAATATGATTTTTTTCGCAGGGATTCAATTATTTTAAAAAACTTTTTAATAAAATTTAATTAAAATTATTTTTTCAAAAAATTTGAATTCTTTCGAGAAAATGTAATTAAAATTGTATTGAAAATAATTTAATTCTTGAAAAGATTTTTATTGGAATTTTATTGAAATATTCTTTGAAATAATTGAATTTTTTTGAAGAATTTATTTCAATTTTCTTGAAAATAATGGAGTTTTTTTTAAAATAATTTTTACTTAAATTTTTGAAAATAATTGAATTTTATGGAGAATTTCTTTTAAGTTTTTAAAATAATCGTGTTTATTATTAATTGTAATTTACAATTTTTCTATTAAATTATATTAAAATTATTCATAGAGAAAATTTTTTTTATATAATTTTATTAGAGTTTTTGTACATAATTACACTTTTTTTTTTGACAAAATTTCATTAAATTTCGTAAAAATAATGTAATTTTTAAAAATAATAATTTTAATTGAAAATTCTGAAAATAATTCGACGTTGATTAAAAGTTCTTTCAAAAGAACTACTTCTTGATTTTTTTTTTTTTTTGCCTTTTGTGGGAAACGTATAAAAAATCATGTATTTATATAAATTATTTTTTGAAATTTGTCCTTGTAAAAATTATATTCATGTGAAAAAAATGAAAAAAGAAGTCAGGAAGCCTCACAGTAGAAAGAAGCCCTAAAAACGAAATTCTTTCCGTTCTAGATATTATGCTGTTTATATGTACATTGCTTCGATATTTTTTATTTTATTAATGTCATAAATTACTTTTGAAAAAGTAATTTCATTTTTTGCTTAGAAAATGATTTTTGCTGCTTTTTATTAAAGAAAAGTTATTAATTTTTTTTTATTTATTTATTTTTTTATTTTCGAAAAATTAAAATTTAGACTTTATTTTAATAGGTTAGAGATAAAAAATTTCTAATAAATTTTTTGTTTACAGCACGATATAGAGAAACATGACTGTAGAGGTAGAACGCCACTCATGTTGGCCGTAACTCTCGGTCATCAGGACTCGACAATGGTTTTACTGCAGCATGAGGCGAATGTTAATACCGAAAATACACAAGGATGGAGTGGTAAGTTTTTTCTTCTACTCTAGAAAAATAAAAAAATTATAATTAAAAATAATAACTCTAAAAAATAAAAATAACTTAATCGGCCCATCTCTGGACTTTTGGGAAAATTTTCTCTATATTATCGGGTTTTTTTCCCTGAAGAAAATTAAAAAATACGTATTTAATATTTTTCTATAAAGAACGGGAAAAAATATGTTTAACCGATTTTAAAATTATAGGAAAAATAAATAAATAAATAAATAAAAATCATAGGAAAATTTCACGTGGAATTACCTATATGTAAGAAATTTGTTCTCAAATTTCAAAATTTGTGTAAAAAAATAATATTAAGTAATTAATTAATAATAATTATTTAGTTGTACAAGAAGCCGTGGGAACAGGAAATCCTCAATTACTTCAAAGTATTCTTGCAAGACGAGACTACCAAAGATATTGCAATCGTGTCGCTGGAATTCCGGAACTGCTACATAAACTCAAACAGGTATAAGAGAAATTAAAATAATAAAATTAATATTAATGAAACAAATAATTTTGAAAGAATAAGTACAAAAATAGAAAAAAAAAGAAACCATTTTTCTACATAATTCTAATTTTTATTGACTTTTTAGGCTCCAGACTTTTACGTAGAAATGAAATGGGAATTCACAAGTTGGGGTCAGTCGAACAAAATTTATCTTATTTTATTTCAAGTGTTTGTCTGTCTTTTTGTAAAAAAAAACCCTTTATAAAAATTTTCATCAATTTTTAATTGTCTAGCTATTTTTCTCTTTTTGAATAATTTAATTTTTAATTTTGAATAATTTACAAGTAAAATTAACGCTAAGGTGAAATTTTTTAATAAATTATTTATTTAAGGTCCTTTAAAACATACATTAAAAATAAATTATTTATTTTCAATAATTAAATATCAAAGGACGTTAATGATTATTCATATTGTTTATTATTGTTGTTATTATTATTATTATTATTATTATTATTATTATTATTATTATTATTATTATTATTATATTTTAAAATAATAAGTTATGATTAATTTCCTATTTTAGTCTTAAAAATATTTTAATATTAAATTCAAGCTAAAAGTAGGATTTACGATTTTTATTAAATATAATGTTAATATTTTTATTATTATTATTATTTCTACTCATTATTAATAATTAATTATTAATTATTAATTATTACCTGTGCCTATTAATAATTCACCGTATATTGTGATTAATTTTTGATTTTTATCTTTACAGTACCTCTTGCCTCTCGAATGTGTCCAAGTGACACTTACAAGGTTTACAAGCAAGGAAGTAATGTGAGAATCGACACGACCCTTTTGGGCTTTGATCACGCGAATTGGCAACGGGGAAATCGTAGTTACATTTTCAAAGGTCAAAGTGAGTATTTTTTGTTCTTTTATTTTTTTTCTATTTTCATTACTACTTCTCGATGAAAAATTTGAGCCGCTTATTATAATTAACCCCGAAATATCGTGTGACGAATTTTTAAATTTACCAAAGGTACTAAAAATTTACAATTTTTATTATATGGCAAATATAAATTTTTCAAAAAATAAAACGAATTTTTAAAAAATTTTAAAAAGTAGGTAATTCAAATTTTTAATTTTTTAAAAAAATAAGTAATTAAAATTTTGTAATTTTTAAAAATAAGTAATTAGAACTTTTTAATTTTTTAAAAATAAGTAATTAAAGTTTTTTAATTTTTAAAGAATATGAGTAATTAAATTTTTTTAATTTTTTAAAGAATAAGTAATTAAAATTTTCTAATTTTCAAAAAAATAAGTTAGTTTTAAAAAAAAAATTTTTAATTTAAAAATTATAAAGTGAATTGAAAAATTTTTGACTGTAATTATTGTGAATTAACGGTTTTATTTCGAAAAACATTACAAGCAACACCAAATCCACCTCTGACGACGATTAGGTGCGATCGCAGTTATGTCTTCAGCATGAAAGGCGATCACGCAGGTGAAAGATTGTAGATTCGTAGATCGCTTTTCTAACGTTTTTTAATCCCATTTTCTTCACAGAATCCAATTTGAAAAAATTTATTCCGTAATCGATTGATCTTAATTTCACATACATTCTATTTATTACTATATACATAGTAGAAATAATGCTTCTTCAATCCTAAATATAACAAGATTTGAATAATTTTCTCTTTAGAATTTTTAGAAAAAAAAAACTATATGTAGATAATGTTTTCTATTGTTAGACAATATTTCACTAATGGCCATATCTCTGGAACATTGTTAACATTTTTAACATTTTTTTTTACATAAAATTAACAAAAAAATTTTAAAATAAATTTTAAAAAAATTTTTAAGTAAAATTAACAAAATAGATGTGAGGGACATTATAGTTGAAGGTTCCAGAGATATTCTCATAAAAATGTATTTAAAAATTTTTACTCTTGATTTTTAATGGGAAATGTTTATTAATTTTGTTTGTATTTCTGTTTTTTTTTTAATAACAAAGACGATGGAGCAACAATGATGGAGGTGGATCATGAGACGAGAAAAGTTTACGTCGAACACATGAATCTTATTGGGGATGAAAATATTCAACTAATGGAACCTTCCGAGGAGGGAATTTTAGCTAGACTCACAAATCCTATTGTTACTACTTATATTGACACGGATAAAATTAGTTTTGAAAGGTATTTTTGCAAAATAAGTATTTTTCAAAATAAAATTTAAAATATTTAATTCTAAATTTTCAATAATGTTTTTTTTTCTTAATTTTACTGTTTAAGATTAAATTTTTATTTTTAAGATTTTTAAGATTTAAAAATTTTTAAGATTTTAAGATTTTTAAGAATTTTAAGATTTTAAAATTTGTAAGATTTTTAAGATTTTAAGATTTAAAAAATTTTTTAATTTGTAAGATTTTTAAGATTAAAAATTAAAAATTAAGAATTAAAAATTTAAAGAAATATTGATATGTAATTTTAGAAATAAGGCAGGAATCTGGGGCTGGCGATCCGACAAAAGTGAATCGGTGAATGGCCACGAGTGTAAAGTCTTTAGTGCTAGTAATGTAGAATTAATAACGAAAACTAGAATTGAACATTTGTCAGAAGCGGATAAGGCGAGGGCGAGAGCACCGCGAACGCCAATTCAATCGTTTTTGGGAATTGCCGAGCAACAGCAGCAAGAAAACTACGGGGCGGCTGCAAGTGTACGTTATTTTTTTCATATTTAAAAAAAATTTTTTAATTTTTTTAAAATTATTTTTTATGAATAAAGTTTTTTAGTGTAAAAATATTAATTTTACATTTTCTTTTACAGGAAGAATTCACTAACGTTGGAAATCCCTCCAATATCACGGCCGAGGAATATTTCGATCCAAATGTGAATTTAAATGGAAGAGATATTGGCCGGCCGAAGGAAGTAAATACAAAGATACAAAAATTCAAAGTAAGACGTTAATTTTTATTTTAAAAAAAAATTAAATTAAAAAAAAAATAAATATTTATTGAACGTATTTTTGAAATATAATTTTCTTCTAGGCTACTTTATGGCTTTGCGAAGATTATCCTCTTAGTCTTCAAGAACAAATAATGCCAATTGTGGATCTTATGGCAATATCCAGTTCTCATTTCGCCAAACTAAAAGACTTTATCCAAATGCAATTACCTGCTGGATTCCCCGTGAAAATTGGTAAATTTTACACATTTACATAAACAAATAATTATATAATAATAAATATTTACACAAAGAAATAATTTTTACTAGATTTTTTCTATTATCATTCTGAGAATTTACAACAATATAATTCTTTTTTACAGAAATTCCGCTCTTCCATATTTTAAACGCGAGAATTACCTTTGGAAATATTTTTGGTATGGATCAAGAGATTTCAAATGTTAGTCGGCTGCAGGAAATGAATAGAATGACTTGTATCGTTGACGATATTTGCTTTCAAGCCCCACCAGGTTACGTCAAATTGGGTATGTTATTTATTATTTGGAAAATAAATTACGAATTTTATATATTTAAATATAAAATTTCACTTATTTTATATGTTTAATTTTTATATTTTAATATTAAAATATTTAAAATATAAAATTATATATTTTAATATTGATTTATTTAAAATTTTATATTTTAATATTAAAATATTTGTTTATTTCTTAATCAAAAATTGAATATTTAAAAAAAACATGATTTGATATTCGAAAAATTTGGACACAGGTGCAGAGGTTCGAACACAGTTTAGCGTCGAGGAAGAGGACGATTTACTTCAATTTGCTATTCAACAAAGTCTGATAGAAGCTGGAAGTGAAAGAGACGAGGTAGGAGGAGGATATTCGAATTTAAAGAGAAAGGTAGATTTTTAGCTAAGTAGTTCTCATCACTATTCTCGGTTTCTTTTCGGAACGCATGAATTCTTAAAATCCATTTATTCTCAGCTAGAATTCCCATTCGAAAATTTTATTTTTTTCAAACAGAATTTTCATATTTATTCAAAATTAACATTGCGAGTAGAATTTCTATTTTTAAAAAATCCTCAAAATATAGAATTATTTAAACTTTCATTTCACTGAATTTTTTAAAAAGTTTTTTTTAAATATGTAGAATTATAGATGCTAGAATTTCCATTTTTAACCAAAATTTTATTTTACGTTTTGTAGAAAATGATTAGGTCGAATTTAGTTTAAAGTTGCTTTTTAGTTGTTTCCTAGCATTTTACGTAACTTTATAATATAAATTTTATTTCTTTTCCCAAAGGTGGATATTTGGGAAGCGTTGAATGTTCAAAAGCCATCGCGACCCGCAACTCCGAGTATTTCTGCCGAAGAGGAAAAACAACTTCAAAGGTATGAAAATTACAAAATAAATAAAAAATAATATTTAATTACAAAAAAGCACACATTTTTGGTTTTTTTATTTTACTTTATCTTTATTTTTATAAATTAATTCCTTTGATCTATTCATTTTGCATGGTTTCTTTGCTGTCAATTCTCACATAGAAAGGTGCGTTTCGTGTCAAAAAAAAAATTGGAGGAAAAGAAGAATTTATTTTTTCCATCTTCTTTTTTTATATAATTAAGTAAATGAAAAATAATTTTTTTTCCTCATCACAGAGCAATACAAGCGAGTTTAGAACTTTATCGTGAGACATCGGATTACGTGACCGACGAGGCGAGTCGGGATTTACCATCGGGACAAGAATCCAGAGAGGCCGCATTTGAAGGAACAGCCGAGCAATTAGAAATCGCCCTTAGACTCTCGGAGCAACAGCAAATTGAAGAGGAACAACGTCGACTTGTCGAGGAGGAAACTTTCCGTCAAGTTCTTGAACTCTCACTCACTGATAAGTGAACAAATATCAATTTCCTTTTTTATCATCGCAAAATCTAAATCTTCCCAAAAAAAAAAAAGTGTTCAGGATCCTTTTTACTCTTTACAATAATTGGCGTCGATCTTTCCCGTCCCCGCCCCTTTTTCCTCTATGACGAGAATTGAGGCGATTTTATAAAAAAAAAATAACTTTTTTTTCAAAAACCTTTTTTTTCCAAAAGGGGAATTTCTAAGTAAATAAAACAAAAGTCTTTTTAGTGTTGAAACTTATTATTATATAGGGAAAATTTGGAGTAACATGAAAGTGTAAATAACCCAGGGACGTCCGAATAAGGAACAAAATAAAAAGACTTATTAAACTTAAGATGAAAATTAAAAAAAAATAATGAAGCAGTTTTTTGACAAAAAACTATTTGATAAAATAGAAGATAAAAATAAAAATCTTATATTGTATTCTTGCCTTAAAATAAGGTATGGTCATATTTTATTCGCCTCTTTTCTCTCCAGTGAGCCTCATATTTTATAAAAGTTTATATATATATATATATAAATATATATGCGATTAGTGTTCCTACTACTATTAGGCGGTACATCGAAGGGCGTCCTCGGGTGAATTTCCTACTGATGATGTGCTATATTTGTATAAAACTTTCTTCGATAAATACGAAATAAAACTGACTGCAGAGCGAGAGTCTTATTCGTATTCCGATTGAGCCCTGAAACAATTATGTTTCTTTGTTAAAAATGTTGACATTATTATTAATAGTTTATTATTACTATTATTATTATTATTATTATTATTATTATTATTATTATTATTATTATTATTATTACGTTGGGGTAAATTTTTGTAGAAAGCCATATTATTGCTATGATTATTATTATCACAATTAATATTATTAGAAAATGTTAAAAATAATTCCAATTTATTATCAATATTAATATATTTTTAGCCTAAGTTCGAAAAAGATTATTTTATTTTCGATGTCATGTTAATTTCATATTTTTTTACTCTACTCTTAAATTTAATTTCAGAAATCACAGTTTATTTTAAGAATAAAAAAAAATAAAATTTTTTTTTAATAATTGAATTCTTTGGAAAATTCTATTTGAATAGTAGATATTGAAAATCATTGAATTGAGAAAATTTTTTTAAAATAATTAAATTTTGGAGAAGAATTATTATTATTTATAAAATTATAGTGAAAAATAACTATAGAAAAGTTTTTTAATACAAACTTTTTGAAAATGGTGCTGAGTATGTTAGCGCTTTTATCAAAACGTTGCTCATTTTTGTGTGCCTGTTGGTGCCATTTTTTTCTCAACGCACTCCAATGTTCCTTATGTTCTTTCATGAGTGCTTCTTTTGATTTTAGCGTTTGTCCGTCCTGCAAAGAAGGAATTAAATAAAATAAATATACAATTTTTATTGAATCAATCCATTAGATTTCTCTTTTTGATTATTAAATATTTTATATTTTCATTTTTAAATAAAAAGAAATATTAGAAATTTTAAATAAACTAAAACAAACAGTTTTTTTGTGGTAAATAATATTATGAAACTGTTTCAAAAATAAATTAAAAATATCTCAATTTTTCAAAGTTTCAAAATAATTGAAAAGGAAAGATTTTATTAATGGAGATAAAATTGGAAAAATTAGTGACGATTTTTTTCGAGACAAAAAGAAATTGGAATTTCTTACATAGTCAAGGTTGAGTTCCTCTTTCTCGATTGGAACTGGAGAAGGAATTCTGTTCTTAGGAAATGCTTCCTCGCTCAATAAAGGTTCCGGTAAAGTGAAGACTTCCATTAATTCTCCATTTGAATCGTACATTGAATCGTCTGGATTAATTTCATTCACAATTTCCGGACTCGGCGACCGAACTCTTTTAAACAATTAAAATAATAAAATTAGCGTAAAAAAATAATTTTATTTTATATTAAATTAATTTTTAATATAAAAATTAAAGAAAGTACCGTTTCTTTTCATTTCAAAACAGAAATTCAAAAAATACATTTTTAAAGCGTTAATAGCTTACTTGGGAACCAAATGTGGATTTCGTGGTTGATTCGCCATCCAAGCTCGACAAATTGGATAAAGTGGTGTATCCTCACGAAATTGTGCGAGATCGACACTTCGATCGAATAGCTTCATAACGTAAGTGTGATGAAATGCAGGATCCATTTGCATCTGACGACGTCTCTTCATTTTTCGATTATGCAGACTCATTTTTGCCCGGAAGGCCGAATCCCTATAATTAACATCATTATTGCACTTAGAATAATAATTATTATTTAGTTTCTTTTTATTATTTACGTTAAAGTGTAAATTATCTATTTAGCTGAATTTTAGCGAATTTAAAATCGTGAAAATTCTCAAAGATTGGAAAAAGTAGCTTTTAGCGTCACAAATTTAAAAAAAAATGTATCCAAATAGCTAATCGTAAAAAAATTGTAAATAATTCTATTATGTATAAATAATCTCAGTTTCTATTAAACATTATGTTACGCAATGCCGTTGTGAACCTTGTAGCATTATTATCAAAGAAGTTTATTTCATTAGAAATTAAATTAGCTTCTCTAGTGATTCGATCAATTAATGAATTATTACCATAGTTTATTCTATGAAATGCCACTGAGAATAACGTATAACGTCTAGTAAACATTCTAGGAACGGATAAATTTACCATGGATAAGAGTGAGGGACAATAGATAGCTCCGTTCATCAGTCTGTACAAAAAAGACATATCAGAGAAATGAAATCTTGACGTCAAAAGGGGAATGTTCATTAAAGTTCTTAAATCTTCATAATCATGGGTACGATAATCAAATGAAATATTAAGTATTCTCGCAGCAAATCTAAGGAATTTATTTTGAACACGTTCAATTCCGATTATGTGGAAGACATAAAAAGGAGACCAGATTATGCATGCGTATTCAATTATTGATCTGACAAGCGTCAAGTATAATATTTCTAATAAGAGGTGTTTGGTAAATTTCCATGGAGTTTTTACTTTTAATTTTTAGCAGTGTGGTGTTCATAGCAAGTGTAATACATTCGTTTATGCCATTTAAATAGCAATCAATTTCATCGTTCGTTAGATTCTTATTGTCAGATATTTCAATGTTATAATTATGGTCTAATGTAAAAATATTAAATATTTTTACATTCTTTCACTTTTGAATTCTAGAGACATCCTGCAAAAGTATTACGTATAATGTTAGTCATATAATTTTTATACACATATAATTTTAAGTTCGCATCGACTTTCAGTGAAATATAACAGATTAAAAAATAAAAAGAATACTTACATTCGTCGATAACTAGGCTTGTAATCTTGAGAGGAAGTTTCTTCGCTCGAGTCACCAGAGGAAGCTGAATCGCTATGATGTAATATTTCTCGAAGAGCACCCTTTAATCTGTCTCTAGCAACGTTAACATCATTGTCACCTGAATGATAAAAAAACTTTCATTTAATTTTAATTCTATACTGATGAGTTTTACGGATGAAATTTATCTTAGAATCGATGGTATCTTGGACTAAGGGAGAATCGTCTAGAATAAATTTTCGACTTCACTGCCTTAAGTTTTCTTACCAATTTCATCTTTTACTTCTATTTTCATAGGACTTGGAACGACTAATTGCATGTTTTTCTTTTTCCCCATCTGAAAGATTAAAATATTTTAAGAACTTTACAGATCGACATATCACTTAAATTTGAGCATGAAAAAAATCTATTACCAACGAATTTTCAATTTAAAAACTTAATTTTTATGTTTTTTATTAGAAAAAATTTCCCAAACCCGTTAAATCACTTAATTATGATAAAGTTGAATTAAAAACGTCGTAAATGTAAAAAAATTGTTATAGAAATTTTTTATTTTAAAATTAACCGCAGTGGTTGTGAGAAAAGTCCTTTGTTTCAATTTCTCGATATAAGAAAATTTTTATCAAGTTTTGAAAATTTGCTCCTCAATTTTTTTTTAGTTATTTAGAAAATAATAATAATTTCCATTAAATTAATAATTAAAAAAAATTAGTGTCTATACTTTAAGTTGCGACGTTTCGACAGTTTGGTTCACCATCTTCATCAGGCTAAATTTATTTAATAATATTACAACGAAACACCATAATAAAACACATATATGTATCAAATTAATAATACCTGAATATACTAGAATTTTATCATATTGCAACTATGTCAACATAAACAAATTACTTTCAAAAACACATACGACATAATTTAAAACGAAAAATTTATTTAAATATAAATATTTAATTATTTATGCCCTTACCTTTCTGATTTTTGTCAGTTATTTAATTGAGTAATTGCAGATGAGAGAAGTTTAAGTATTTGTTTGGAGTAATAATTTTTTTTTTAAAAAACGGCGTTGATATTTAAACGTCAAGTGCAGTGCGTTCGTTTTAGAAACTCAGAATTTCGTAGGTAAGGTTAGATTTATATCAAAATTCAGGGTTGGGTAGCTTATAGTCACAAACGATTCCAATTCCCTAGAAAATAACCATTAAGTCGAATTCACAGTTGCCGAATTCCTAGTTACAATTTTTTCCGTTAAAACAATTCTAATTTTATAAAGGTGCTTCTATACCTCCGGTGGATTGGTCAAGCAATCGGCTCGATGAATTTTCACGGTCGGAAAATGTACTTTCATGGCGGGTATTTTTGAATAAGTAAATGTTGAAAAGGTTTTTCTTGAAAATTTATTTAAAAAAATGATTTTATCATAGAAATTCTTTTCAAATTTATGTTAATAAACATGTTTTATTTTAAAAGTTGTCAAATTTTAATTCAAAATGTTTTAATTTTCCAAAGAAGTGTAAAAAGCCTAATGTTTTTGAAATGCTAGTACAGACGATACAGACTGTTTGTTATGAATGTACATAACCTAGCGTTGTGTTGTCGTGCTTGTGATATTATTATATTCTAAATTTAATGATTTAATTATTATTATATTAAATAATAATGAACTGACAACACAACGCTAGGTTATGTACATTCATAACCAACAGTCTGTACTAGCATTTCAAAAACATTAGGCTTTTTACACTTCTTTGGAAAATTAAAACATTTTGAATTAAAATTTGATAACTTTTAAAATAAAACATGTTTTTTAACATAAATTTCAAAAGAATTTCTATGATAAAATCATTTTTTTAAATAAATTTTCAAGTAAAAACCTTTTCAACATTTATTTATTCAAAAATACCCGCCATGAAAGTACATTTTCCGACCGTGAAAATTCATCGAGCCGATTGCTTGACCAATCCACCGGAGGTATAGAAGCACCTTAAGGCGGTTCCAGAATAGGTGCAAAAGGCAAGGTGGAAGTACAAGTGCAAGTGCGAACCAATGCTAAATGTATAGGAATCGCACTTGCACTTGTACTTCCACCTTGCCTTTTGCACCTATTCTGGAACCGCCTTTAAAGTTTAGTTTAATTCGATCGAAATGTAGGTAAAAAATAAAACCGTTTTTGTAGAATTATTATTTAAATACTAATAATTTTGTAGATAAATTATAAAAATTAAACTTCTAACAAAAATTATTTTCTAAGTGAATTAAACCGAAAGGAGAAAATCATGAGTGTAAGAGAGACAGTGCTATCCGACTATCTCTTTTGCACTCATGAATTTCTGCTTGTTCGGTTTTATGCTTCCTGCACAATCTTAACTTTTGACCCTTTTGACCAAAGAAGAAAAATTCTAAGGAATATAAGAAAAATATAAAATAAGAAATATTCTTAAAAAAAAATTAAACGTATGATTACTTTTGAAAAATTTTGCGTTACTTTTTTTACTTTTTCTACAGTCCTAATCTATATTTTAAACTCATTTTACTTTTTACTTAGGACATTCATTACCGTCGCCATCTTTGAGCAGTTTTCTATTGAAAGAAAAAGTCGGTAAAACCAGGAAGCAAACAATGCAGAACATTACTCCAATTATCAAGCCGTGGAAAAATATTTTGTTTGAATTCTCTATTAAACTTGTGACGAAATATATAGTAAAAACAATACATAACGCCCATAAGAATTCTCGAGCCATGTTTTTATACTCGTAAAGTATGAGAGCTTGTAAGTAATTGGGATATTTAAAATTTTTTATATTATGCTCTTTCTTATTAGACATAAGAATTCCAAGTTGCTGAAGAAAAGTGCCTTTACACACTTCATGCTCACTTTTTGCTAAACTTGCAAGTATAGTTTACTATAAATAAATACTTTGTCTCGCGCGCGAATCATTCATGTATACATCACTTGGCCAATGAGGATGTATATGTGTTTGCGATAGGCTTACGCGTGATGTATGTCGGAAAAAATAAACTTTTATTACTATCAAAATAGAGGTAATAATAATTAATAATTGAGATATATTTATATATTTATTGAGGTCCTATTATTTATTTAAATATATTTGTTATATAGTTGTCCAATGTGAGCGTAAATATAAAACCGAAAGCAGAATTTAATGAGAGTGAAAAGGATAGTGCTATCAACTATCTCTCTTGCACTCATTATTTTTTTCTGCTTAGCAACCAAAACACAAAAATCGGTAACTTTTAACTCCGTAAAGTTTCATCTGACTTTGAGAGATTTGAATTACTTAAAAAGTAAAATTAAGCAACTAATTTTGTAGTTTAATTGTAACATAAAACTATAAAGTGTTTTGTTATAAAATTATATCACTTCAGAATGAATAGAGGGAATAGAGGTATAAATTTCTGCAATATTTGCAATTAAATAAACATTGTGTCTTATAGAGTTAACCTCCAAAAACCTACAAATTACATTATATAGTTTTTTTAACTTATTTTTTAAGGCTATATAATTACAATTTTACATATTAAATACTTTCAAAGTGTATAAACAAATTAAAAAAATATAAATTAATCAAATTGTTTGTTTATAACTGAATTAACTTTAAATCATAAAAATGCGTTATATGACTACGTGTGTCACAATCCGAGTGACTCATTTATATAATTAAAATTTGTTTATTAAAATAATGAAACTAATTGTTTATAACAATTTAATTGTTTACAATATTTTAATTGTTTCGAAGGATTTATTAATATTTTAAAAAATAATTGAATTTTTACGAAGAGTTTATAAAAATCTTAGAAAATAATTGAATTCTTTCATGGAATTTTTTTTTTGAAAATAATTGAATTTTTGTAAAAATTTTACATTTTAAAAAACTAATTTAATTATCAAGAAGGATTTCTTAAAATTTTTTTAAATAATTGCATTCATTCGTGAAATGTTATATTAAAATAATTGAACTCTTACGAAGAATGTTGTTATTTATAAAAATAATTGAATTCTAGCAAAGAATTTTATTAAAATTTTTGAAATTAATAAACAACAATAATTAATTAGTAAATTAATTAATAATTGAATTTTTTTTTAGTTTGAATTTGAAATTAATAAATTATTCAAAAATTCATTCATTTAAATTTTTAATTTGATAAATTTCAATAAATTTATTCTATCAGAATCACTTTAAAATATAAGGGTTTAATAAGCTTAATATCTTTCGTGTTTGATGCATAAAGAAATAATAAATTATAAAATTTTTAAAATTCTTAATATAAATTCAAAAAAAATTTCACTGAATCAGAGATAAAAAGTGCTTTTTTTTCTTGTAGGTGTGAGCGGTGTGAGTGTTTGCTGCATTTGCAAAGAACGACAGCCATGTTTTGCCCTTCGCACCTGCGGTCATGTACCGTTCTGCGAAATTTGCTTACCAATGTATAATGAAAATAGTATCATTGAAGGGTATGAAGATGAGAACGAGCAAAATCCGAATTCTAGAAAGTGTCCTTATTGCCGTAAAAAATATGATTATGAAATCCACTGTATTAAAATACGTTATCACTAATAAGTAATTACCGCACGAAATAAATATATTATATTTAGTTAATATAATAATATACTTTTCTTAAATTATATTTCTACCCTGCTATACTTCTTTAAAATTAAGACTTCGCTGTGAAATTTTCAGCTATAATATAAAGTTAATTAACAATTTTAATTGATTAATTAATCAAAAATCTTTTTCAAATTTAATTTTGAAACATTCTTATAGTAATTTTTTGTTACAAAATGTATTTTATTTTTCTTAAAAATTATTATGAACGTGATTTAAAAAAATTAAAAAGCAAATAATTTACAACTTTTAAAAGTATATTTTTAGACATTGAAAAACATTTTTAATAATAGATAAAAATGAGAAACTAAAGGAAAAGAATAATTTTATTTTGAAAATTATTCTTTTAGTTCTGATATGCAAAATATTGTATTTTTTCCATATGAAATAAAGATAAGAGTATAAATAATTTCATGTGTATAGCTTTGAGAGAATGAAAGAACTTGTTGTCAGTTAAATAACAAAAAGTTTCATAATAATTTTTTATTTTTCAATTTTGATAATTATGTTAAAATAACCTTTTTTTTTTAAGTAAAAATAATTTTTTTTATCGAAAAAAATGCTAAATAATGCTAAAAAAATAGTAAAAAAATAAAAATTTTTGAGAGATCAAATTTTTTATCAGTATAGGTATACTGATTATATGTATATGTATATGTATTCATTTTCTATAAAACTACTGATGGGTTTTAGTTTTAAAATTACGTACCTAGATATTTAATTAAAAATAAATTTTTTAAAAAACCAAAATTCGAAAAATTAATAAATTTAAAATTTATCGACTTTATTATAAATTTTTTAAATGAAAACAGTAGCCCTTCACTGACGCAATAAGTCAAGTGAAATGACTGCGACTGTAAATTCTTTTATGGCTAAATTTTATTATATTGTAAACCACAAACCTCAAGATAAGTTGCAGAGAAAGCAATATATTTGTTCCAGAGCTAAAAATAAAAATTTATGTTCTAAAATTAAACTTTATTTGAGGCAAAATAAAGTCAAATTTTAATTTATTTTTTAATATTTTTATATAAAAATATATATAAATATATTAAATATAATAAATAAATTTTAATTTACAAATATATATAAAATAAAAATTTTATATAATATAACTTTTATTTTTAATATTTAAATTTTTTCAGTAGACTCTTAGTATATTTTTATTTACTTTAAATAAATAAAATTTTGAAAAAAATTCTCTATGGTTACTCAAAATTTTTTCTCTAAAAGAAACTATATTGTACTTGACAGAGAAATAAGGAGAGAAGGGAGTTGATGAGTAACCATATAGGTATCCAAGGTTATTTTTAGTGAGAAATTATACGAAAGTTCTCGAATATTATTCAGAATCAGAATATTTGATTTTACACCATAAAAGAGAGATCCCACTCTTTTATAAGTATTCAAAAAAATTATATTGTTTAAAATAATTTAGATTTAATAAGTTATTAAAAATTGTGTAAAATTATTTTAATAATATTATATATATAATGTAAAAATAATTTTATAAATTATAATTCTATAGATTTATTTAAACAAAATTTAGAAAGAAAATAGAAAGTTTTTATTTAATAAACTTTTTAATTAATATTATAACTTATAAAATATGAATTATGAAACTTATGAATTTTTATATATTTAAATAAATTTATCCATATATATTTCATTAATTCTAGTAATTATTATAATTTATCAATATTTTATTTAATTATATTAATGATATTAATAATATTGGATATTAATGATATTAATATTAATTATATTATATATTATAATAAAATTATAATGAAAAATTATAAAGAATATGAAAGACTAATGTCTTGATATTATAAAAAAATATTTTACTACGTCTAAACATATATTTCTTATCTTTTAAGGAGATGAGGGTACACTCATATTTCTAAGTTTCTAACCACGTCGCAAAATAATATTCTCAACATATAAAAATTTATTTTTTTAGTTATTTTTTCAGAGGAATTCACCTTTTGAAATTAATAAAACAAGTTAACAAAATTTAATCATAATTTTCAAATCTATATTTTTTATATAAAAACTGAAAAAATTTTATTATCTGATTGTTAATTAATGTAAAAATTAGAAACAATAATTTTATTTAAAATATTATTTGAAATAAAAATGTAATACAAACATTTAATTAAAGTTTTAATGTTTTTTTTTATTAAACTTTTACTTAACTAAACATTTTATTAAAAAAAACCAAATGTTTAGTTGACCGCTCTTAATAAAAAAAATTTATTTCAATTATACAAACAAAAAAGATTTGATGAAAAAATTTTGAATTTTAACATTGAATGTTTTGATGAAATGAAATGATGTATAATCTATATCGCCGGATGTTTACGCAACAAAATATCCCACTTGAATTTTAGCTCAGCGAAAATTTTTTCGATTTTTCTGAATGCATCAAAAATTATTCCTATATGTGCAATTATTATATTTTTAAAAAAATCATATTTTGACGAATTTATAATTTTAAAATAATTAAAATTTCGTATTTTGACAAATTTATACTTTTTAAAGAAAGTAAAATTCGTATTTTGACAAATTTACAATTTTTGTATTTTTAAAATAATTATTTATAAAAATTAATATAATGTATTATTTGAAACATTAAGAAAAGTTTTGTATAAATTTTCAATTTAAAATAATATTATTTAAACCATTATGTCGTTAGGCTATTAAAATACATTGACTCAAAAATATATTGTTGACTTTGATTTAATGATTTACAAAAGACTTCGATTTAGATTTAAAAGAAAATTGAATCTTATTTTTAAAAAAAGAATAAAAGAATTTAAAAATTACTTTAATTATATTAAAATTTATTTATTTAATTTACTTATAAACTATAAGTTACCGCCAAATTTTCAAATTTCAATTAAAAATCTTTAAAATAATAAAATCATAATTTTTTAATGTTCATTTTTAGATTAAAAGTTCCATTTTCTTTAAATTGAAAAGTCTAAAAAGAAAATTGATAAAAAAAATTGAGTCCACATTTAAAATTAAGAAAAAAAGTCTTAAAACAGAATTAGACAATTTTTAATTAGATAATATTTTTCTTATTTTTTTTAAGTATATTTTTTAAAAGATGAGAAACATTTTGCAAAATCCCCGCGCTTTTTGCGTTCACATGTAATAATTGCATCAGATGTTCAACGTGTGTTCGGTACTTAATACCGATTTCTTGTCTTAGGGGAATCTCATTAATGAAGATTGGAAATCCCCTAATAAATTGCGTTGTATTTGACTCTTACGACTGTTACGTTCGGCATTTTTGATAAAGTAAATCATTCTTTGTGCTTAGAAAACCAAAGTGAGTACAGAAAAAATCAAAATATTATTTCAAAACTTTTTAAAAAACAAGAAATTAATTTTACCTTTAATTTTAAAGATTTATAATATATAATTTAAAAAAAAAATATAAATTTTGTATTTTATTAACATTATTATCTTTTATTTATATTTCTATATTTTTTTGAATTATTGTATTACTTTTATTTTATACTCTTATTGCTTTATAATTTAGATCGATCTTCTTCTTTTAATAAGATTTAGGTACATTATTTTTAATCATTTTTTTTATAAAATTATAATAATTTGCAACGAGTGTTTAAAATTGTTGAGTAGTTTTATTGTTTTATCGTTTATTCAATTATTTATTATTTATAACTGTTGCTTATTTTATTATTTTATATTTATTTATTTTATAAACTTATATTTAGAAATTTTATAAATTTATATTTGTAAATTTTTATATAAATTTATATTTTAAAATTGAAATGTAATGTTACATATCCAAATAAGGGTTATCCCCAAATAAATATAAAATGTGTAATTAAAAAGAAACTTTTTTAAAATCATCAAAGAAGTGGAATTTAGGTGAAAAATATGAAATAAATAAATAATTTAACGGATTTAAAAAAATTAATTTCATTTAAAATATAAAATTTTTAATCAACACTATTTTTTAATAATTTATACATACTTAAATGAGTTAAAATTTAAGGAATTTATTTGTTTCATTAATGCGGAAAATTTTTTTCAAAATTTAAATCTAATCCAATATTTTTGTTTTTGTCAAACTTTTAATTAAATTATGAATTAAGTTTTTTTTAACAAAAAGTGCATATAAAAATTTTTTTTATACATTTTTTTGAGTTTAAATTTTTATTTAAATTTCTAATATTCATACAATTAGAAACTTTTCAAAAACCATTTCTGATTAGTAAAGAAAAATGATTCACACATATGTATAAGATTAATATAAAATTTTCATAAAAAATAAAAATATTGTATATATACGTATATAAAAATTTAAATAGAAAAATTTTGTCTTTTTTAATAAATTTTAAAAAAAAATTTGCGAATCTGATTTATAATTCGTGCGATTATTAACTTATGTTTCAGAATGGCTGACAGAAATAACGTACCAAACTTCAAACCGCACAAACCAGTGCAACCCAAATCATCCATCAACAGGTCCAGGACATCAGGCTGGATATCATGGCGCAGGAACTAAAGCCGACCTCGACAACAGGGGCCGACAAATGAATCCCCAGGATTCAAAATATACCCAGAGAAAATGAAAAAATTTTCTTAATATTATTTCCTTATTCATATTTCAATTTCAACATTATGTATATTAAATGAGGAAAAATATATATAAATTCTAAAATCGAAATTTTATTTCATAAACATTTAAAACTCAATATTAATCATTTTTCAGCAAAATATTATATTTGTTAAAAAAAAAGTTAATTTTATAAAATATTTCTTTTATACGGTTTTTTCTCTTTAAAATTTTGAAGATTTTATGTATTTTTGAAAATGTATAAGTATTTACAGAGTTTTAAAAAATAAAAATGTTTCTTAAAAAATTGAATAAAATATTATAAGTTAATTAAACTTATAAACTTAAAATATCTCTTCTTGAAATAATTGCAAAAAGAATTAAAAATCTGTTTTTTAGAGTAAATTTTTTAAAATAATTAATAATCTCAGATTTTATTGGAAATTGAGTAATTGACGTCTTTTAAAAAATTTATTTATTTTTGTACATATTTGGATAAGTATAGTAAATGAGTTAAAGCAAAATTTCCTATGCTAGTAAGTTCTAGTGACTTTTGAATTTCTTTAAATTCACAAAGTTACCAAAGTCACTAGTCGTGACGTCACAGAGACCTACCCATCGCTACCCTGTTGCTGACGTCAAACAATTGACATTCACAACACTGAACAACTCTCGAGTATTGTCGATCGTTGATCGGAAATATTCGGGACAGTTCATAGCTGTCATGTCTAAGTTGGTCAAGATGGTTGTCAAATGTTGATAAAGTGTGTATTGAAAAAAAGAGACCCGTCTCTCTTTCCAAAATCAGTGATTAAAAAAAAAAGTAAACAAAACGAGGGCCTCTTCTTGGGGAGTAAATAATGTTCGCGAAATAAGAGAAGCAACAATTTAGTTACGGGTTCGTCATCGAGTCACGGAATGGCAGACGAGGATGCCGAGCAGGAGATTCGAAGTGCATTGAACGACGTTTACGTCGTTCAATCCATGATTGACATCTCAGCCGAAAGACTCGAGGGGCTTAGAACGCAATGTTCAACAAGCGCTGAATTAACGCAACAAGAAATTCGCACTCTCGAGGTTAGAAGAGATAAATAATACGGAATTTCACTTTCACTCTTCATTTTCCACAACGATAAATATTATAACCTTGACCTTGCCATTACATACTTCTCTTTAAACTAAATCAGTTTACCTTCATTTTCATTATTCTTTTTCAACCCTTTTCTTTTATCCTCACCGCTTTTATATCGATCGACTTTATTGATTTTCCATTAAATTAGAAACTGAATTTTTCGCTTAAATTGTGGTCAAGGTTTTCTTTTTTGCCACGAGTTGTGTCAACTCATATTTCGATACGTATTTTTAATATGCGCGCTCAGGTTAGAAAAAATTAAATTCGATTTTCCCTATAATTAAATTTATATTTTAAAAATTAAATTCAGGCCTATAACAAGGAATAAGTTCTATCAACGATATTATTTAACATCTATATTTATGAAATACTAAAAATGTATGATACATACAAATGGGTATAAAAAGAAAAGATTTAGATCTATAACAAAGAATAGTTCTATCATCGATATTATTTAACATCTATATTTATGAAATACTAAAAATGGGAATAAAAAGAAGAGATTTAGATCTACAACAAAGAATAGTTCTATCATCGATATTATTTAACATCTATATTTATGAAATACTAAAAATGTATGAAAAATACAAATAAAAAGAAAAGAACAAAGCAAAAATATATTTAAATTTAGGCCTAAAAACAAGGAATAGTTCTATCACCGATATTATTTAACATCTATATTTATGAAATACTAAAAATGAGAAATACATGAAAGGGACCACTTTACGTGCCTCCAACATGAGGTTCATTATTTACATTAACTTTTTATTGATATTCTATCAAGTTTGAATTTTTTTAAAAATTTATTTATAATCTACGAAGATTTATTTATCTTTGCATAATCTTTTAATACTTAAATTTAAAGTTCTTCCCATTTAAAAAAAATAAAATATTAAATTTTGTTTTCGAGTTTTGGTTAAATTGCATTGTATATTTTATAATTATATTTTAACGTAATTAAATAATTTCAAAATATTTATAATATATAAATTTAAAGTTCAGAATCTAACGTTTATTTTTCACTTATATTTGTTTAAAATAAAATTTAAAAAAGTTTAGTACATTGAATTTTAATTTAAATTATACATGTGGTTTTTTTCCCACGAATTGTCTGTTTTCGCAACAATGTTCTTATTATTATTATTTTTTTAAAAAAAAGATGAACACTAATAAAATTCACAACCATGTTTTTTACAATGTTCGTATAACTATATAAATAAATGACGACATGTGAGAGAAGAGATCCAATTATTTTCGAATTTTCACCTGATGAGGTCCATCGTCGATGGACGAAAAGCTTTGTGCTTGAAAATGAATTTAATATGGATTAGAAATAATAAACAAATCAACATCTTACTAAATTGACTACAATCCAAAAAAACAAAAACATCTTATATATATTAAAAAAAAGTTATTGGAATTATTAATTAAAATAGTAGTACCGATGCAAGTAAAAATTCAAATTCATCTCCAAAGCCTCGCTTTCTAAAAAAATATTTTTTTAACCTTTTAAACATAATGTGTAATAATTAATAATAATTTAATAAAAATATTTGGTTATTCGAACAAAAAAGGGTTTTAAGAGAATGACCCACATATGAAACTAAAAATTCAAGTACCTTTGAATTAAAAAGTAAAAATTTGTAATTAAATAAAATTACTAATTAAAAATATTTTTAAAATTATTTAAATTCAGGCCTATAAACAAGGAATAGTTCTATCACCGATATTATTTAACATCTATATTTATGAAATACTAAAAATGTATGAGAAATACATATGAAAATAAAAATTGAGGTACCTTTCAATTAAAGTAAAAAATTGCAATTAAATAAAATTACTAATTAAATTAATAATATTTTTAAATTTATTTAAATTTTGGCCTATAAACAAGGTATAGTTCTATCACCGATATTATTTAACATCTATATTTATGAAATACTATAAAAATGTATAAGAAATACAAAATGAAAATAAAAAGTCGTAACTGCGACAATGTCTATTAATCTATTCTATTAATTAGTTGAAGAAAGTAGTCAAATTTAATGAAAATAAATAATTTTATAAAAAATTTTATTCTTTATATTATATTATTAGGGGAAGCTGATAAAATTATATTCAAAACAACTTGTCACCAAGTCAAAACTGACTGAAGAATCATTACCTGCGGAAATGCGACAATATCCATCTCTGCCGCAATGGTTACGAGTTGTGGGTCTCAGACCGGAATCTATTCAGGTAAAGTAAAATTTTTAAAACGGAAACTCTTGTGGGAATTCAATCAAAAATTGTTAAAATTAACGACCTATGTTTATAGTACAAAATTTGTTTTTGCCGAATAATTCCCTGTTTAAACAGTTAGACAGTTTATTATTTAAGATTTATTGATATGCCTCTAAATTTTTAGATGGTTTGCTCAAAAACGAATTCTTTAGAGGCATTAAAGGAAAAATCGGAACACGAATTAGGCTGTATGTTGGGAGAAATCAATGTAAGGCAAGAGGAAGAGCTTCGCAGACTTTGTCGGGCGCTTCATAATCTTCGTCGTTACATGGGTAACGTTTTTATTGTATAAAAATTAAAGTTAAAATCTGTAAAATTTTTGTTTTTTCATTTTCCAATTCTTTATTTTTGAAAAACAAAATTTAAGTATATAAACTGTTATTTAAATTAAATGTTGATTCAAATTTATTTATTAATATTTGTTTACCTAAATTTATGAATATTAATTAAAATTATTAAAATTTCTGTTAAAGACGTTCTCTTGAAAGGAGACATGGAGAACAGTGAAATGAATTTATATTGGGATTCCTGGGACAGGCATCACATGCGAAGTGGACCTTCGCCACGTTCTCTACGACCACGCGATCCTAGAATTTTTACACCTTCCGAAGACAGCATTCCCTATAATATTAACAATAATTTTAATAACAATAATCTTAATAGTGATGTTCTGGTTCAGGCGTCGTCGGTTAATTCTCTATTGTCCAATGCTAGTCCTCCTTCGACACCTCCTCTCGTTAATCAAGGTTTGTCCCACTTTTCTTCTTCTTAAATTACTTTAGGCTTTTTTACGACTTTAAAAATCAGAAATGATAATCGATTTTTTGCCTACAATTGCTTTTTTTATAGAAATTTCAATTTTTTGCAATTTAATTTTCGCTCTTAGCTGGAGTGAAGTTTCCGTCAACACCACCGCCGTTGAAGAAACATCAAACGGGACTTCAGAGTTCTTCTCAGCCGGAAGTATTTCCATTGACAAAGTCAAAATCGCACGAGTCGCAATTAACGAATCGTATGGAAAATGGAGACGCGACTTCTGGGTATTTATCAATTTTCTTCTTTTTTTAGCTCTTTCTTCAGTTTTAGAAATTAATGACTACTTTTTTCTAAAAGTAAAGAAAAGAAGAAGAAAAATGAAAAATCTTTTTTAATCATTTCATGAGGGGTTTACTTCTAAAGGTGTCCAAATGAGCAAAGTTCTTTTTTTAGCTCTTTCTTCAGTTTTAGAAATTAATGACTACTTTTTTCTAAAAGTAAAGAAAAGAAGAAGAAAAATGAAAAATCTTTTTTAATCATTTCATGGGGGGTTTACTTTTCAAAGGTGTCCAAATGAGCAAAGTAGTTACGCGGGTAAAAGAACACGTTTACCAACAGAACCTGGATCTTGTAGTGGGACGGACATCATGAACGAAAGTTTTGTTCCAAATACAAGCAGTCCAATTAAATCTCCACCATATTCAAGCGCCGATAGCGATGATAACAGTTTTAAGGGAACAGGTAAATTAATACTCCATCATAGATAAAAGTAATTTTAAAAAAAAATTCTATTTAAATTTGAAGAAAGAGTTCAATTTTAAATAGAAATGCAAATTTATGGGAATTTTGAGAATTATTCTTTCTTCAAGGGACAAGTCTTCAAGTGCCAAAGTCTCCACGAACACCGACTGTCAGTCGTGGGATGGGTCACATGATTACTCATCGCTTCACAAAAACCTTCCAAATGATGACAACCTGTGATTATTGCGATAAGCAAATGTTCATGGGCCTCAAGTGCAAAGAGTGTAAATACAAGTGTCACAGGGACTGCGCCTCGAAAGTTCCGCCCTCTTGTGGTCTACCTCAGGAATTAATTGACGAGTTTAAAAAGACTCTTCAAGCCGATAGTAAGTCAACTAACGGTTTTTCTTTTTAAAATCATTCTAAATAATTTTGAAGAAATCGTATTTTAATTAACGGTTTGTCTTTTATTCATTTTTCTAAATCACTGAAGAAATCATATTTTAATTAAAATCAGATCAGATTTCAGTTAAAATTAAATTTGAATTAACGGTTTTTCTTTTCTTCATCTTTCTAAATCACTGAAGAAATCATATTTTAATTAAAATCAGATCAGATTTCAGTTAACATTAGATTTGAAGTAAAATAAGATTTCGGTTTAATTCAGATTTAAATTAAAATCAGATTTTAATTAAAATTTATGATACGCTCCGAAGAAAGGTGCTGAAGAAATAAAAATTTTTAGGTTATGTTTGTACTCTTTAAAATGAAGAAAAAGGATCAACTTTTTGATATAAACCACTGTTTTTTTAGCCCTTATTGTATCTAAAATAATTAATTTTAGTCGTACTAACGTTTCCGTTTCTCCTTTAAATCATACATTTTAATTTAAAATACAAATAAAAAACACCAAAAAAATGGATGAAAAATTTAACATGTTTTTTTCTTAGGTATGGTAAACGTATCCCCGGTTTTAAACAAATCGGGAATAACATCGCCGAATCATCACAATTCTAATCAGAACCATAAACGCCCTCATCCGCATTCTTCTTTGATTACACCTTTTCAGGTATTTAACAAGCACATTATTAATTCCTTTATCATCGTAAAATTAAATTTCCAATATGAGATTTGTTACTAAAAAAAATTATTTTTCATATTGGATCCGCCATTTTGAATTTTGAAAATCTGACTTCAGACCTTAAAAGAATGTAAATAAATTTTAGAGTGTAAAATATTTATTTTTTTGTTGCATTTAAAATTCTTTTGTTAATCCGAAGCCAGTGAAGAAAGAACCTCTTTTATTCCCTAGTTGATTTTAAGTAAAACTTTACGTTTTTATAGTGTTTAAGTACTTAAATTGTTATTATAACTTTAATATTCTTTTAAAAATCGGCATGATTAATTTTTTTTACCAGGGTGCAGATTCTAGTTCAAATACCTCGAGCTGCAATAGCTCAACACCTTCTAGTCCAGCTTTGTTACCTGTAAACGTTAACCAAACACCTCAGGCGCCTGTTAAGCAACAATTTCATTTTCCAGGTTCGTGAAATTTATTTTCTTATAATAATTTTGTATAAATTTATTTTAAATTATTAAAATTATTAAAATAAAGTTATCCGAATTTATTTAAAAGTAACTTTTTAAAAATAAGATACATAAACAATTTGCCACAAAAATTTAATTTTGTTTTTGGACAATTTCAAGTCGGAATTTTAACTTTTTCTTGATTCGTATTAAAAAAAAATTCGGTACCTTTTGTAATTTTAATTTTTAAAAATGGCAAGAGTTAAAATAAATAAATAATAAATAAATAAATAACATAAAAATAATAACATAAAAAACGGCGAGAGTTAAAATAACATTTTTATTTTAGATGTGACGCCTTATGAAAAGAGTTTAACTCTGGAAACGCATAGACTTGAGGGAACGACCGTTTCGAGCGACAGTGAACGTACTATCAGTGTTTCCGGTTCCGGAAGTGTTAGTACGGATTCCGATCGAACGCCGGTTAGAGTCGATTCTCAGGATTCTCAAGTTTCAGACGGAGAACCCGGCGATGGACGATGGCCCCGACAAAATAGCGTGAGTATAATGTTTCAAAAACGAAATTTTAATAACATGATGTACTCCTTATTTTGAATTGTATTTTAATTAAATTTATTAAAATAATTTTATTTAAGGGATTTTATTTTTAATTTTAAAAAAAGTGAAGTGTTTTAGGGGACTATATTTTTAATTTCTTCACATGGAGAATAGAAAATGAAAACTGGATTTATTTTTTAGTTATCGATGCGAGAATGGGATATTCCTTATGACGAGTTAAAAATAGGGGAACCTATCGGAACGGGTAGATTCGGTACAGTTTATAGAGGAAATTGGCACGGAGATGTGGCAATTAAAGTTCTCAATATGGATTACTATCTCGACGATGATAAGACTCTTGAAGCTTTCAAATTAGAGGTACGTTTTTAATTATTATTTAAAACTAAATTGATTTTTAAAAATAAACATATTTTATAAATATTATAAAATATAACATATATATATATACGTAATATATAGAAATATTTTTAAAATAAAAATAATAATGAATATTTAAAGCAAAAAGAAAAATAAAATATTGTTGTTTAAGGTGGCAACTTTTCGGAAAACAAGACACGAGAATCTAGTATTATTTATGGGGGCTTGTATGAAGCCCCCTCGCTTGGCGATAGTCACGAGCATGAGTAAGGGCATGACCCTCTACACACACATTCATCTTCGCAAGGACAAATTTAATATGAATAAAACAACCATAATTGCACAACAAATATCCCAAGGAATTGGATATCTTCACGCACGTGGAATTGTTCACAAAGATCTCAAGAGTAAAAATATCTTTCTTGAAAATGGCAAAGTCGTTATTGCCGATTTTGGACTTTTTAGCGTCACGAAACTTTGCTACGGCAACAGGTAATTTTTTGATAAAAATAATTACTTATTTTTATGAAAAAGAAAAATTTAGTTTTTCAAACTCTTCTTTTTTTTAAATTAAAAGAAAAAAATTAAGAATTTTATTTGAACGACTTGAGTAATTTTAATTTAATTATTTACAGAACTGGTAATGGTTTAAGCATTCCACCTGGATGGCTGTGTTATTTAGCTCCTGAAATAGTTAGGCGCTTGAAACCTCAACAAAATCGAGATCAAGAGGAATTACCATTCACCGAAGCGTCCGATGTTTACGCTTTTGGGTAATAATTTTCCCCCTCTGTAAATTTTTATTTTTTCCAATTATTTTTTTGAAAAATTAACGAATTATTTTTTCAGAACTGTTTGGTATGAACTTCTTTGCGGTGAATGGCCGTTTAAAGGCCAACCACCCGAAGCAATTATTTGGCAAGTCGGCAAAGGAATGAAACAGACTCTTGCCAATTTACAAGCATCACGCGATGTTAAGGTATTCATTTCATATATTTTTTTTGAGAAAAAGATTAATAAATGTAATAAATTTTTAATATTGAGGGCTAAGATTTGATAAAAATTAATGTTTCCCCGTTTGCAGGATATTTTAATGCTATGTTGGTCTTTTCACACTGAGAATCGACCGGACTTTGCAAAATTATTGACAACATTGGAAAAACTTCCGCGGAAAAGACTTGCACGAAGTCCCTCACATCCAATTCACCTCTCACGTTCCGCTGAATCTGTGTTCTAATTTTTTCAACAAAAAAAAATGATTTTTAAAATCACAATTAAAAAATGAAAAAAAAACAAGAAATTTTGTCAAAGAGGAACGATCTGAAGAAGAAACTAAAGAAATATTAAGTTTTACGCAGCTAAGTCTCTTATTTAAATACGACGTCTTTTTCGTAGTGTATATATGTAGCAGTCTCAAATCGATGCCACGATCTTTATTCATAAATAATAAAAAAAAAAACATTAAAATTTACTTTTCTGTAGTTTTTTTCCACTATTGTCACACCAGAAAATTTGCATTTCCTATGTTAATTAACAATTTTTTAAGAATCAGGATCAATATTATTACCATATAAACATGGCTCATAGGAATATTCAATAAACTTGCGATTTGCTTTCGTTACCTCGTAAGGATTTATAGATTAAAATCTAAGAGAGTAAAATTGACAAAAGAATTCTTTTTTTACAAAAGAAACGATAAACTTTAATTTTCCTTTTTTACATTTAGAAATGCAACACTTAATTTATATTATTAAATAATATAATCAACCATTAATCCTAGTATATCAACAACTTTTATAGTTCCAAATTATGTAAATTCGAAAAATGTGTTAAATATCTGTAGATTCAAAAATTGTTACGGGAAAATTTTTCTTTTTATCAAGAAGAAACGCCTAGTTTTTAACAATACTTAAAATTGAGAAGAGAATTTTTCTTCTAATTCACGTTTCGTTTTTCTTAAATGTAGACTGCGTAGTTTATTTAACAATATTCTGTCTGTGAGAGTTTGCATTAGAGGCCTGGTTACCATGTCCGTTATATGAGCCAATGATTTAGTCAGCACTGGAAAAGAAAATTGTATTTTTAAAAAGAAAAGTTACAAAAATATTTTTCAAATTATATGTGGTTTCTATTAATTGGGTCAAAAATGTCTTACCAGCATTGTTATAAACTGAAGCCAGTATATCGTGATGGTCTTTTCGCGCTTCTGCCAATTCCTCTTCTTCTTGGACAAGAATTTTCGGTAGCGAAGCCATAGTCTGGAGAAATTAATTTAATTAGTAAATTCGTAACTAAAAATTAATTCAATTTTAATTAATTAATTAATTAAAAAATTTCGCCCATAAACTTACCTGAAGGCAGTCTGCTGAAATATTTAGTGTATAAGAAATTTCCAGGGGAATTTCAATTGCTTCCTGATTAAAGGATTGAAAGCAGGTCAATTGAACTTCTTGAGTCTAAAAATTTTAAATCTTTAGTATTTTTAATAGCCAGTGTAAAGGAAATAATAATAAACTCTGTTAACGTATAGAGTAAAAAAAAGTGCAAAAATTTGTTTTAAAAATAAGTGGACATTATTGAGAAAAGTAATACACTAAATAATTTGTCATTCTCGTTGTTAAAAGAAGAAAAACGAACCTTGCTATCCTTCTCTTCGGAAAAAACGGAGAATATAAGTCCAAAAAATTTGGAGTCCATTTGTTGGTGCATTGCTTGTGTTCCAACGTCTATAAAATAAATTTAAGTATAATAAAATATAATAAATTCATATATTAAATATATAATACAATTTATTTACTCTCCCTGCATTAAGCAAGGTTCGAGGAATCAATAATAATTTTTTAAAAACTAACTACATAACCTTATAACTACTTACAAACAAACACTTAAACCTATACGCTTCTTTATTCGCCTTTCAACAAATACCCTAACCTATCAAAAATCGCCAATGCCAGGACTTCCGTTTCCAGTTCCAATTGCCTTTATTCCCATTTCGACCAACACTTCTTACTCTTCCATTTTTTCGTTTATTCCATGCCTTCTCTCTCTACAGCCATATAATTCTTCTTTCTCTCCACGTTCTATCCTCATCAATTCTTATCACACTTCCTTTCAACCTCTCCTTTACCTTCCATTCCATGCCTTCTCTCTCAACAGCCATATAATTCTTCTTTCTCTCCACGTTCTATCCTCATCAATTCTTATCACACTTCCTTTCAACCTCTCCTTTACCCTCCATTCCATGCTTTCTCTCTCAACAGCCATATAATTCTTCTTTCTTTCCACGTTCTATCCTCATCAATTCTTACCACACTTCCTTTCAACCTCTCCTTTACCCTCCATTCCATGCTTTCTCTCTTAACAGCCATATAATTCTTCTTTCTCTCCACGTTCTATCCTCATCAATTCTTATCACACTTCCTTTCAACCTCTCCTTTACCCTCCATTCCATGCTATCTCTCTCAACAGCCATATAATTCTTCTTTCTTTCCACGTTCTATCCTCATCAATTCTTATCACACTTCCTTTCAACCTCTCCTTTACCCTCCATTGCACTTACATTCATACCCCTGATCACAACGTTCTTTTTTCTTTTGTCTCTTTCCATGACTTCAACTCGCCTCGATAATTCCCCTATTTTCACCACCATAGACACATAATCACTTTCCTTATCACCTTCTCTTTATTTTCCATTAAACGTTCTTTCAATTCATACATTTTCCTCCACAAGTCTTCCTCTTCTTTTATCCACTCTAACTCCAACTTTATCCACATTCTCTGCATACTCCACAAGCTCTTACCAATTTTCTCAATTTCTCTGTCCCTCATCATCTTTTTTATTCACAGGTTTCAACTTTTTTCCTATTATCTTAAGGTCATGTTATTCAGTGGTCACGTGCCCCATATACTTTACTATGGAAAAACTTCACACTGAATAACATGACCTTAAATTCTTTGTCCAATGATACACTCCACTTTTGAAACAACGCACTTAGTTACATTTTCCATTCTTACCTACTCCCGTTCAAATATTGTCGCCTCGCTCTCACTAGACTCACAGAAATATAGTATTAAAAATCTATTGAAGTAATTATGAAAAGTGTGAAGAACGTACCAACATGTGAAGGACAAACAGTAATGTGAGGATGAGAATGATACCATCCCAGAACTCTCACTGGTAAATTAAGTTTCTCCGCCAATTTTTCAGCCTCTGTTGCCGCTGCACATTGCTGTAACGATGAAATTTCAACCCTGTCTTTCTTTTTATCCGAGCGTCGCATTATCACCAATGACATTATTGTTGCGATACTGTCTTGACTCTGGTAACAAAAAAAAATTTTATATTTTCAATTCGAAGTGAAAATATAGACATTGAGTTTAAATAAATTACTTCACTCGATGACAAAATCAGTAACATGGAAAATTATAAAATTTTAGTGTAACAAACTTGTTAGTAAATTAAAAAATTCAAATTTTGAAGTTATTTATTTGATCGGAAGGTAAAAACCTAATAACCGCATGTTTCGTAAGGTCCAAGTTCACTTTTTGTTTATAAACAAAAAGTGAACTTGGACCTTACGAAAAATGCGGTTATTAGGTATTTACAATGTCTCCTATTATTTTATACTTACAACTCCGAGTAACATTCCCATCACTTCAAAATGTTCTGTAGACAAAGCGTGTTGTATGCAAGCCATATAAACATCAGCTTGCAATATCACTTTTTCGAGTCTTTCTCTTCGGTCCATGATTTCTTAATTATATCAACGCTTCTAGAAAATAAAATTATTCATTTAATAGCACTTTAATTTCAGTTTAACATTACAACATATCAAAATTTAAATTTAAAGCTACCTTTGAAATTAAATTAATAAACGAGGTAAAAATTCCCTTCTTGCATAATTTTTTTAACCCTAAAAACATATAAGATCAAAAATATTTAATTTTTGAAGAGGTTAGACCATCTTATATATTTTTGGGGTTAAAAATGATGCAAGAAAAAAATATTACCTCGTTTAATAATTTATATTTTAAAGGGGTCAAAAATAAAGGTGGTGTCTGCCCTTAAAAACAAGTACTACACTTAAAAAAATAACCTAAGGGTAAAAATATTAACGATATTAACATCTGAAATTTAAACATATAAATTAGTCAAATTTGACTATAAAGTATGAGAAATATAATAAAATATAAAAATAAATAATACTTTTTGTTAAGAACTTGTGACAATAGTTTTTTTATCAAAATTAAGAAACAATAAGATACTTCTAAAATTAGGAAATTTACCAATCGAACAAATATGTTAAAGACTATTTAATACTTTCCTTTATTTTGACTTCAATATAGTGCTAGGAGAGAAAATACGTTAAATGCATTTAATTTAATAATAATGTAATAACAACACTTCACAATAATGTATTTTTGTTATTTTGATTATGTTTTGATCGCTTTGATCACTGTAAACTTTCCAGGGTTGGGAGCTCCACTTGAAATTTAACTATTAAGTCGAATTCACAATGACAAAAATGACAAAAACAAAGGGTGGAGTCCCATGACAGCGTTTTGCGTTGCGTCGTAATGGGATAAAAAAAGACGCAAATATACGTTTGCTGCATTCTCTCTCATTACAACGCAACGCAAAACGCTGCCATGGGACTGCGGCCTTTGGCATTGAAGCATTGAAGACAAAAACACAAAAATTATTAAATTTTGCAATAAAAAATATGCAAAAAATGCTACTAGGCAAACCAAAGCATTATAACTTAAAAAATTCTTTTAGATAAAAGTAATCGTCGTAATTGTGCTAAAATATATGTATTTTTATTAATAAAAATAAATTAATATTTATTTAAATAAATTTAGGTTTATTAATTATTTTAATTTAAATAAATAAACTTAAATTCTCAATATTCTCTCGAAAAAATGAAATTACCATAATTTTCTTGGTTATTTTACCCTAACCTAAATTTTCGAGAATTTATCAACACTACTGACATGTGTATGCGTGGAAAGAAAACATGAGTCAGTATTGGTCAATGTACAGTATAGTACATGTTTATTCATCTGTTTGAAACTTTATTATTCTCTATATTTTAGTCTCAATTTGTGATTTCTGAATATTGCGAACAGTTTTAAATTAAACAATAAATTTTACTGAACTAATTAATCAATTCAGTAACATACTATTTACAAATATCAAGATTTCACATTTAAGTATTTCATTTTAAATACGGTTCATAGAATTTACCTTATAAATTGAAAGCCACACCTATTTTTATTAAATTTGTTTGATTGTTCGAAAAAAGTGATTATATAGTTTTTTTAAGAATAAAAAAATGAAAATGAATGCGTTCATATTTGTTTTCTTGTGTCTTAGTGTCTATTCAGGTACTGTCTGTTAATTATGTATATTTTTAAAATAAAACCATGTTTACAAATTTTCATAACACTGCGTTATTTTTTTAGGCTACGCCCTAGAATGCTATGTTTGTCAAAATCAGGAAGGAAACATTGAAAAATGTTTAAATACGATAAAAACATGTGAACATGATGAAGACGTTTGTCTCTCAGAAATTAGTTGGGGAAGTAAGTAATTCATTTTATTTTAATTGCTGTTAATATGAAAAAATTTTTTTACGCTACTTTTGTTATATCGAATTGAAAAACAGAAATTTTACTTATCAGAACTGCAATAATTCGAGTTTTCTTTTAAACAAATTTTTCTCACAAGAAATTAGTATTTGAAGAATTATTTATAAAGACATTTTTTATTTGACTGTATTTTAATTTATAAAAGTTTCCATGCAGAAAAATAAAAAGTTTGCTTAAAGGATGTTTTAAGTACATAAAAGTTTATATAAAGGGATTGTAACCTAAAATATTGGTCAATTATCAGAATTTTTATGGGGCTTATGATTATTCCCCAAATTTCAATTTCATAATTTTCAAAACATCGAAATTCTTATTATCGAAATGTCATTTCACATAATTTTCATATTTTGAAATACCATTGAACGTAATTTTTAATTATTCGAATTATTCTTTATCCTAATATTTAAATACTAGAAATATCCTTTGACATTATTTTTAATAAATCGAAAAATTCTTTGACATAAATTTTGTTATTCCGAATGACTATGTTTGTCATAATTATTAATCCTCCGAATGACTACATAACCTAAAATTCATTCACACTGATCGCCATTCAATTCAATTTGTATGTTTGCGAAATTTCTTTTCGCATAATTTTTATATTTCGAAATACTATTGAAGATAATTTTCATTTTATTCGAATAATCGTTGATTCTAATTTTTAAATAATAGAATCGTCTTTTAAAATATTTTTTATTTCGTATGAGTAAATTTTCAAAGTACCGAATTTTTAAAGCACACTTTTTAGAATGTCGATCCTAACATTTTTTGCACAAAGTTACTAGATTGTTACTAGACCACCGTTCCCAAAATATATTTTAAATTGAGCGAAAAATTTGAACTCACATGTTAAATAAAATTTCGCGCGCAATTTTTATCTACCTTACCGATAACAACATAGATGGTAAACTCTTGTGACAAAAAAAGTTACTAAATGAAAATTCGACATTGTAAATGTTTAGTGCTTTAGAAATTTTTTTTGTAAATTCGGTATTTTTAGAATAAAAAATTGTTATAGGTCCGCCCTATTGGTCGCAGGGAGCAACGAAACAATTTTATGTCTCCAAACGATGCTCTAGTAAACGAAAATGTGAAGCAAGGAGACAAAATTATATGTCTACTTGTACCCATATATGGTACTTAGACTGGAAATGCTCCGAGTGTTGTCAAGGAGATAGGTGTAATTATTACATCATAGTAAGTTTTTTAAATTATATTCATAAAAAGTAAATAATTAAAAATAAATAATAATATTATAATTCTAATTTTCTATTTCAGTCTGGAACAAGTAAACCAGGACAAAATATTGCTATAATAACTTCATTAGTTTTTACAATATTTACCGTTGTGTTCAGAATCTAGCGCAAAAAAATAATTTTAAGATTAAGTTAAATATCAAGATCTGCAGAATTTGTCACGTAGACAATTTTTTAAGAATTATCAAAGAACAAAGAAAAAAAAATAACTGAATACTTCTTCCGTCCAAATGTAAATAAGTATTTCTTCTCATTAGTTTTGTATATAATTTAAAAGAAAAAAAAATGACACAAAGTATTTACTTTTTTATCGTTAATTTTAATCTTTTTTTAACAACTAGAATTTTATTCAATTAATAGAAAATGTAAACATTTATGTGCCTTAATGTTTCACGATTGGAAGGAACTAATTTTAAAAGTAGTGTAAATCCAATACGTGATGAATAAGTGCATTTGAAAATTAAAAAAAAATTTGATGTTATAGGTATTTTCTTAGGAAAATAAAAGAAACTTTATGAATGTTAATAATTCATTGAAATTGTATTTTGCAGCAAATGTTGAAAAAATACTCAATTCCGTCCATAATTAATAAGATTTGTTTGGACAGGAGTGAAACTTTGTCCTCGCATATAATGTTGTATTTTTAAATTTATGATTCGATTAAATTGAATAAAAAACTTTATACCAAAAATTAAGTTAGTATTATTACTCTTTTTCCCAATGTTAGTACTACAACACCTGCAAAATGGCAGTGAAGAAAGATGCTGATATTTCTTCACTGCCCTTTTGCAGGTGTCCCAAAATTATTAATTAAATTAAATCAGAGAACAAAGGGAAAATTACTTTCGAATACCACTTATAATTATGTAAACGTATATATTTTATGTTCTATGTTTGTAAACTCAGAAGCTACACGCGCGTTTCTTTAAACTATAGTCTATAGTCGATTATAAAGATAAAAAAATGTTTTTTCCCATAAAGCAAAGCAGCAATAACTATTATAAGTGTGACCCACATTCTTAAAGTCCAATCATTACTTCCGAACGAACCATACTTATAAGCAGGTGAAGAAACGCTAATCGCTACTTCAAGTTCGCTTTTATTTTTTAGTAAAACCACTCAGGTAAAAAATTATTTAAAAAATCCCACAATCTACATAAATAAATACCAGTTTTCGCTAGCATAAGGCATATTTGGAATTCTTCAACCAATTTGCTGAAGAAATCTCCTACCATATCTGGCAAAAAAATGATATAATCTGTTTTTGAAATCCAAAAAAAAAAAAACTCCTTGTCATGTAAAAACTTATTCAAACAGAATTCACCTCACTTACAATAGAGTCAGATTTTATGAAGAAGCAATCCGAGATCCAAATACAGTGAGAAAGTTAATATTAATAATTGTTAGAAAAAGTTGTTGAAAAGCCAAGTATGATTTCACCACCAGAAGAAGTCAGTAAGGAAAAATTGCTTCTGATTGTCTCTTACTTGCTAATTATCGGATACTCTCTAGCAATAACAATTTTTATTGTGGAAAAGATGAGCGTTATTAATTGGAGGAAAGTGAACTTAATTCGCAAACAGTGCTTTATGTTTACAAAGAAATAAAAAAATAAAAACATTCACCGCTAATATGAAGCATGTGGTCATCAACAAACAACGGCAGCTCGACTCATTCTTGATTTAAAGACTGTCGTATTGGAAGATCAGAAGCGGAAGAGGAATAGTCCTGAGTTGACTAAAAACTCAAAGATGAAGAAGAAGATGAATGAAGGACCTTCAAAAAAACCGAAGGACCAAATACAGAAAGAAGAAGGTCCACAGAAGAGGTCATCAATGATTGTAAAAGTGGCTGATGGTTCGACGTTCGCAGCAGTTCTGGGAAAGATCCGTGAGGAAGTGAATCCAGAAAAATACCATACGATTTGTGTGGGCTCTGTACCCACAAAGAAGGAAGAATTCTTTATTAAACTTAGAGGATTTTCTGATAAGGAGACCTCTCACTGTAAAAAGAAAGGTACGAATTTATTACCACTTTTGGTACTAAATCATAATTTGTTTTAATTTTAATACCGAAATCAACTCTAATTTAGAACCTTTTTTCTACAATGTGCTTCACCAATGTGGTGACTAGGGTGATTGGTGACCTGGGTAAGATTCTGGACCGGCCAACTACTTTGGAGATCCGCGATCTGAATTGTCTTACAGAACTAGCAGAAGTTCAGCTTACATATAAAGTACATCAACTAGAAAAGTACATAAATTAATAAATACAACTTAGGAAATATTGCAAGAAGAATTAATTTTGAAATAAATACAAAAGTTAAATTAAAAGCTTTAAGAATTCTAATTTTCAAAGAGCTTATCTAATTTCGAACTATCGAAATTTTGTGGAGAGACAAGGTAGTACGAGCAGTGTAACAAGTCAAGCAGGTTGCATTTCTGCGTCTTTAGTAATTGCGATTGACATTGCTAGCTGTAATAAAGATCGATATGAATACATTAAGCTGTGTGAGGATATATATATATATATTTGTCATTACTAAACTTATGCACATACTAACTAAAAAAACGCTCCTGTAGTTTCTCATTCTATTGTCAGTAGATAATTAACAACAATGGTAATCGTTTACAATTCTTTTTTTTTATGTTCCTATTTTGTGAAATATCCTCTCAACATGCAATAGCTTTATTTTTACAAATAATGAAAAGAAGTCATAAGAAAACCATTTTTATTTTTGCTTTTTTATGGTTACACTTTATTATTTTTTATTCTTTGTGAAAAATTTTAAAATAATTTATGTATATTTTTATTTCCATACGTTTAAATATTATATGATATATAGTAATACTTTAAATAGAGTAATACAGAAAATTTTTTCTCTCTTACAACCAGAGGTGCGTTGAAAGTTACCCAACAGAAATTGGTAAGAGAAATTTATAATTTTACATATTATATTAAAATAAAATAAATTATTTAGTTGCACTACGGAGATTTTATCAAAATATTGCAGCATCTGTTTTTATAAATTTTTCGTTCAAATCGATACTTTGATCATAGAATACAAAGTATTTTTCTGTATTTTAATTTTTGTTGAAGAAATACTTTGAAGGAAATTAAATTTTATAATAAAAAAGAAAAAACAATTTTTAATAAACATTACTGGTGAATATCTATTGACAATTAAAATTGACAAAGAACACGTTCGCTATGTAGCGCGTGTTATTATTGCTAGTAGATAAGGTAAGAGGCGAATAAAATTCTAAAGATTATTTATTCAAATAATTTTACTATTGTATTGTATAATCAGAATCTTATTTGTTGAAATAAAAGAGAAATAATAAAAAAATAAATTTTTAATTACGAGGTGTGAGAGCTAATAGTTTTTATAAATTATAAATGCGTTCGTATTGTTGAAAATAAAACTGAATGCTTGTTATCACTGAAAGGAGTCAAGGTTTTTCGATACTAACAATAATACAATGTTATTGTATTTATCTTATATTTCAAATTTTATTTTTAAAATTAAATAGTCATTTTCTTATAATTTTCCTTGTGTAACAATAGCAATAATGTCATTTAATTCGCAGAGGGAAGTTTGCCACTGTCATTTATTGTCCATGTTTAAAATTAAATGAAAAGGACGTCGTAGACTTATATTTAGACTAAAAAAAATACAGTTAGTATTAATTAATTGATTTTCCCAATTATTCAGAATTAAAATTAAAAGTTAGAAATGTTATTTCCAATTTCTGGTGAGACATGTTCAGGAAGTTTATGTACTTGTTTGTACACGCTGATGCTCTCATACCTTTTTAATTACTCACCTGACCAGAAATTTAATTTGGTAAGTACAATTTCAAAGTAGATCACGAATTTGTGTCAATTGATAAATAATAATTAACCTAGGGAAATAAAGTTGAAAATTTGGATTATTTTTGAAAGCAAGAAATACCGGAAACAGAGGAGTATGACTTTATTGTCGTTGGAGCTGGGTCAGCAGGATGTGTAGTAGCAAATAGACTCTCAGAAGTTAACGATTGGAAGGTAATGTAGTAAAAAGAACTATAAATGTTTATTAAAAGTATTTAATTATTTCTTTATTGAAAGTAAATAGCAATTTATTTTAACTAGCAGTTTAGGAAGAAAAATTAATTTTTGCATAATAGGTACTTTTATTAGAAGTTGGAAAAGAGGAACCATTAATTGCAAATATACCTGGATTAGTTAAATCCTTAACGTTCACAGAATTCGATTGGGCATATAAAACACAACCCGAAGAAAGTTTGATTGGAAAAAATAAAATAATTACATGGTATTTAGGAAAAGTATGTACTGAAAATACTGAATAATTAATGATCAAATAAGTAAGCAAAGAATTTAATTTAAAAAAATAATTCAAAAATATAGGTAATGGGTGGTAGCAGTGCAATGAATGGCATGTACTACGTTAGAGGAAATCGGGAAGATTTTGACAATTGGGAGAAAATGGGCAATCCAGGATGGAGTTATAAAGATGTTTTACCATATTTCCTAAAGTCGGAAAATAATTTAGACCGTGAGGTAAATTTTTATAACAAATTTAATTCCTTAATTCAAAACCAAGCCTTCATTTTCTTAAATCCATTATAAACTATTTTTTAAAATAACTTTTTCCCTTAAAGCTTGTGGAGAATAATCCCAAATATCATGGAACAGGCGGATATTTGTCAGTTCAAAAATTTCCATATGTAACAGAAGAGGGAAAAATTTTGCTCAATGCTTACCAAGAACAAGGTCATAATTTAACGGATCCAAATGCTGTTAAACAATTAGGAGTGACATTATCACAATTAACAGCTGGCAATAATTCTCGATCAAGTACAAATATAGCATTCATTCGTTCAATTAGAGGTATCCGAAAAAATTTATTCGTCAAAAGTCAATCACTAGTTACAAAGATAATAATCGATGCAAAAACAAAAAAAACCATTGGTGTTGAATACACATCTCTAAAAACTAATGTAACTAAAAAAATTCTGGCCAGAAAGGAAGTTATCATATCCGGTGGGGTTGTAAACTCACCGCAATTATTAATGGTCTCTGGAGTTGGGCCAAGTGAAGAACTTAAGAAACATAAAATTAAAGTCATAAAAGATCTTCCAGTTGGTAGAAACCTACATGATCATGTGTCAGCTCAAGGTCTATCGGCTAAGAGAGAAAATTTTAAAACAACACCACAGACCTGCGAGAAAAATATAGAAAATTTGTTGTACTATTTTACAGAACGAGAAGGACCATTCACTGGAAGGGTGGAATTTATGTTTCTTTGTTTTAGCAAAACTGTATTTGAAAAGAGAGACATTCCAGACATACTCTTCACTATGGATACATTAAATGAAACTGAAATTGCTATTAAACCAGTATTATTGTCACCTAAAAGTAAAGGATATCTAGCACTTAATAAATCAGATCCTGTTAGGGGTGCACCTTTAATATATCCTGGTTATTTCACCAAAAAAGAGGACGTTGATCGGATAATAGATGGTATCAGGCTCACTATTGACATTCTCAATTCAACAGTTATGAGAAATAATAATTTCATCTTCGACGAAAAACCTTTGGACTCATGTAAATCCTTTGAATTCAATACCTATAATTACTGGGTGTGCTTTCTGGAAAAGAAATTTTATTCCGATCTTCATCCAGTGGGGACTTGTAAAATGGGAAAAGAAGATTCTCAGGCTGTTGTTGACTCAAGATTAAAGGTTCACGGTATACAAGGATTAAGAGTAATTGATGCTTCAATAATGCCTGTTGTGCCTTTGGGAAACACAAATGCACCTACAATTATGATCGCCGAGAAAGGAAGTGATATGATAAAAGAGGATTGGTTGTAGAATTATTAATTCATCGATTCGACCAGAAACGCATTCGACGCACTTTTTAAAATTTTTAATAAGTATACTATGATTAACTTTATCGAAAGCCTTACTAAAATCAACGATTGCATCCGCATATAATGCGATATATGGTAATCGCTTATATTTCTTTTTATGTATTTTGTAAATTATCTCTCAATACGCATAGCTTTATTTTACTATTAATAAAAAGAAGTAATAAGAGAAACATTTTTATTGCAAAATTTTTATTTTTTCATGATATTTATTTAATATATGATATGATAGTAATTCTTTAAATAGAGCAACACAGGAAATTTTATTCTCTATTACAACCAGAGGTGCGTTGAAAGTTACACAACAGAAATTGGTAAGTGAAATTTATAAATTTATAATTTATAATTTTACTTAAAGGTCTAAAATAAGCCTATACGCAATGAGGTGAATCTTAAAATAATAAAATAATACTATCCAAAATATTAATAATATTTGAAAGAGAATTAGCAAAGTTTTTAAATTTCTTGAACCTTGAGGGGAAGATTTTTTGTTAGAATAGCTCGTTTACCATAGTTTTAGGTATAGTTGCTTAGTAAGTCGCGTTTCGCACCAAATTTATTTTCAAAGTTTTCTTTGAAATGTTAAGATTTCTAATATAATTCTAAGATACAATAAATATTTAGAATAAATTCTATAAATTTAAAAAATTTATTGTCTGACCTACACAGGATCCTATAGGAAAATATATGAACTCCTGAAGGTTTAAAGAAATCCATATAACAGCCTCTATAGAATGATTTTCTGTTGACAGAAATATAAGAAATGAAAAATTATAAATAAAATAAAATTTGTTATATTCTTGTCAACAGTACTCACCTGATTTCATATTCTCATATATATATATATATATATAAATATTGTGTTGATACATTTTACAACATTGCATATGATTCTTTCCTAAAAAATAATCTTAACCTTCAGATTATTTGAAAGTCGTTGAATAATTAAATTTACGATTCTCTACTAGAAAACAATTTTTTATGATATATTATATTTTAAAATACGTGTGCAAATAAATATGATTATAGATTTTTTACATGTATTTTTTTAAGCTTTTAAATACGAACAAAAGATATGATAACGGACAATAATCTACTCACATAATATTTTGAACAAACGAAATTTAAAATAAAGTTTATAAAATTATATTTATTAATGTTTTATAATATAAAAATGACAATAAAATATAGATAAGTGTTAAGTCGAAGTAACCCAAATATTATATTATCCCTACGTTTTCCGATTTAATTTTAATTAATAATAATAAAAATTGGGACGGGTTTGTAAATTACTTATAGTTATTTCTATTGTTAAAGTTGTTATTACAATTTATTCTATCTCGATTCTATTATTAAAGTTGCTACAATTTACTATTAATAACTTGTTACTACAATTATGTTATTATTTGTTACAATTTACTATTAACTTGTTATTATAATTCTGTTATTATTTGTTACAATTTATTATTAATTTGGTATTACAATTACCAATTTTTAAAATTAAATGAAAAGGATTAAAGGCTTAAATTTAATAATATAATTGTACAATAGTATTAATTAATTGATTTTCCCAATTATTCAGAATTAAAATTAAAAGTTAGAAATGTTATTTCCAATTTCTGGTGAGACATGTTCAGGAAGTTTATGTACTTGTTTGTACACGCTCATGCTCTCATACCTTTTGAATTACTCACCTGACAAGAAATTTAATTTGGTACGTACAATTTCAAAGTAGTATCATGAATTTGAGTCAATTGATAAATAATAATTTAGGGAAATAAATTTGAAAATTTGAATCATTTTTGAAAGCAAGAAATACCGGAAGTAGAGGAGTATGACTTTATTGTTGTTGGAGCTGGCTCCGCAGGATGTGTAGTAGCAAATAGACTCTCAGAAGTTAACGATTGGAAGGTTAGTAAAAAACTGTACATATTTATTAAATAATGATTTAGTTTAACTAGCAGTGTAGGAAGAATAAATAAATTTTGCATAATAGGTACTTTTATTAGAGGTTGGAAAAGAGGAACCATTGATTGCAAATATACCTGGTTTTCTTAAATACTTAGGGTTAACAGAATTCGATTGGGAATATAAAACACAACCCGAAAGTAGTTTAATTGGAGAGAATAAAGAAATTACATGGCACTTTGGAAAAGTACGTAATCAGAAAATACCGAATAATTAATAATCAAAAAAGTAAGCAGAGAATTTAATTTATAAAAATAATTCAAAAATATAGGTAATGGGTGGTAGCAGTGCAATGAATGGCATGTACTACGTTAGAGGAAATCGGGAAGATTTTGACAATTGGGAGAAAATGGGCAATCCAGGATGGAGTTATAAAGATGTTTTACCATATTTCCTAAAGTCGGAAAATAATTTAGATCCTGAGGTAAATTTTTATTACCAAACAAATTTAATTCCTTAATTCAAAACCCAGTTTTCATTTTCTTCATTCTTGTACTTTTTTGAGAATCAGTTTTTCCTTTAAGGTTGTGAAGAATAATCCCAATTATCATGGAACAGGTGGATATTTGTCAGTACAAACATTTCCATATTTAACAGAAGAGGGAAAAATTCTTCTCAATGCTTACCAAGAACAAGGTCATAATTTAACGGATCCAAATGCTGTTAAACAATTAGGAGTGACATTATCACAATTAACAGCCGGCAATAATTTTCGATCAAGTACAAATATAGCATTCATTCGTTCAATTAGAGGTATCCGAAAAAATTTATTCGTCAAAAGTCAATCACTAGTTACAAAGATAATAATCGATGCAAAAACAAAAAAAACCATTGGTGTTGAATACACATCTCTAAAAACTAATGTAACTAAAACAATTCTGGTCAGAAAGGAAGTTATCATATCCGGTGGGGTTGTAAACTCACCCCAATTGTTAATGGTCTCTGGAGTTGGACCAAGTGAAGAACTTAAGAAACATAGTATTGAAGTTATAAAAGATCTTCCAGTTGGTAAAAACCTACATGATCATGTGTCAGCTCCAGGGCTATCGGCTAAGAAAGAAAATAATGAAACAACACCAAAGACCTGCGAGAAAAATATGGAAAATTTGTTTCACTATTTAACAGAACGGGAAGGACCATTGGCTGGAAGTGTCGAATTCATGTTTCTTTGCTTCAGCAAAACTGTATTTGAAAAAAAAGATGTTCCAGACATACTCATTACTATGGATGCATTAAATGAAAACGAAATTGCTATTAAACCGGCATTATTGTCAATTAAAAGTAGAGGATATCTTGCTCTTAATGAAAAAGATCCTGTTAGGGGTGCACCTTTAATATATCCTGGTTATTTAACCGAAAAAGAGGACGTTGATCGGCTAATAGATGGTATCAGGCTCACTATTGACATTCTCAATTCAACAGTTATGAGAAAAAATAAATTTATCTTCGACAAAAAACCTTTGGACTCATGTCAATCCCTTGAATTCAATACTTATGATTACTGGTTGTGCTTTTTGAAAAATAAATTTACTACCGATTTTCATCCCGTGGGAACTTGTAAAATGGGAAAAGAAGATTCTCAAGGTGTTGTTGACTCAAGATTAAAGGTTCACGGTATACAAGGATTAAGAGTAATTGATGCTTCAGTAATGCCTGTTGTGCCTTTGGGAAACACAAATGCACCTACAATTATGATCGCCGAGAAAGGAAGTGATATGATAAAAGAGGATTGGTTGTAGAATTATGATTCATCAATTCGACCAGAATTAGAATATTTAGGACTGCAACTATCTTTATATTATATTATTAATTTTCATTCTTGTGAAGGGTTCCTTAATGAGTCCTCTATTATTTTTACTATTTATATTTGATAAATTTGCAATTAATTTTTTAAATTTCTTGTTATTGCGAATATTCGTATTGTTATACTTATCGTGTAATTAATGATTTAGATGATTATTATTTTGCTGCATTACTTATTTTCAATTATTTACTTTAATAATTATCATGTCACTTATGGCTTTGTAAATTTACTTTATTATGTAAATCTTAAAGGGTTTTAATAGTAAACCGTTTATATGTCATGAATAAATAAAAATTTTAAAAACACTGTAGTTGCATGTGATACTTTTTTTAAATTTATTATATATAAATACATTAAAAACTTTCTGCACAATTTCGAAGAATTTTTCTGTTACTCTCATTACAAAATTACCGCCTTAGTCACATGAAGAATAATTTATAATTCTTTTCTTTTTTACTAATAATTTATTTCTATTTACTACGTTCGTTCTATGGAATTATTTTAATACATTATAAGCAGTATACGCTGATTTCATAATCTGAAATTTAAATGGTTTATAATTATTTCCTAATAGTGGATGTTTTAGAACTATCCGAATGATTGTATTCACTGCGTCAAAGTATTAAATAAAAAAAGTAAAAGGAAATATAAAAATTCATAATTGTACAGACTTTCATAAATGTTTCAATGGACATGATGATGATTGATGAGGCAGTCAGTTTAATGGGTTTCGTACTTCGTATCATAATAATAATTAAACTTTTTTGTGTATTAACTGTTAATGCCTCCCAGTCCAAGGTATAGATGGCAGAACCAATTTCTGAGCTCTGGAATAGAGATAAAAATTTCTGAGCTCTGGTTCCTTTTGCAAAAGTAACCTAAGAAGCTAAACCTATCTTGTTAGGGGATCAGGTGCAATATTTCAAATACCTTTTCCGTCATTTTATCCCCATAGAAACAGTATATAAAAATTTGTAGGATGTAACTCCCAACAGATGCTATCATTATCCAAAACATTCGATTAGTTGGACTCACACTTGCCATATTGTAAATAATAGCACACATGTTCACCATGGATGCGAAAAATTGTGTAAATATTATCAGACCAAATTGTTTATTTATATTTTCTCCCAATCTGTGAAAACAATATGGAAGTACTCCTAAAATCATCAAAAGCTTTTGATGATTAGGAGTACTTCCATTACATCAAAAATTGCTCTCAACTTACGAATAAATGTACAGATGACTTTTAATACAATGCTTAACGATTCCCTCTTCATGAGAGTATTTAACAGGTTTGTACTTGTTATTTTCCACCAATTTAGGAAGCAAACTCAACCGATACTTTATTATTTCCAATTGACCACAAATCTGCTGCATTACAGTCAAAGCTAAACTTTCCATTCCAACCGAAATGTAAAGTATCATTATCAGACACATTGCTTGATATAAATATATTAAAATATAAACAAATTTCACTTCAAGAGTAAATGGTAGCCAAAGTTCGTGCGGTAGGGCCCTTCGTTTATCTGACGTTAATGGTACCAATAACATTGTTATCGGAGTAATATGTACAAAAATTAAGAACCGAATAGTACTTCTCCTGAAATAAAAAAAAAATATTCATAAATTTAATTTCATCTTCCACAGAAACATTGATAAATTTATTTAAACGAAAAATAAAATTCTCTAATAAGACTATACAAGACCTTCCAATCTCAGAACATTTGTTAATAATATCAGCCTCATAATTATCACGCGAACGACACATATCAGAAAGAAGCATTGTATTGGATTTAATAAATACTTCTCGCCTAATAACGAGCATTGATAATTTCATTAAAACATTGAAATAAGTAGAAAAATAAAATACACTCTGCGTGAAACTTTTAACATCCTCATGAATTTGAAACATATAAATAAATAGCAAAAAAGTTGATAAAAAATACAACGTCAGTGTAAAAATTGAGTAGAAATAATAAATTCTCAACTTCCATTGTGAATGACACTGGAGTGGTTTCCAAATTCCACAAATTTGAAATAAAGTATATGAAATTTGTCCTATGTAAATTTCCCGCTTCTTTGAATCATACATTCTACAAAAAACCAAATACTTTTCTGTCCACTTAAACCAGAACTTTGTGCAAAACTTTTTTCTATGTTGTTCGAACGATCCTCGTCCTTAGACTGTTAGACACTTTTCAAAATAGATTTCTGCCACCCCCCTGATCTTAAAAAGACTTATAAATAATTCCATAACCATTTATCAGTCAATAAAAAAGCAGGTATATTAATTATTTTTTTTTATTAAAAATAAAGAGTTTTTTTCTCCTATAAATTCTACTATGTTATTTCGAATTGATTTCTGCAGAGAAAAATATTTTGTTCTGTATCTCAAAATGTTGTAAAAGAGGTAATTTTCTTTTCTTTTCGTTGCATAATAAATCATATCAAGTCTTATAAAACGAAGAAAAACAATTTAATTCTTTTAGTTCTTTTCTGTAATAATAAAATATAGGGATGCAAAAATTATTTTCTTTTATTTTTTTTCTCTATAAATATCTTCAGAAAGTTATGTAAAAAGAAATTTGTATGCAATGTATAATTTGATGTCATCAAATATTTAAAATGTCATGTGGAGAAAAAAGTACGTATTATTATTTTTCTGACTATTGTAATAAATCGTTTCTGTAAACGTTCAACATTTTTTTTTTTAGAAAAATAGCAAATAACTTTTAGCTGATTCATGAAGAGTATGGTTCTCTATTTGTGCAACGTGAATAAAATTTGGTTCAAACGAACGATTTCGTAAAGTTTTTTTTAAATATTAAATTTAAGGGACGAAACCATATTAGGAGGGTAATTTTCTGAATCAAATTATAAGTTTTACAATAATTAATTTTAATTATTGCAATTTTTACATCCAATAGCTTAGGAACACTTTCTATTATTTTCTTATTTCTTTGGTTCAATTTAAATAAGGAATATTGAAAAAGAGGTTGGCTATTTTATAGGATTGGTTTAAGATAAAGAAAATGGAGAGATAATTGGAATTAGGAATAGGAGTAACAGTGTTTTATTAATTTTATAACTTATTTATTGAACATAGAACTTTATTTCAAAACGGTAAAGTTGGAGTATTTTTAAAAAAATATAATGAATTGTGGAACGAAAAACATTCAAACAAAACGAAAAATACATTCGAATAAAAAAGACAATTTCATGCAAAAAATACAAGTCAATTCTTTAAATAGTAATTTTTAATTTAGATTTAATAAGCACTTCCACTTTTCTTCTTGTCTGGAAAGAAATAAGAATTTTCATTAATCGCAAATTGAACTTAAAAACTTTAATGTATTTTCTTGTTCATGTTTTTAGGACATACCTTTCACAATACAGACTTCTGCTCTCAGTCCAATTTGCTGCAAGTACTGCAACCATAATTTCTGCTTACAACTTAGGGAATCGCCAGGTCCCTTTACTTCCACAATTTTGCACTACGAAGAAAAATTAAGGAAAGGAATTTTAAATTTTAATTATCAAGAAATCAAATATTTTTGATTTGGGAGCATAAGATTCAAAAACATTTACCAAATAGAAACTAAAAAAATACTAAAAATAGTAAAGTTAAACCTCATTTGATAATGGATTCCACACGAACAAATCGGGAAATCCAGATCTCCAGAGAAGAAAATTAGTCGCTAGTTTCTCGCAGATTCCGGCGATGCCAGTTGCTCCAAGGCACATTGCCACTTCCTATTGAAGAATTAATTTTCAGGATCAACTTTTTATTTTCTAAATATTTTTGAAAGAAGCAAAAATAAACTTTTATTGCCTTCCTTCTTTTCTTTAAGAAAAAGAAAGAATGAGGAAAGAAGAAAGGGAAACAAACCTTAACATGTTGTTCAGTCTCGAAAAGATTAGTAGAAATCATAGTTTGAAAATTCTGATATTTAATGTACTCATCGCTGAATAATTCACCGAATGTCTCATTATCAAGTCCTCTAATAAATCGAATTTTATCCTCAATTTGTTCTTTTCTGTTATCGAAAAATTTCGAAGTAAATAAATCCAATGGCGTCTCTTGATATGAACAGACAAAAGCTCCAGGAACTGAAATTGTGTACAACTCATTCCAGAATAAAATATTGAACAAACTCAAAGGCAAAGAACCCTCGCAATGAAATCCGCGTATAAATCCATTTTCATGATAATGCCTAAGAGCAATGTTCTCAACTTTCGTGAATGCTTTATCTTCACCTATATCGACTTTCCAAGTACTTTTCGAACCAGTAACATTCCTAAAATAAAATTAAAATTATTCCACATTTCTTTAAAAAGTACATTAAAATAAATTTAGGTTTAGATTTGAAAAATATACCCTTGCACCATATGAGCTTCGATTTCATTAACAACGTCAAATTCACAGGGAAGTCTTTCTTCAACGGTTTCTAAAATATGGCAAATTAATTTTTTCGTCTCCTTCGTAATTCCCGTTTTTCTTCGTGATAATTTTTTGGCCCTTTCGAGCAATTCCTTAACGTCGACTTCAGTCAAATTTTCCAATGTTAGAGCATGTAAAGTTAAAGTGGCACATGTTTGTAAATCCTTTCTGTGATGCATTTCAATTAGCGTAAGTTCCTTGTACCAACGTCCGAGGTACGATTTCCCATATTTATTCTGATCAATCAGGGCCCTTAAATACTTAACAGCAAATTCTATCGTCTCAGGAGTTTTCTTAAAGGCGTCAATGCTCTTCGATAGAACTTTTGTCCAAACACTGAGTGGTGAGTATTTCTTCACATGCGATGGAAGAGTACTAATAATTTAAAAATTTTATTAAGTAAGGCAGCAAAAGTTTTGAGAAAGGTTTAATTAGAATTCTTTAAAATTATAGTAGACTGATTAGTCTACTATAATTTTAAAGAATTCTAATTTTGCTATTAAATCTATTACCAGTTTACTATAAATAAATCTAATATTGGATAACTTGTACCTATTTTCTTCTTCTGATCCGTTTTCTAAATGAGGAAGCAGACGATTAAAAGCTTCGTGTCCAATTTCTCTCACTGAGTTCCAGTCTTTATTTTCTGTGGATTCGATTAATGCCTTTAAAGCGTTCAGCGCCTCAACATACCTATTAAACGAACATTTAGTTTAAATTTTTGAACATTTTTCGTAAAAGCGAAAGAAACCCAAAAAACCTAATTTGAAATTTATACTAACCTTAGAAGTTGTTCTCTATTTTTAAAAATAGGATAGCGTTCTTTCGGTGTTGTTGGATACATAACTTCGCCAATTTTAATCTTCGTCAGCAAAAAGAACAAATCCGAAATACTTTCCGCTGGATCTTGACATGGATACAATAGAACTAATATTCTATCAAATATACAAACTGCTTTTTTCGATAACTTCGTGCATGCACCTAAAGCTTCATTAATTACTGATCTTAGCATCAAACTTGGACATTTTGCTCCAATGAACCATGATTTTCGATTATTTTTCAAAAGTAGTAATTTCTCCATCATAGTAGCCTTTGATCCACGATGATCTACTTTCATTTTTACACACAGCGCACGAATTTCGTCTACTTTTAGCATTTTTAAAAGATTCTCCACATCTTCATCGTCGGTCTCTAAGAAAAACGTTTCTACCATTAAGGAGCGTATAGAATTATCAATTTCTGGGTAATCTGATCAAATTTCTGAACTTGAGATTGGAAACAAGATTAGAACTTTGAAAAATCGAATTCTAATTGTCCTAGGGAAGCTATTCATACAAAAAGTTTTAAGATATTAAAATATAAATTAAAAACTTACTCGATTCACAAAGACCGTTATTGACCAATTCCTTCATATACGGATTCAAATCCTTGTCAATTTCCGGATACTGGAGAACATTATTTCGATACCAAGTTCGTTTCCTCTTGAGCAATCGAGCTAATAGCATTTGTGCTTTCGCCGACATACTCAGACAGGAAAATACAAGATCCACTTCCTGCTCGTCAAAATATCCACAATTTATAACACTTGAGAAAACATCAGTAACAATTGAAAATAAATGATCCGCATGAGTTTCCCTAGGGAAAATAACATCCTTCACCTCATATTTATCATCAATGTCAGTCTTCAAACTGTTATATTGAACATTATAAGTTCTCGAGTCGTAGATTCTTTCCAAATCAAAATCATTCGGACCAATGCCTCCCTGTTTTACTAGATTCAAATTTTCAACTACATTTCTCGTCAATTCTGGAATTTCCGTATCGTTAAAGAGTTTTCGTGGACTAATTTTTCCCGCCTGTCTTGAATTCCCCGAGGAACGTGGTGACTTTTTTGGTGTAAACGAACCGATTCGAAGACTTTCACTACTTTCTGAACGTGTGAATGAATTTGATTTTTGTGGTGAATTCTGATTGGACTGAGAATTTCTTCCTAATGGCGAAGGATAAATTTTTACAAGTTTTGTTGGTGATTCGACTTTTGGAATTTTACGCACATTCTCGTTAGTTAGTGACGCTTTGCGTTTTAACTCTGCAGACATTTTTATAGACTTATTTTGAGAATTGGTATTTTTTTGATTGGAAACCAATTTTTTTTGCTGAAAACAATTCATATGGTTTAGAAAAGAAAAATTATTAATAAAATGAACATCTAGAAAATTAATACATTTATTGTTCTCTATTTCAGAAGTAAATTCTCAGTACCAGAGACTGGCAAGAAATTTTTTTAATTGCATATTGTGACGTCATCGTAACATATTTTCAATAAACAATAATAATATGCATAATTAATAAAAATAATAAATAAATAAACATTGATATCATAGTTAAATAAATAAATTAACATTGATAAACATGGACATTATAATGACACACATTTATAATAACACACCATAGAAATTTTAAAAAAATACTTAAATAAATTAAAACTCTGCGTGTGAAGTCAAAATTAAAACTGAACTCCAAAGAACTATCGATTCTGTACATCAATTGTTAAATAAAGACAAAAACAAATAAGAAACAAAGAGTAGGCAAATGAGCAATCAACATTATTAATTAATGGAAATAATTCAAAATCATTTCGTGTGAACTATCAAAATTATCCAAATCAGTTACTTTATTTAAACTATTACTTCCCTCTTTTTTTTATAAAAAAACATTTCTGAGAAAAGTCTTTTACTAAAGGTACACTCTCACCTCACTGCCTGCCTGCCTGCACAGGCAGGCGCCATAAGAGTGAGAGAGAAAAAACATTTAATTTGAATTTTCTTACTCTCTTACTCCTATGTGTTACCATGTCAACCTGCAGGCAGGCAGGCAGGCAGTAGGAGCTGTGCTAGCGCCTTTAGAGTAGGTTCAATATCTAGCACTTCAAATTCATCCCATTTTATAAAATGTGGAATAGAATCATTTTTGAAATTTGTTAAGTGATTACTAATAACATTATGATATTTTACATTTAAATCAATATTACTCTTATGTTCCATTAGTGCAAATATGTAACGGTCTTTTTGTTTGTCCTATATAAGATTTCCCACAATTACATTTAAATTTATACACACAGTTGCATTGATTTTTTTGTATATTAATTGCATATTATTTTTATATTTTGTTGTATATTATTTATATTTTGTTGTATATTATTTTATATTTTTTGTATATTATTTTATATTTTTATAGACTCCCTGAAGAGGAAATCATTTAGATTTCGAAACGTTGGAGTGAACTAATTTTTAAAAACTATTTGTTCGAATGTTTTCGTCTTATTCTCCTTAACAATAATTACTATTTCTCGGACGTAATAGCTGAGTCAACACAAGTGTTCTTACAACAATGGATTTCCGAAAATGCATGGCTTAGTGTAAAATAGTTTTTTAAAATGAGAGTCTTTGGAAAAAGTAAGAAAAATTTACACTTACCTTTCCTTTGGAATCAGCACTTTTACTTCCTTTCAGTGTAGGGAAGAAGAAGTCTATTTTTGATTGCTGCAACATTGTTAATAGCAAACAAAAATATCTTCTTCTTCTTCCTAAATGACTACTGGTGCTTTAAGAACAAAAAAAACACAAAAATATATGTAAATAAATAACATTTGCACCGGTGATGTTTACATGTCAATCACAACATTAACAATCATTGAGTGTGTAGTATAATAGAAGGGATGGGAGTTCGTTTTGGTGCCGTGAAGCTAGCGACCCGCCATCCGCCACACGCCTGACAAATTCATTGGCGTCGCAACCGAATAATTCGAAATGATCAATTCTTCATTCTTTCTTTTTCGCAATAATTTCATTCACTATAGAGTTAAATAAAAATATTCTACGAACAAAATTTAACATATAAATCAATTGTTAATAAACAACTGATTTTGTTGTTTCCTGTTGTTCATTAGATGACTATTTACGAGAATTTACTTTCGTTAAAATAATTTTGGCAAAATAACTAGTCAAAATTCTCCATCCGCCAATTAGCAGACAATCGAATTTTTGAGATTTGAGAATCTAAGGGCTTTAAAAAATTATTTGTTAATAAACAATTGGTTTTGTTGTTTCCTGTTGTTCACTAGATGACTATTTACGAGAAATTTAATTTTTTAAATAATTTTTGCAAAATAACTAGTCAAAATTCTCCATCCGCCAATTAGCAGACAATCGATTTTTCGAGCTTTGAGAAGCTAAGGGCTTTAAAAAATTTATTTGTTAATAAACAATTGGTTTTGTTGTTTCCTGTTGTTCATTAGATGACTATTTACGAGAATTTTAAATTTTTAAATAATTTTGGCAAAATAACTAGTCAAAATTCTCCATTCGCCAATTAGCAGACAATCGATTTTTCGAGCTTTGAGAAGCTAAGGGCTTTAAAAAATTTATTTGCTAAGAAACAATTGGTTTTGTTGTTTCCTGTTGTTCATTAGTTGACTATTTATGAGAATTTACTTTAGTAAAATAATTTTGGCAAAATAACTAGTCAAAATTCTCCATCCGCCAATTAGCAGACAATCGATTTTTCGAGCTTTGAGAAGCTAAGAGCTTTAAAAATTTTTTTGTTAATAAACAATTGGTTTTGTTGTTTCCTGTTGTTTATTAGATGACTATTTACGAGAATTTTAAATTTTTAAATAATTTTGGCAAAATTACTAGTCAAAATTCTCCATCCGCCAATTAGCAGACAATCGAATTTTTGAGTTTTGAGAAGCTAAGGGCTTTAAAATTTATTTGTTAATAAACAATTGGTTTTGTTGTTTCCTGTTGTTCATTACATGACTATTTACGAGAATTTACTTTAGTAAAATAATTTTGGCAAAGTAACTAGTCAAAATTCTTCATCCGCCAATTAGCAGACAATCGAATTTTCGAGTTTTAAAAAGCTAAGGGCTTTAAAAAATTTATTTGTTAATAAACAATTGGTTTTGTTGTTTCCTGTTGTTCATTAGATGACTACTTACGAGAATTTACTTTAGTAAAATAATTTTGGCAAAGTAACTAGTCAAAATTCTTCATCCGCCAATTAGCAGACAATCGAATTTTCGAGTTTTAAAAAGCTAAGGGCTTTAAAAAATTTATTTGTTAATAAACAATTGGTTTTGTTGTTTCCTGTTGTTCATAATATAACTATTTACGAGAAATTTAATTTTTTAAATAATTTTGGCAAAATTACTAGTCAAAATTCTCCATCCGCCAATTAGCAGACAATCAAATTTTTGAGTTTTGAGAAGCTAAGGGCTTTAAAAAATTATTTGTTAATAAACAATTGGTTTTGTTGATTCCTGCTGTTCATTAGATGACTATTTACGAGAATTTTAATTTTTTAAATAATTTTGGCAAAAATACTAGTCAAAATTCTCCATCCGCCAATTAGCAGACAATCGAATTTTTGAGTTTTGAGAAGCTAAGGGCTTTAAAAAATTATTTGTTAATAAACAATTAGTTTTCTTGTTTCTTGTTGTTTATTAGATGACTATTTACGAGAATTTACTTTAGTAAAATAATTTTGGCAAAATTACTAGTCAAAATTCTCCATCCGCCAATTAGCAGACAATCGATTTTTCGAGTTTTGAGAAGCTAAGGGCTTTAAAAAATTATTTGTTAATAAACAATTGGTTTTGTTGTTTTCTGTTGTTTATTAGATGACTATTTACGAGAATTTACTTTAGTAAAATAATTTTGGCAAAATTACTAGTCAAAATTCTCCATCCGCCAATTAGCAGACAATCGATTTTTCGAGTTTTGAGAAGCTAAGGGCTTTAAAAAATTAATTGTTAATAAACAATTGGTTTTGTTGTTTCCTGTTGTTCATTAGATGACTATTTACGAGAATTTTAATTTTTTAAATAATTTTGGCAAAATTACTAGTCAAAATTCTCCATTCGCCAATTAGCAGACAATCGATTTTTCGAGCTTTGAGAAGCTAAGGGCTTTAAAAAATTTATTTGTTAATAAACAATTGGTTTTGTTGTTTCCTGTTGTTCATTAGATGACTATTTACGGGAAATTTAATTTTTTAAATAATTTTGGCAAAATTACTAGTCAAAATTCTTTATCCGCCAATTAGCAGACAATCGAATTTTCGAGTTTTGAGAAGCTAAGGGCTTTAAAAAATTATTTGTTAATAAACAATTGGTTTTTTTGTTTTCTGTTGTTCATTAGATGACTATTTACGAGAAATTTAATTTTTTAAATAATTTTGGCAAAATTACTAGTCAAAATTCTCCATCCGCCAATTAGCAGACAATCGAATTTTTGAGTTTTGAGAAGCTAAGGGCTTTAAAAAATTATTTGTTAATAAACAATTGGTTTTGTTGTTTCCTGTTGTTCATTAGATGACTATTAATGAGAATTTGCTTTAGTAAAATAATTTTGGCAAAATTACTAGTCGAAATTCTCCATCCGCCAATTAGCAGACAATCGATTTTTCGAGCTTTGAGAAGCTAAGGGCTTTAAAAAATTTATTTGTTAATAAACAATTGGTTTTGTTGTTTCCTGTTGTTCATTAGATGACTATTAATGAGAATTTACTTTAGTAGAATAATTTTGGCAAAATAACTAGTCAAAATTCTCCATCCGCCAATTAGCAGACAATCGAATTTTTGAGTTTTGAGAAGCTAAGGGCTTTAAAAAATTATTTGTTAATAAACAATTGGTTTTGTTTTTTTCTGTTGTTCATTAGATGACTATTTTCGAGAATTTACTTTAGTAAAATAATTTTGGCAAAATTACTAGTCAAAATTCTACATCCGCCAATTAGCAGACAATCGAATTTTCGAGTTTTAAAAAGCTAAGAGCATTAAAAAATTTATTTGTTAATTAACAATTGGTTTTGTTGTTTCCTGTTGTTCATTAGATGACTATTTACGAGAAATTTAATTTTTTAAATAATTTTGGCAAAATTACTAGTCAAAATTCTCCATCCGCCAATTAGCAGACAATTGATTTTTCGAGCTTTGAGAAGCTAAGGGCTTTAAAAAATTTATTTGCTAAGAAACAATTGGTTTTGTTGTTTCCTGTTGTTCATTAGTTGACTATTTATGAGAATTTACTTTAGTAAAATAATTTTGGCAAAATAACTAGTCAAAATTCTCCATCCGCCAATTAGCAGACAATCGATTTTTCGAGCTTTGAGAAGCTAAGAGCTTTAAAAATTTTTTTGTTAATAAACAATTGGTTTTGTTGTTTCCTGTTGTTTATTAGATGACTATTTACGAGAATTTTAAATTTTTAAATAATTTTGGCAAAATTACTAGTCAAAATTCTCCATCCGCCAATTAGCAGACAATCGAATTTTTGAGTTTTGAGAAGCTAAGGGCTTTAAAAAATTATTTGTTAATAAACAATTGGTTTTGTTGTTTTCTGTTGTTCATTAGATGACTATTTACGAGAATTTACTTTAGTAAAATAATTTTGGAAAAATAACTAGCCAAAATTCTCCATCCGCCAATTAGCAGACAATCGAATTTTCGAGTTTTGAAAAGCTAAGGGCTTTAAAAAATTTATTTGTTAATAAACAATTGGTTTTTTTGTTTTCTGTTGTTCATTAGATGACTATTTACGAGAAATTTAATTTTTTAAATAATTTTGGCAAAATTACTAGTCAAAATTCTCCATCCGCCAATTAGCAGACAATCGAATTTTTGAGTTTTGAGAAGCTAAGGGCTTTAAAAAATTATTTGTTAATAAACAATTGGTTTTGTTGTTTTCTGTTGTTTATTAGATGACTATTTACGAGAATTTACTTTAGTAAAATAATTTTGGCAAAATTACTAGTCAAAATTCTCCATCCGCCAATTAGCAGACAATCGATTTTTCGAGTTTTGAGAAGCTAAGGGCTTTAAAAAATTATTTGTTAATAAACAATTGGTTTTGTTGTTTTCTGTTGTTTATTAGATGACTATTTACGAGAATTTACTTTAGTAAAATAATTTTGGCAAAATTACTAGTCAAAATTCTCCATCCGCCAATTAGCAGACAATCGAATTTTTGAGTTTTGAGAAGCTAAGGGCTTTAAAAAATTATTTGTTGATAAACAATTGGTTTTGTTGTTTCCTGTTGTTCATTAGATGACTATTTACGAGAATTTACTTTAGTAAAATAATTTTGGCAAAGTAACTAGTCAAAATTCTTCATCCGCCAATTAGCAGACAATCGAATTTTCGAGTTTTAAAAAGCTAAGGGCTTTAAAAAATTTATTTGTTAATAAACCATTGGTTTTGTTGTTTCCTGTTGTTCATTAGATGACTACTTACGAGAAATTTAATTTTTTAAATAATTTTGGCAAAAAAACTAGTCAAAATTCTCCATCTGCCAACTAGCAGACAATCGAATTTTCGAGTTTTGAGAAGCTAAGGGCTTTAAAAAATTATTTGTTAATAAACAATTGGTTCTTTTGTTTTCTGTTGTTCATTAGATGACTATTTACGAGAAGTTTAATTTTTTAAATAATTTTGGCAAAATTACTAGTCAAAATTCTCCATCCGCCAATAAGCAGACAATCGAATTTTTGAGTTTTGAGAAGCTAAGGGCTTTAAAAAATTATTTGTTAATAAACAATTGGTTTTGTTGTTTCCTGTTGTTTATTAGATGACTATTTACGAGAATTTTAATTTTTTAAATAATTTTGGCAAAAATACTAGTCAAAATTTTCCATCCGCCAATTAGCAGACAATCGATTTTTCGAGCTTTGAGAAGCTAAGGGCTTTAAAAAATTTATTTGTTAATAAACAATTGGTTTTGTTGTTTCCTGTTGTTCATAAGATAACTATTTACGAGAAATTTAATTTTTTAAATAATTTTGGCAAAATAACTAGTCAAAATTCTCCATCCGCCAATTAGCAGACAATCGATTTTTCGAGCTTTGAGAAGCTAAGGGCTTTAAAAAATTTATTTGTTAATAAACAATTGGTTTTGTTGTTTCCTGTTGTTCATTAGATGACTATTAATGAGAATTTACTTTAGTAAAATCATTTTGGCAAAGTAACTAGTCAAAATTCTCCATCCGCCAATTAGCAGACAATCGATTTTTCGAGCTTTGAGAAGCTAAGGGCTTTAAAAAATTTATTTGTTAATAAACAATTGGTTTTGTTGTTTCCTGTTGTTCATTAGATGACTATTTACAGGAAATTTAATTTTTTAAATAATTTTGGCAAAATTACTAGTCAAAATTCTCCATCCGCCAATTAGCAGACAATCGAATTTTTGAGTTTTGAGAAGCTAAGGGCTTTAAAAAATTATTTGTTAATAAACAATTGGTTTTGTTGTTTCCTGTTGTTCATTAGATGACTATTTACGAGAATTTACTTTAGTAAAATAATTTTGGCAAACTAACTAGTCAAAATTTTTCATCCGCCAATTAGCAGACAATCGAATTTTCGAGTTTTAAAAAGCTAAGGGCTTTAAAAAATTTATTTGTTAATAAACCATTGGTTTTGTTGTTTTCTGTTGTTCATTAGATGACTACTTACGAGAAATTTAATTTTTTAAATAATTTTGGCAAAAAAACTAGTCAAAATTCTCCATCTGCCAATTAGCAGACAATCGAATTTTCGAGTTTTGAGAAGCTAAGGGCTTTAAAAAATTATTTGTTAATAAACAATTGGTTTTGTTGTTTCCTGTTGTTCATTAGATGACTATTTATGAGAATTTACTTTAGTAAAATAATTTTGGCAAAGTAACTAGTCAAAATTCTCCATCCGCCAATTAGCAGACAATCGAATTTTTGAGTTTTGAGAAGCTAAGGGCTTTAAAAAATTTATTTGTTAATAAACAATTGGTTTTGTTGTTTCCTGTTGTTCATTAGATGACTATTTACGAGAAATTTAATTTTTTAAATATTTTTGGCAAAAATACTAGTCAAAATTCTCCATCCGCCAATTAGCAGACAATCGATTTTTCGAGCTTTGAGAAGCTAAGGGCTTTAAAAAATTTATTTGTTAATAAACAATTGGTTTTGTTGTTTCCTGTTGTTCATTAGATGACTATTTACGAGAAATTTAATTTTTTAAATAATTTTGGCAAAATTACTAGTCAAAATTCTCCATCCGCCAATTAGCAGACAATCGAATTTTTGAGTTTTGAGAAGCTAAGGGCTTTAAAAAATTATTTGTTAATAAACAATTGGTTTTGTTGTTTCCTGTTGTTTATTAGATGACTATTTACGAGATTTTACTTTAGTAAAATAATTTTGGCAAAATAACTAGTCAAAATTCTCCATCCGCCAATTAGCAGACAATCGATTTTTCGAGTTTTGAGAAGCTAAGGGCTTTAAAAAATTTATTTGTTTATAAACAATTGGTTTTGTTGTTTCCTGTTGTTTATTAGTTGACTATTTATGAGAATTTACTTTAGTAAAATAATTTTGGCAAAATAACTAGTCAAAATTCTCCATCCGCCAATTAGCAGACAATAGATATTTCGAGTTTTGAGAAGCTAAGGGCTTTAAAAAATTTATTTGTTAATAAACAATTAGTTTTGTTGTTTGCTGTTGTTCATTAGATAACTATTTACGAGAAATTTAATTTTTAAATAATTTTGGCAAAATTACTAGTCAAAATTCTCCATCCGCCAATTAGCAGACAATCGAATTTTCGAGTTTTGAGAAGCTAAGGGCTTTAAAAAATTTATTTGTTAATAAACAATTGGTTTTGTTGTTTCCTGTTGTTCATTAGATGACTATTTACGAGAATTTTAATTTTTTAAATAATTTTGGCAAAAATACTAGTCAAAATTCTCCATCCGCCAATTAGCAGACAATCGATTTTTCGAGCTTTGAGAAGCTAAGGGCTTTAAAAAATTTATTTGTTAATAAACAATTGGTTTTGTTGTTTCCTGTTGTTCATTAGATAACTATTTACGAGAATTTTAAATTTTTAAATAATTTTGGCAAAATTACTAGTCAAAATTCTCCATCCGCCAATTAGCAGACAATCGAATTTTTGAGTTTTGAGAAGCTAAGGGCTTTAAAAAATTATTTGTTAATAAACAATTGGTTTTGTTGTTTCCTGTTGTTCATTAGATGACTATTTACGAGAATTTACTTTAGTAAAATAATTTTGGCAAAATTACTAGTCGAAATTCTCCATCCGCCAATTAGCAGACAATCGATTTTTCGAGCTTTGAGAAGCTAAGGGCTTTAAAAAATTTATTTGTTAATAAACAATTGGTTTTGTTGTTTCCTGTTGTTCATTAGATGACTATTAATGAGAATTTACTTTAGTAAAATCATTTTGGCAAAGTAACTAGTCAAAATTCTCCATCCGCCAATTAGCAGACAATCGATTTTTCGAGCTTTGAGAAGCTAAGGGCTTTAAAAAATTTATTTGTTAATAAACAATTGGTTTTGTTGTTTCCTGTTGTTTATTAGTTGACTAATTATGATAATTTACTTTAGTAAAATAATTTTGGCAAAGTAACTAGTCAAAATTCTCCATCCGCCAATTAGCAGACAATCGATTTTTCGAGTTTTGAGAAGCTAAGGGCTTTAAAAAATTTATTTGTTTATAAACAATTGGTTTTGTTGTTTCCTGTTGTTTATTAGTTGACTATTTATGAGAATTTACTTTAGTAAAATAATTTTGGCAAAATAACTAGTCAAAATTCTCCATCCGCCAATTAGCAGACAATAGAATTTTCGAATTTTGAGAAGCTAAGGGCTTTAAAAAATTTATTTGTTAATAAACAATTAGTTTTGTTGTTTGCTGTTGTTCATTAGATAACTATTTACGAGAAATTTAATTTTTTAAATAATTTTGGCAAAATTACTAGTCAAAATTCTCCATCCGCCAATTAGCAGACAATCAAATTTTTGAGTTTTGAGAAGCTAAGGGCTTTAAAAAATTATTTGTTAATAAACAATTGGTTTTGTTGATTCCTGCTGTTTATTAGATGACTATTTACGAGAATTTTAATTTTTTAAATAATTTTGGCAAAAATACTAGTCAAAATTCTCCATCCGCCAATTAGCAGACAATCGATTTTTCAAGTTTTGAGAAGCTATGGGCTTTAAAAAATTTATTTGTTAACCACTTCACTGGCGGGGCGTTCCAAATGGCGTTCCACGCGCCGAGGCCCAGACTGGCAAAAACACCGAAATGGCGTTCCTAATAAAACTTTATTTTTAAAGAGTGTACACTACTTTTAACTTATACAAAGCAATATTTCTATAGTTTAGACATCAGGGAACAAGATTATCACAATGAAAATTTCAGTTTTTGGGATTTTCAATGTGTTTTCATACGTTGAAATAGTCCATTTTTACCACTTTTCACCAAATGGCGTTCCACTTTTTTTTAATTTTTACACAGTAAAACTAATATTTTTTATTTAAAAAATATATTTACATACAAAACATTATAATATAATAATGTAATAAGTAAAAAATAAATATAAATAATTAATAAATAAAATTTAATAATTATTAATAATAACAAAAGTGGAACGCCATTTGTTAAAAAGTGTTAAAAATCGACTATTTCAACGTTCGAAGAAACATTGAAAATCTCAAAAACTGAAATTTTCATTGTGATAATCTTGTTCCCTGATGTCTAAACTATAGAAATATTGCTTTGTAGTAGTAAAAAGTAGTGTACACTCTTTAAAAATAAAGTTTTATTAGGAACGCCATTTCGGTGTTTTTGCCAGTCTGGGCCTCGGCGCGTGGAACGCCATTTGGAACGCCCCGCCAGTGAAGTGGTTAATAAACAATTGGTTTTGTTGTTTCCTGTTGTTCATTAGTTGACTATTTATGAGAATTTACTTTAGTAAAATAATTTTGGCAAAATAACTAGTCAAAATTCTCCATCCGCCAATTAGCAGACAATCGATTTTTCGAGTTTTGAGAAGCTAAGGGCTTTAAAAAATTTATTTGTTAATAAACAGTTGATTTATATGTTAAATAATTATGTTCGTAGAATATTTTTATTGAACTCTATAGTGAATGAAATTATTGCGAAAAAGAAAGAATGAGGAATAGATCATTTCGAATTATTCTGTGGCGACGCCTATGGATATGTGAGGCGTCTGGCGGTTGGCGGGTCGCTAGTTTCATGGCACCGTTCGTTTTTCGAACGCCACGAAGTAGATAACATAGAAACGCAAAGCAGGGCCGAGTAGTTGAGTAACTTGAGGGAATTTGGAATTCTCAAAATGAAAATAGACTATAATCACGTGTATGGTTATATGTATGACACAAGTGCAACTGTTTTTGTTTAGAAAAGTTAAACTTTTCACCCCGAAAATTATTCTAAATTTCAATGACAATATCGTTTAATTAATATCATAATAATAATGAAATAATTTCGAAAATGTTACAAAGAAATTTTCAAAAAGTTTCTTTACAACGAAGAAATTTATTTGACTTTTTCCAATCGAGTAAAAAGGTTTGTTTTTTTTAATATAAATATTTGTAACCATTCGTTTTTTTCTTAATAAATACATAAAATCGTTTAACTTTACTTTTTACTCGTAGAAAAAACAAATTCTTTTCTGAAAATAATGTATAATTTTGTTGCATTTTAAAAATATTTAAAGGTTCAGTGAATGAATGAACAGAATAAGTAATTTATTTATTTTACAGTCTCCAAAGTTGGGACCTAATGAGAAAAATAATTCATTTGGCAAATATGACATCGTTGAGCCGTGGACGGTTTCTGAACGAAGAACAGTGCCATCTTATATACCAAAACCATCTTATGCACAGTCTTCGATTCCTCGCGAATCACCAAAATTTGAAGAAGTTAAAGACGAAAATCAAATAGAAGCAATGAGGCACAGTTGCCTTTTGGCAAAACGAATTCTAAATCAAATTCACGCTCTTATAAAGGTGAACTCAAATAATCCACTAGAGATTACTTGAATGTTGACAATTCTTTTTTGACAACACTTTTTTTAAATTTAATAGAAAGTTCTATAAACAAATATATGACCCCAATGGGTTCATCAATTTCTGGACTATTTGCAGATATTGTTATGGATGATCTTAAAAATTCTTGTGGAGAGGAAAATTATCATTTAGACCAATTTTTGTTTTATAGATATGTTGATGACATAATCAATACGAAAAAAATTTAATTTCTTTTAGTGTTTTTAACTAAAATTCTTCTGTAAATTTATTATTTTTAATAATAAATTAAATATATATTAAAAAATTTAACTATAATTTCAGAAGAATTTTAGTTATTAAAACTTTTTAATTTTGTTGTAAATTTTGATGTATTTAGAAAATATTATTTAAAATTTTCTACATTAATTATATGATTTAAAGCCAGGTGAGACGACAGATTCAATTGATGGAAAAGTTCACGAACTTATAATTTACAATACTGCCTATCCAAGTCCATTGAATTATCGAGGGTATCCAAAATCAATTTGCACTAGTATTAATAATGTTGCCTGCCATGGAATACCGGACAGTCGACCACTTAAAAATGGAGACATACTCAATGTTGACATAACTGTGAGTGCAAATTATTTTTTAACCCACAATTTGCTATTTTTTTTAATAAATAAATTAAATCTTAAAATTTATTCAAATAATTAAATTCTGATGAAAAATAATAATAATAATAATTTGATACATATTTATGTATGAAAAATTATTAGGTGTTTTTGAATGGTTATCACGGTGACTGTTCGACAATGTTTCAAGTTGGATCAGTAGATAGCGAAGGAAAACGCTTAATTTCCGCAACAGAAATTTGTCTAATGGAAGCAATAAAAATTTGCAAACCTAATGAAAATTTCAAGAACATTGGTAATTTAAAAATTTTAAATTACTAAAACTTATCTTGCTTGAAGTTAAATTTTATGTTATGAAATATAAAAATGTATGAAAATCGAAACTTTGTGAACAAATTATTAATTTGTTTACAAACTTTCGAGTTAATTATTTCTAATCCCAAGCTTTGAAACTGAATTTATTAAAAATTTTCTTTTTAAGGAAGCGTTATTCAAGAGACTGCCGAGAAACAAGGATTTGGAATAATTCCAGCCTTTGCTGGTCACGGAATTGGAACCTATTTTCATGGTCCTCCGGATATTTTTCATTGCCGTGAGTATTAGTTTATATAAAAAATAATCTAAATTTATATTTAGATTTATATCTCTAAATTTATTTTCAAATATTTCTCCTTCAATGTTCAGTGATTAAAAATATATAAAAAATATATTTTTTAACATTGAATGTCTCACGACAGGTGTGCTGTCGAAACGTTAAAAGGATTTTTTTTTTTTTATTGATTGACTTGGAGGATTGATAACTTCCTATACAGTAAGAGTATCTGACTATGAATCACCCCTAAGCGTGAGTGCGAGTGAGCGCACATTGAACGCCGCATAAGAGTGTCCTCTTCGCACTCGTGGACTGACTGGACTGACAGTATTCTTACTGTATTTATATTAATATATTTTTTATTGCCGCTGTAAAAAAATTTATCATTTTTTTTCCAGTAAACGAAGTGGAGGGGCAAATGCAACCAGGAATGACTTTTACAATTGAGCCAGTTTTAACTCAAGGAGGTCCTGAAATTGAAATTTTAGAAGACGGTTGGACTGCTGTCACTACTGATAATGCAAGAACCGCTCAATGCGAGCACACAATTTTAATTACCGAAACAGGCTGTGATATTCTTACTTTGTAGGAAAATTTAGAAAATTCAAATAAAAATTTTTAATAACATTTGCCGCCTTTTAGACCTGTTATTTGTCACTTTCATCGTGGAGCGTCACATTTTTGATGTTAATATCAAAATCGATTTAGTAAGAATTTCCTTTATTAACTTTGAATTATAAAAAGAGGGTATAGTCATCATTTTACGAAGATTTTCCTATAAGAGCTGCTCCCCAATCGCTTTCAATAGTCAGTGGTCCTTTAATTTCTATTCCTTTCTCCTTCGTAATTATGCCCAAATGATACTGAAAATTTAAAGATAATTATATTAAATTCTATTCTAACCATACAATTCAATTTATATTTCGATGGGTGTAGTGTTACGAAATAAAACCAAAAATACAGTTTTCAATTTTAAGTGTACTGCATTAAATAAAAGAGTTTTTTCGAATTGTAATATTTAGGTAACAAAAAATAAAGTTACCTTTGGAAAAGATCGAGCGTCTCTGTAGAATAGAATTTGCATTGCTTTATTGAGAAGTTGAACGGCCTCCTCTTCGCTCATATCCTTATTTTTTTCGTGAGCATCACGAAGCAATGGCGATGCTAAATATCCACCGTAACCAGTCGCAATTACAGGATCAGAAAATGCAACACCCAAATGATCAACTGTGCCTAAAAATCTAAAGAATAAGACAAGATTTAAAATTTCTTAAAAGAAGTTAATTTTTTTAAAAAGTATTCAAAGAATTACAACTCTTGCTAATAGAAGAAAAAATTTCTTTCTCTTTACCTAATAGAAGGTAAACAGAAAGAAATTTTTCCTTCTATTAACAAGAGTTGTAATTTTTTTTAATTTTTGCGAAAATTCGAATACACTTACGGCTTATCATCGTCGAATCCAGCAATGAGGAAATTATTCCAAAGAGGATCGAACTTTGATCGTCTATTGTACATAACACGTGTTAGCCAACAGTGTAAAGATTTTGGTTTCAATGTAAAACCATCATCAACGCAGTGCTCTTCAAGACTGAAATTTTAAAATACGTTATTATTTAAATTACCAAATGAAAATTAAGATCAGCGGTTTAAACGTAACTTTATAATGTAAATTTTCAGGAAAAAAGTAATTTTTTCCACAAAAAAAAAAATTGTAGGTACTTACATTTTTTGGTCAATGATATTTTTAAGATATTGAAAATCTGCATAATCGCCACCAGCGGCAAGCATAATATTATCATTAACTTTCATAACTCGCTCTAGTGATCTGTACCTAGCTAAGGAACCATAGGAACCCAAAACATCGGCGGCAATTGCGATTCCATTTTTGAAACAAATTCCCACAACGGATGTTCCGGTTGTTACGGGTGTACTGTAAAAACGCAAATAAACAAGTTGAAAATCTGACTATTTTTGGATTTTTATTTTTCTAAAAAAAATAGATTTTTAAAATCTATCCGTAATTTTGTAGAAAATATGTTTTTGTATCTACAAAAAAATTGGTTTTTACAATTTTTGAAGAATTATTTTTTTCAAAAATATTTTAATATAATTTTTAGAAGCTAATCAATTATTTTCAAAAGTAATTAAAATTCTTCAAAAGTCGATTTTCAAAAATTTTTATAAAACGCACTTTTGAAAAAAATCAATTATTTTCAATTAAATTGTACAAAATTTCAATTAGTTCCAAAAATAAACAAGTTAATTTCCATATTAAAAAAAATTAATGAAAATGGTACTTTTTAGCATTTTCAAACTAAAAACGTTTTTTTTTCAAAAAAAAAATGCTTCAAAAATGGTAATATTCGGAAATATTTTTCAATATAACAATCGAAATAAGTTGTATTTTTTGCTAAAAATATGATATTTTGTTGCAATATTTAGAAAAAAAGTCGAAAAAGTCGCAAAATTTTTCGAAAATAAATGGTGTTTGAGATATTAAGAGTTTAAATAAACTTTTTCTACGAAATTTCTTACGAATTTCTCTACGAAATTGAGAGAAATTTTAAAAAATAAAAATAGCACTAGAAAGTTCATGAAATTCTCTTTCGATTCAGTGTATAATATGTTACAAATAATTAAATTTTTATATAATAAAATTTATTAGAAAATCGCTCTCCTTGCGATTGTTTTTTGTTGGTAGAATAATTTGAAATGAAATGCCTCATTTGTTAAATTTTTAGGTTATGTCAGCTAAAAATTCATAATTGTCATTTCCTATTGACAAAAAATTGTAATTTTTATTCAATTGCAACTTATAATTGTTTAAATAAAAATTAAAATCTTTTCCCTCTTTTGACAAAGTTAATTTAAAATTGATTCTTTTTCATTTAAAATATACGAAATTATAACATTCGATTAACTTTTCTTCCCATTGAGATCCTTTCTCAACTTTCGAAATTTTAATTTCTATAATTCTTTTTCTTAACATGTTTATTAATAAATTCGTCAGGATAATTATTCAATTTAAATAAAATATAAAAATTGATGAAAATTCAATTTTAAATCAGTTTTTATTATGCGGTTAAAAATTTTATCAGAAAGTATCAAAGCAGTGCCAATAATGACAGGCATGATTCACATGATTTAGTGTAAGATATTTATATATTGATTTTGAGAAATACTTACTGTAAATGTTGAACTCCACCTTCTTTAGGAGTTGGGTTATTATATGGAAAACTGTAATAACCACCTGGTGTGGGTCCATTTTGCCAAAAAGGAGGAGGATTGTACCAATCGGCTTTACTCAGTGACGCCATGTTTGTGATTTTTAAATGTCATCTTTCCTCAGTCGTCAGCGTGAGGTAGGAAAACTCAGAAACTCAGGGGTGAGTCGTCAAGTAATTTAAAAAGCTTCCGTTCTGTTAGGCTATGTCCACAATAGTCTCACTTGACTCTAGTGAAAATTTAGTGACATTCTAGTTAAAATTGAAATTCCCCAGAAAATCACTATATTTTCACTGGAGCAGGGTGCGGTAGTTCGTAGTTGGCAGTAAGATAATTATAATAAAAAAGTACGAATTTAGAATTAAACCATTAGTTTATTAAATAAATGAATAAATAATAAATGAATAAATAAAAAATGAATAAATAATAATTAAAAAAATAATAAATTAGTCGGTATACCAATTAGTGTAAAAGGGACACAAATATATGTTTGCTATGTTTACTCTCATTGCCTAGTTACAAAATGCAACCCAAAACGATGGAAATCCACCCTAAGGCTAAGTTCACATGAATGCGTTTTGTAACTAGGTCTTAAGTGCAAAAAGGACAAACGTATATCTCTGCCCTTTTCTATCTTATGCAAAATATCAAAGAAACAGTCAACTAGTTGCCGTATAAAAATCTTACCTTCAAGGTCAAGTTATTTAATAGTCAAATATTAAATATTTATGTGATTATGGAATAATCTGACCTTAAAGGTGCGTTCATACCTCAGTCTGCAGTCCAATGCTTTCATTTCAACCGTTTCAACCTAAATTAAGAACAAACCAATCAAATTTTACCTTTTGCCATTTTTGCCGTCCTTGATCTCTGCACCTATTGAATTCTTTCTTAAATGCAATCCTACCTTGATGACATTACTATTCTTATTAAAATCGTTATTTCTATTATTTTATAACTATTATTATTTATTATTATTATTATTTAGTACAATTATTATTAATATTATTACTATTATTATTATTATTATTAGTACAATTATTTTTAATATAAATATTTAAATATATAATTTTGTGGAGTATTATTACTTTTAAATTTAAAAAAAATCATTTTTATTGCAAATAGTACCATTAAACGAAATTTCAAAATTTCGTGACTTTTCGTGGAAGGGGTGGAGGGGGAGGGCAACTATATTTCTAGCGCGAAATTTAAACAAAAAATGAAAATTCTATTTAAAAATGAGAATGTTAAAAAAGTAAAAATAATTATTTTGTACCTACTTTAAAATATTTTAATTGCAAATTTCTTTTTGCGCGAGAAAAAATTGTCTTCAATTTTTTAAATTTAAAAAGTACCCTGTGAATTTTCTTTTTTTAATTATTTTTCATAGTTACGACGCTTCTTGTTTTTTTTTTTTTTTTGTATATTATTCTTTAACAATGCATTTTTACTGATTGCCATAATTGATATCGATTGAAGTTTAACCTTGAATTGAAGTAAAAGTTTTGCAGGTAGAGAAAAAGAGGAAAGTAAAAGGCGTTGTCGATTTTCCATTTAAAGGTCGTCAAGGTCAACAAAGGCCAAAGACCGCCTCCTCTATACATATATATACTGCAAACTGCAGATTTGCGATCGATCGACAATGCCATTGGCCACTCCCGAATTTCCCATCCAATCAAAATTGAAATCTTTTCTTTCAAGGATTCGACAATAAAAAAAAACATATATTTTGGCGCTAAATTTAAATGAATTTTTTTTTTTAATTTCTTTTTTTGAAAATTTTACTATTATTTAAATTCGAGAGTTTTAATTTCTTAACATTTTTTTTATAAATTTAAAATAATTTTATAATTATTCCTTTAAACAAAACAAATAAATAAATGAAAAAAATAATTTGGCGCTAATTTTAAATGAATTTTTTTTTTAAATTTCCTTTTCTGAAAATTTTACTATTATTAAAATTTGAGTTTTAATTTCTTAACATTTTTGTAAATTTTAAATAATTTTATCATTATTCCCTTAAAAAAAAGGAAAACAAATGAAAACCAAAATTATTTTTTTAAAGAAAATAAAATCAAAATTATTCTTTTAAACAAATAGAAATAAAATTTTTTTAAATAAAAAAAAAATAAAAACTACTTTTATTTATTTTTTTTGAAAATTAAAAAGGACAAATTTTTTTTTGGATGTGAAATGAAAATTTAGAAAAAAAAATTAAATATAAAGTACATTATCTAATTTTATTACTATCATAAATCTTCAAAAAGTGTTTACAATTTAAGAATTGTTAAGATTTAAAGCTTTCAGACTCAAGAAAAGAAGAAATCTAGAAAAGGTTTCAATTTCAACGGTTAAAAATGAAAAATTGGGATGTACAGAATAAACAATTTCTCCACAATAATTACATAATAATAATAATTAATAATAATCAATAATAAAAGTTAATAATAATTATTAATTAAAATAATCAATAATAATAGTTAATAATAATTATCAATAATAATTAAAAATATAATAATAATAATAATAATAATAATAATAATAATTATAATTATAATAAAATGTAATATTCATTATCACAATGACAATAGCAGGGCTCGAACATCAAAAAATTTTTTTTTTAAATTCAATTAAAACCTTTTGAAAAAAAATTAATTTCACAGAATTGTTAGTTAAAATTTTAATTTTCAAAGATTTTAGTTTGAAATTTTTGCAGAATTCAATTATTTCTAAAAATTCTATGTTATAATAATGCTTTTAATATTCAATTATTATCTATAAAATTTCAACTGAAATTCATTTTTAAATCAATTTTTATTAGAAAATTCAATTTTGCAATGAGTTTTATTATTTATGAAAATAATTGAATTCTTAAAAAGAATTTTATTATTTACAAAAATAATTGAATCTTTGTAAAAAATTTTATTATTTATGAAAATAATTGAATCTTTGTAAAAAAAAATTATTATTATTTATGAAAATAATTGAATCTTTGTCAAAAATTTTATTATTCATGAAAATAATGAAATTATTGCGAAGAAATTTATTTTAAAAATTGGTAAATAATTGAATTCCTTATGAAATTTTTATTATTTTATGAAATTAATTAAATGTTTGTGCAGAATTTTATTAAAATTTTGTTTAAATAATTAAATTCTTTTGGAAAATTTTATTAAAATAGTAGATATTAAAAATCATTGAATTGAGAAAAATTTTTTGAAAATGATTGAACACAAGTGTAAAAATTTTTCTAAATAATTGAATTGATACGAAGAATTTTATAAAATAATTGAATTCTTGCCAAGGATATTATTAAAATTTTCAAAAATAATTGAATCTTTACGAAGAACTTAATTAATTTATTTAATTTTATAAAAATTGTGTTAAAAACAATTTATTTCCTGTTTTTACAATAATCGTGTTTCTTAAATAATTGAAATTAAACATTCAATTCTTCAATTTTATTAAAAGTTTAAAAAAAGATTGAATTCTTTCGTAAAATTGTTTTGAATATAATTGAATTATTCAAAGGATTTATTAAAATTTTAGAAAATAATTGAATTTTTTCTCAAAAAATGATATTAAATTTTTTTTTAAAATTGAATTATTCCATGAAATCTTGTCAAAAATTTAGAAAATAATTGAATTTTTTCTCGAAAAATATTAAAATTTAAAAAAAATGTGAATTTTTTCATGAAATATGAATGTTATTAAAATTGTATTAAAAATAATTGGATTTTTAAGAAGAATTTTTTTAAAATTTTTGTAAAAATAATCGAATTTTGGAGAAGAATTTTATTAATTATTAAGATAATTGAAATTTTGATGAGAATTTTAAAAATTTTTTTACTATTTTTGAATTTATTTGCAAAGAATTCGAGCCCTGCAATAGAAATAATAAGAAAGATAATGACAATAATAAATATTTGAAGGATTTTCAAATTTTCTCTCTTTCTCATTCTCCTCGTACTTTGGAATTTTAAAATCAATACAATCTTTCAAAGTCATTATAATAATATTATTATTATAATTCCTAGTTACAAAGGACTTGTAATTTTAGTATACAGACAATTTCGAATACCATCACAGAAGTCTCAGCATCTCGAAATAACTCCCTATAAGAAAAAAACCAAAAAAAAAGTTTAATCACATTTCTTCTTCAATGAAAATCTCCATCGGCGTCTTATAAACATATTATATTTCTCGACGATACAATTTTTTTTTTATTTTGCTTTTCATTCTTTGACCTATAATCACTGCGCTCACACAATATTATCATCATCGTATAAAACAATTATTTATTCATCAAAAAAAAAAAAAAAAAATTACTGTGATTGGAGTTGTTTTTTTATTTTCCATCACGAGAAAACTGAGACATTTTTTTTTAATTATTGTTTCCTAATTTCGCACTGTCGTCATTCATTTCTTCTTCTTTTTTTTTTTTTTTTTTTTTTTTTTTGATGGAAATCGAATTTTTAAAACAACGTCTTATATTATATATTATACAAAATTGAAACTGACACAATTGTCAATTTTTTCTTCATTTTCATAGAAAAAAGAAAACGTACGAAAAATTACTATCTGTTAAAAAGAGAATTTTCAAAAAAAAACCAGATTCCTTTCAAATATATATGAAAAAGGGGGAAATTTTCTTTTTGATTTTCGTTTTTTTTTAGGAAAAAAAAATATTTAACAAAATTATATGTATATATACAAAATACTATAAACTACTTATTTAACTTAGACGAAATAAAAAAAAAAAGTTTTTCCACTATTATAAACATTTTTTTTTAAAGTGAAATAGAGACATTTAATTTCTAGAAAATTAGAAATTAATTGAAAGTCACATTTTATTTACAATGTATAATTATTTTATCAAATAATTCTTGTCTATTGTTTAAGTATATATTTATTATATATACTATTTTTAAAAGATAGCAATTTTTCCAAGTAACATATTTGACAAATTGATTACAATATTCGATTTACTTGTTGAAATCGAGCAAAAAAAAAAAAAGAAAGAAAAAAACTTTCATTTAAACCCACTCATTTCATTTATTTTCACTTCAGTCTTTATCGATATCTCAAGAGACTTTTTTTCACAATTTTTTTTTTTTGT